ATACGAACTTTCTGCAGCGTGGGCCCATGCCCGCTCATGGCGACGCGGATCACGCCCGGCGATTTGTTGAACACGGGCACGCCTGTCACGCGCATGGAGTCGACTCGCGACGACATGCTCCGAAACAGGTCGATGCGCCCGAAAACAGTCCCCTTGGCGATCTGAATTCCGTAACTCCTGTACACGTGAATTGTAGGGCAATTTACCCCGATGCCGTTCTCGGGAATGCCGACGCATTCAGGGGACGAGGTGCGGACCCCTAGAGAGAAGCTCAGTCCCAGTACAAGCACATTGCTGGTGTTCCATATCCGCAATACAGGCTGATCCGATCCGAAGTAGGAGATTTTGTAACCCGATCCGGTTAAGTTGTTGGAGCGGAGTACAGTGCACGAGTATCGGCCGTCAAAGAGGAGCCCTTTATCGAGTACGAGGTTTTTGTTGACCTCGAGAATGACGGTGCGCGTTCGCGGGTAGTTGAGGCGCCGGGCGATGTCGTCTACAGTAAGGACCTTGATATAGACTGCTCCCTCGTAGTCGGAACAGAACCCCGGAGTGAACGAATCGTCCTCTGGAGCGTGGGAAAGAAGGGGAACGAGGGGCGGAGGGAGGGAGTGGGGGAAGGAGATGAGGAGAGCGACGATGAGAGGAGATGGGGCGGAGAGGGTGGGGGAAAGAGGGCAAGGCAATGAGGAGTACACTTACGCGTTTTCCGTCTGCTCAGGTGATCGTTCAGATAGCTCGTCGCTGTGGCGAAAGCTGATCTTAAAGCACCTGTTGAATTGCTATCTCGTACGGTTCTCATGCCAAAAGGGGATGACGCAGCGGGGTCGACGCCATTTCCACTACTGTACATGCTTGCACCGTATCGGGACTGTTGCCCGTCTTGTATCGCGTCCAGGAACCGCCAAAAAGAGGCCTCGATATTCGGTAAGAGGAGCGAACCCATCTGCCGGTCGAGCTACGAGGAAAAGACTCACTACGCAGAGAAGCACGAGCCACCGCATTGCGCCTCGACCCTGCTACTACCAGAACGATGTACGGAGAGGAAAAATGACTAAGGGTGGGAAGTGGAGGATAACGTGTTCGGCTGCTTGTGAGTGCACGTAGAGCACTTAGTAGCGGGATGCTTCGGCTGTACGGCGATTGTTTCGTGACTCTACTTGGGCGACAGATGGCTATGCCCAACAGAGGCGAGTCACGACTGATGGCGAGCGAGTTTGGGGTGTCCTGATCGCAGTCGCTATGCGATACTCGGGGACTGTCAGGACATGACTGACTATGACGACATTCGCATCTGTTTCTAAGGAAATGGTGGAGAGGAGATTGGAGGAGAGAAGAGACGAAACTAATTGTTTGAGTTGAAAATGGTATGCATGCACTCGCTCAGGCAAGTTGGTCGCATCATCGTGGATCCCAAGGTTTGTTGTGGCGCCAAGTGAAGTTGGTGGGTTCCCTGCTCTGCTACCATGCCCAGACATGTTTTTCAGGTTCTGGGCATGCGCTAGATCCAGTAACGAGGATTTGCGAAGGCGTCACGCGTCGCGAAATTCGTCAATCCTTGAGCATTCGGAGCTCTAGCATGCGTGTTGCGATCGGCGACTGAAATCCCTGATTCGGGTGATGGGGTAACGCGTCGCGACTCATCATCATTTGCAACTGCAGGTGGCGGCGTCGAGGTGAAAAGAAGCTGCCTGTTCAGAATTATCACCTGCGGCTCGATATTCAGGTGCTTATCATGAAATCGAGCTCGGGGGACCACAGAACTGAGCCAAGGGTTATTGACTCCGCTATAAGACAATCCCGCACCGACCATCCGTCTGGTCAGTTTGATGATTTTCTTGCAAGAGATTATGGTAAATGTGCGTTCAATATATATGTACATATATATTTATGAGTCCGGCATTGGTTTTGAAGCTCATGTATCTCTTTTATCTATTCAGGGTGTGTATAATTGCCCTTAAAAAACGTGGAAAGGCTTGTTTAGGTAAATTTTCATTCAAATTACAAGGCTGAAATATAGTTTAGAAAACATCTATACGGTGGTGCATAGTTTTGTGTTTGAAGGGGATGGGTGATCTTGTATGCGCTTTGCTGCATTGGAGTCAGCTCTTACTGGTTCAGACAAACTGTCAGTTCGGCGGCATTATCAGTGGTGTCAGAAGAAGTCGGACTGCAGCCCAAGCACCACTCTTATCAGCAGTGCTGTGATGACAATCCAGCAACCAAGCACCTAGCTTTCCATACATGGCTTATCAGTCGAGCTGACACTGCAGCAACCAAGCACCAAGCTTTCCGTACCTAATCAATTGGCAGTAATCAGGTTGCAGCTTCGCGGCTGAATAAGGATTGAGAAGGTTTCGGCGAGTTGCTCAAGCGCGTGGAGTAGAACAGCGGCATTCTGGAGGAATTGCCATAAGTGTGTCCGGTCATGCTAAGCTGCGACGGAAGTCTTTTGAAAAGAAGCGACGGTTTTGGAGCACCGAGCGGTGCGGCGAAAGAAACTTTCTGGCAGACAACGGGACATGGGGAAACGCGAGGAGGAGAGGAGGCGGAGGAGGGGGAGAAAGGCTAGCGAGTCATCAACGTCGTACGCGATGCAGCGGCTGCTCTCGAGGAATTATATGGCGGTGCACGCCGATGAGGTGAGTGTGACTTTAGGGATGGTACGGGAATTTGACTACGTGGACGATAAGGAGGTGATTGTGAGTATAGGTGAGGTGAATGTAAAGCGAATGTCAGCACCCGTTTCTCTTCGTTATATTACAGTATCACACGTCTAAACTCAACGTGCGTGAAATGGCTTGATATCCCAACCCCATCAATTCCTCTGTCTGCTTAATATCCATCCTTAATATTCCTCACCCTCCCGATTCATGGCTGAACCATCGGAACATCCTATCCTATCCCTCTACCACTCCTCTCCGAGGTGCCATTCTCCTCTTCTCCCCCCCCCCCTTCCCCTCCTCTCCCCCACCCCCCCCTCCTTCCCCCCTTCCTATCTCTCATCAGGACATCCTCATCGTCTTCTCTGCCCTACGGTGAGGTGCCTCTCCACTTCCCCTCGACCAACCCGCCTTCCCCCCTTACCCCTCGACAGGACATCCTATCGCTCTACCACCCGTCGCTGCTCTACAGCGAGGTGCCTCTCCACTTCCCCTCGACCAACCCGCCTTCCCCCCTTACCCCTCGACAGGACATCCTATCGCTCTACCACCCGTCGCTGCTCTACAGCGAGGTGCCTCTCCACTTCCCCTCGACCAACCCGCCTTCCCCCCTTACCCCTCGACAGGACATCCTATCGCTCTACCACCCGTCGCTGCTCTACAGCGAGGTGCCTCTCCACTTCCCCTCGACCAACCCGCCTTCCCCCCTTACCCCTCGACAGGACATCCTATCGCTCTACCACCCGTCGCTGCTCTACAGCGAGGTGCCTCTCCACTTCCCCTCGACCAACCCGCCTTCCCCCCTTACCCCTCGACAGGACATCCTATCGCTCTACCACCCGTCGCTGCTCTACAGCGAGGTGCCTCTCCACTTCCCCTCGACCAACCCGCCTTCCCCCCTTACCCCTCGACAGGACATCCTATCGCTCTACCACCCGTCGCTGCTCTACAGCGAGGTGCCTCTCCACTTCCCCTCGACCAACCCGCCTTCCCCCCTTACCCCTCGACAGGACATCCTGTCCCTCTACCACTCCTCTCTGCTGTACGGCGAGGTGCCTCTCACCAGTCGCATGCGGGCCGTGTTCACCTCGGGCCACGTCAGCATCCTCATCGCTGCTGTGAGTCCCTTGCTGTTTCTGCTGTGACTGTAACGAGTGCTTGCTGAATGCTCTACGACAACAAGGCGCCAATAGCTTTCACGCCCTGCCATCCTACGTCCTTTTGTACAGGGACCCGTGCCATAGATGCCATGACATCCCGTACAATCGCACGCCATGCCATGCCATGCCACCATAAGCCACCGCCATGCCATGCCATGCCGTGCCACGCCATTGTGCCGTTTCCATTGCATCCCACGCTACCCCCATGCCATCCATCCGATGGCGTCTCGTATTATCTTATGCCACCATAAGCCACCGCATGCCATACGATCGCCACTCCGCACTCCCCTGTCTTACTGTTCCCCGTCACTGCTCCTGCCCCATTCTGCAGGCTGAGTTTGTTGCTTCCTGTGTGGGCGCGGTGTACTACCTCATAGGGACCAGGTATGGTGCGGTGTACTGCCTCATAGGGACCAGGTATGGTGCGGTGTACTGCCTCATAGGGACCAGGTATGGTGCGGTGTACTGCCTCATAGGGACCAGGTATGGTGCGGTGTACTGCCTCATAGGGACCAGGTATGGTGCGGTGTACTGCCTCATAGGGACCAGGTATGGTGCGGTGTACTGCCTCATAGGGACCAGGTATGGTGCGGTGTACTGCCTCATAGGGACCAGGTATGGTGCGGTGTACTGCCTCATAGGGACCAGGTATGGTGCGGTGTACTGCCTCATAGGGACCAGGTATGGTGCGGTGTACTGCCTCATAGGGACCAGGTATGGTGCGGTGTACTGCCTCATAGGGACCAGGTATGGTGCGGTGTACTGCCTCATAGGGACCAGGTATGGTGCGGTGTACTGCCTCATAGGGACCAGGTATGGTGCGGTGTACTGCCTCATAGGGACCAGGTATGGTGCGGTGTACTGCCTCATAGGGACCAGGTATGGTGCGGTGTACTGCCTCATAGGGACCAGGTATGGTGCGGTGTACTGCCTCATAGGGACCAGGTATGGTGCGGTGTACTGCCTCATAGGGACCAGGTATGGTGCGGTGTACTGCCTCATAGGGACCAGGTATGGGCAGCGTGCTTAGTAGCGATGAAACACAGCTGCTTACCACTGCGATAAAAGGGCATGTTTATAGATCAGAGTAACTTGATTTTGCAGGGTGTTTTTGAGAATTCTCAAAAACACCCTGCAGAAACACAGCTGCTTACCACTGCGATAAAAGGGCATGTTTATAGATCAGAGCAACGCTCCTGTAACCCCCAAGCACAGACGCCTGTAGCCCTTCCCCAGAACCCGCTAGGGCTCCTTCTACATTTTCCTCTCACTCTGCTCTAATATGCCCCTTGAACTTCCCAAACTCTCCCCAAGCTCTTTCTTTCAGCCTTATACTCCCTCTCTGTGGAAAAAGACGTTTGTGAGGTGAGGACACATCCGATAAGCATTTCCACAGAACACATGATTCTGTACACGTGAATTGTTCCATTAAATGCCCCAGCTGATTTCTAGTATTCCCGAATCAAAGCTCAATGCTGTCCACTGATTTGCGTGCTACCCCCCACCCCCCCACCTGCCCCCCATGGGTCAGGGAGACGATGCAGCAGAAGATGGTATGGAACGCGGGCTGTCTCGCAGTCGCCACCTTCTTCATCCTCGTCTTCCTGCTGCGCCTCTACAGGCAAGCTCCCTCCTGCTGCGCCTCTACAGGCAAGCTCCCTCCTGCTGCGCCTCTACAGGCAAGCTCCCTCCTGCTGCGCCTCTACTGGCAAGCCCCCTCCTGCTGCGCCTCTACAGGCAAGTTCCAGGATGACTCAAAACGCACACTTACAGGCAAGCCCCTTCCTCCGCCGAATTTACAGGCAAGTTTCAAAGCAACGCACGACACATGGTCACATGCATGCCATATACAGACTTATGTCCCCCCCCGTCAGAGCTCACCCCGCTCTCCATACTCCCTCGACCGTCTCTCATCCCCCCCTCCCTTCCTTCCACTGTGCAGTGCACCTGTGCGGTGCCTCTACATGTGCTCATATCTGGAGGAGTACTAGAAGAGGCGCCCCTCTCATGTACTCCTCCCCCCCCACCCCCCACCTCTTCCCCCTTCTTCCTTCCCCCTTCCTTCCCCTCCCCCCCGTGCTGTAGTGCGCCCGTGAGGTGGCTGTACGTGTGCTCGTACCTGGGAGTGTTGGACATACTCTCAGGCATTCCCATCTTCGGCACTGGGTGAGTCTTAACCCCTCACACGTGGGTATGCTTGATGTGACATGTGTGGGCCATGCGCTTCACAACATGTGTGGGCCATGCGCTTCACAACATGTGTGGGCCATGCGCTTCACAACATGTGTGGGCCATGCGCTTCACAACATGTGTGGGCCATGGCCATGCGCTTCACAACATGTGTGGGCCATGCGCTTCACAACATGTGTGGGCCATGGCCATGCGTTTCATGTTCTGAGATCCTTCCTTGCTGCACCCATGAGTGCATGCCGCTCCCATGAGTGCATGCCGCTCCCATGAGTGCATGCCGCTCCCATGAGTGCATGCCGCTCCCATGAGTGCATGCCGCTCCCATGAGTGCATGCCGCTCCCATGAGTGCATGCCGCTCCCATGAGTGCACGCTGCTCCCATGAGTGCATGCCGCTCCCATGAGTGCATGCCGCTCCCATGAGTGCATGCCGCTCCCATGAGTGCATGCCGCTCCCATGAGTGCATGCCGCTCCCATGAGTGCATGCCGCTCCCATCCCATGAGTGCATGCCGCTCCCATGAGTGCATGCCGCTCCCATGAGTGCATGCCGCTCCCATGAGTGCATGCCGCTCCATGAGTGCATGCCGCTCCCATGAGTGCACGCTGCTCCCATGAGTGCATGCCGCTCCCATGAGTGCATGCCGCTCCCATGAGTGCACGCTGCTCCCATGAGTGCATGCCGCTCCCATGAGTGCATGCCGCTCCCATGAGTGCACGCTGCTCCCATGAGTGCATGCCGCTCCCATGAGTGCATGCCGCTCCCATGAGTGCACGCTGCTCCCATGAGTGCATGCCGCTCCCATGAGTGCATGCCGCTCCCATGAGTGCACGCTGCTCCCATGAGTGCATGCCGCTCCCATGAGTGCACGCTGCTCCCATCAGTGCACACGCTGCTGCCATGAGTGCACGCTGCGGCCATGAGTGCACGCTGCTGCCATCAGTGCACGCTGCTGCCATGAGTGCACGCTGCGGCCATGAGTGCACGCTGCTGCCATCAGTGCACGCTGCTGCCATGAGTGCACGCTGCGGCCATGAGTGCACGCTGCTGCCATCAGTGCACGCTGCTGCCATGAGTGCACGCTGCGGCCATGAGTGCACGCTGCGGCCATGAGTGCACGCTGCTGCCATGAGTACATGCTGCTGCCATGAGTACATGCTGCTGCCATGAGTGCACGCTGCTGCCATGAGTGCACGCTGCTGCCATGAGTGCACGCACGCTGCTGCCATGAGTACATGCTGCTGCCATGAGTACATGCTGCTGCCATGAGTGCACGCTGCTGCCATGAGTGCACGCTGCTGCCATGAGTGCACGCTGCTGCCATGAGTGCACGTTGCTGCCATTGCCCGCTGCAATCAGTTCACACGGCTATCATTCGCTCAGTGCCTTGTTCACACAGGTGCGACTACTACTCTGTGCGTCCCCTGCTATGCACCTCCCCCACGTGCAGCCTCAACAGCAGGAGTGCAGGTGCCATGTTTCAAGTCGTCTACTTCTTGCAGATGCTCAAGTGAGTCTCAAGGCGTAAAAATTGAGAGTTTGCACTTCATGCTGCCATTGGAGAAGGTTCCAGTCCTTGGCGTCTTTGTGTCTCGCACTCTTCCTTCCGTCTCTGTCCATCACTCCTCTCAACACCTCCCTATTCCCCCCTTTCCTCTCTCTTCCTAACTCCCAGGCCCTTCACTCGTCTGCAGCAGCTGGGTGTCGACATCACATCCATAACGCAGGAGGTCATCAACCTCATCGTCTACCTCACTTCATTAAGTAACTCACTTAGAAGTTTTGTAATCCGCCTCACTCCACAACGCAAGTGTCTCGAGAAGTGGTCGTCAACCTCAGTGTCCACCTCACGTCACTAAGCAAGTCTTTTAAAATGCTTGAAACGCACCTCGAAGCACAACCAGGACCTCAAGGCTAGGACATCAGTGTTCTACTCTTCTGTCGGCATTCGCTTCTTCCCTGTACCCCCACGCCACAGTATCCACAGCAGCAGCAGGCATCTTCCTGTAGATCACCTACCAGCACCCAGAGGTGCATGCGTCAGTGCTATCCCCCCTCTGCTGTCGCTCCTGTCTCCCTTGTCCGCCCTCGTGTCTCACTTCCCTCTGCCCTCCCGCCACAGTATTCCCAGCAGTGGCCTTCTTCCTGTCACCTACCAGCACCCAGGGGCGAAGTCTTCGTTGTCCCTTCCCTCTCTCTGCATTCCTCTCTGTCCTCCTCTCTCCTCCTGCCACAGTATTCACAGCAGCAGCCATCTTCCGGTGAGTCACCTACCAGGACGCCGAGGTGGAGGCATCAGTGCTATCTCCCCTCCCTCTGTCTTCACTCCTGTCTCCTTTTGTCCAATTTCTTGCCTCCTCTCCCCTCCCGCCACAGTATTCACAGCAGCGGGCATCTTCCTGTGGGTGACCTATCAGAATGCGGAGGCGAAGGCATCAATGACATCTCTCCTCCATCTGTCTTCACTCCTGTCTCCCTCTGTCCGCGCTCTTGCCTCCCTCCCCTCTCCCCTCCCGCCACAGTATTCACGGCAGCGGGCATCTTCCTGTGGGTGACCTACCAGAATGAGGAGGTGAAGGCGACGGGGAGCTGTGAGCCCGTCAACTGCCTCGACTATGCCATGTCGCTCTACTTCGTTGTTGTCACGGTGAGAGGACGTTTGTTTGCTTGCACTGAGCAGTGCTACAAGGACTTACAAGGACTTGTTGCAGGGAGAGCAGCTGTGAGCCCACTCCCCCCTGACTAGCCATGTCGCTCTACTTCGTTGTCGTCACGGTGAGGAGGGGTAGAATGCCTTGTTTGCACTGAGTAGTGCTACAAGGACTTAAACGGACATGCTGCAGAGAGAGCAGCTGTGAGCCATGAACTGCCCCCCAAATACGCCATGTCTCTCTACTTGGTGGTCGCCACAGTAAGCTTTCCATGCTGCCACGGTGTCTTGTTAGATCCTGATCCTGCCACGGTGACTGGTGCCACAAGGACTTGTTGCAACCTGCCTCTGCCTCTGCCTCTGCCTCTGCCTCTGCCTCTGCCTCTTGTCCCTGTGAGCCCGTCAACTGCCTCGCCTACTGCGCCAGGTCGCTCTACTTTGTGGTCGTCATGGTGGGTGTTAGAGTGCTGCTAGAGTGTCTGCCGAATGAAGTCACTGCGTTTTTGACACAGCGATGCAGGAAGGTGGTGATGGGCATCTTTGCGGTGGCATCATGCCCCTCGCTCTAACACCACATATCAACGGCGGGTATGGCCACCTCTCACGCCGCTCATTCCGACCCCTTTCTCTTGCCTCTTTCACCCTACCCTCCTCCCCCACCGCCACCTCTGCTCCTCTGCCAGATATCAACTGTGGCGTATGGCCACATTACGGCATTCAACCTGAACCCCCCTTTCTTCTTCTCATGCCTCTCCCCCCCACGTCTCCCCCTGCGCCAGTTATCAACGGTGGGGTTTGGTGACATTACGTCATTCAACGCTGCCGGGCCAGTCATGTGGTGGTGGTATGCATCCTAGTGGCAGCGCTTGCTACCAAATCCCCCTCCTCCCCCCCCACCCCCTCCCTCTCCTTCAAATACCAGATATCAACGGTGGGTTATGGCGACATCTTGGCAACCAACGCAGCGGGGCGAGCGGTGGTGATATGCATCATAGTGGCGGCTCTTATCATCCTGCCCGTGCAGCTCAGCAACATCTCCAACCTGCTTGCTCACAGGTAACCCTCGCCTTTAAGCAAGCCTCCAACCTCCCCGCACACAGGCAAGTCTTGATCGCACTCAAGCCCACAACCACAGCTGTTCTCCGCTGTAAGGTGCCTCCAAGCGCGCAGATGAGCCTTGATAACACTCAGCTGCATCATAGTGGCGGGGCTCATCATCCTGCCTGTGCACCTCAGCAACGTCTCCAACCTCCTCGCTCACAGGCAAGCCTACCACACAGGCAAGCCTACCTCACAGGAAACCCTACCACGCAGGTAAGATTCAATTGCACTCAAGCCCACAGGTGCAGCTCTCGCCGTAAGGTGCCTGCAAGCCCACACATACATGTGCATCATATGGCTGGCGGCACTCGTCATCCTGCCCGACGCCCGTGCAGCTCAGCAACATCTCCAACCTGCTCGCACACAGGCAAGTCTCCCAATAAGAATAGGATGAGGATAGATAGGGGAATCTTTCCAAGCACTTTTGGTGTTCCGCATTGGCCTTGCAGTGCAACGTTTGCCATCCAGTAACCTCCTTCATCTGCCGCCCTTCATCTGCCGTCCTCTTACCTCCTGCCTGCCTCAGGCCATATGGGGGAAGGTTCTCAGCAGCTTCCGCCACAGGCATGCGCTTTGTGGTGCTGACGGGGCAGCTCTCTCTGCTCTCCATCCAGCAGTTCCTCGCTGAGCTCTACCACCCGTTACATGACAAAGGTAGCCTCCCGCTACATGACAATGATTGCCACCCGTTACATGACAAAGGTAGCCTCCAGTTACACGACATAGGTAGCCGCCCGCTACATAACAAAGGTAGCCACCATTACATGACAAAGGTAGCCGCCCACTGTAATACTAAGATAGCTACCTGCCACATGACAAAGGTAGCCACCCGCCACGTGACAAGATAGCTTACCGCTACATGACAAAGGTAGCCACCCGCTACATGACAAAGGCCGCTACACGGCGCAGGTAGCACCCTGTGAATGAACACCTTTCCTGCAGAGCATATGCTGTTCTGATCGTCTCTCCTCACAAGCACACTTCTCCCTTGTGTTCACCTTGCCCCTGCCCCCCTATGAGATCTCACCTCCTACCCTCTCCACCCACTCATTCTCGCCTTCCCTCTCTATCACCTCTCTCTCTCCTGTGCTCGCCCCTGCCCTGCCCATCAGATCTCACCTCCTGCCCTCTCCACCCACTCATTCTCGCCTTCCCTCTCTATCACCTCTCTCTCTCCTGTGCTCGCCCCTGCCCTGCCCATCAGATCTCACCTCCTGCCCTCTCCACCCACTCATTCTCGCCTTCCCTCTCTATCACCTCTCTCTCTCCTGTGCTCGCCCCTGCCCTGCCCATCAGATCTCACCTCCTGCCCTCTCCACCCACTCATTCTCGCCTTCCCTCTCTATCACCTCTCTCTCTCCTGTGCTCGCCCCTGCCCTGCCCATCAGATCTCACCTCCTGCCCTCTCCACCCACTCATTCTCGCCTTCCCTCTCTATCACCTCTCTCTCTCCTGTGCTCGCCCCTGCCCTGCCCATCAGATCTCACCTCCTGCCCTCTCCACCCACTCATTCTCGCCTTCCCTCACTATCACCTCTCTCTCTCCTGTGCTCGCCCCTGCCCTGCCCATCAGATCTCACCTCCTGCCCTCTCCACCCACTCATTCTCGCCTTCCCTCACTATCACCTCTCTCTCTCCTGTGCTCGCCCCTGCCCTGCCCATCAGATCTCACCTCCTGCCCTCTCCACCCACTCATTCTCGCCTTCCCTCTCTATCACCTCTCTCTCTCCTGTGCTCGCCCCTGCCCTGCCCATCAGATCTCACCTCCTGCCCTCTCCACCCACTCATTCTCGCCTTCCCTCTCTATCACCTCTCTCTCTCCTGTGCTCGCCCCTGCCCTGCCCATCAGATCTCACCTCCTGCCCTCTCCACCCACTCATTCTCGCCTTCCCTCTCTATCACCTCTCTCTCTCCTGTGCTCGCCCCTGCCCTGCCCATCAGATCTCACCTCCTGCCCTCTCCACCCACTCATTCTCGCCTTCCCTCTCTATCACCTCTCTCTCTCCTGTGCTCGCCCCTGCCCTGCCCATCAGATCTCACCTCCTGCCCTCTCCACCCACTCATTCTCGCCTTCCCTCACTATCACCTCTCTCTCTCCTGTGCTCGCCCCTGCCCTGCCCATCAGATCTCACCTCCTGCCCTCTCCACCCACTCATTCTCGCCTTCCCTCTCTATCACCTCTCTCTCTCCTGTGTTCGCCCCTGCCCTGCCCATCAGATCTCACCTCCTACCCTCTCCACACCGTCATTCTCGCGCCCTTCCAACCATGGTGAGTGCACCCTTCCCACCTCTTTCTCTCACTTACCCCATCATCTCATTGGATGCAGTCTGTATCACCACCCCAGCATTGCATGCGTCTTTTTATCTTGCACCCATCGCGAGACACCTTCCCCCCATGCAACCCATGCACCCCCATGCACTCCATGCAACCCCATCCACCCCCTTGTACCCACACGCACCCACACGCACCCACACGCATCCACACGCACCCACACGCACCCACACGCATCCACACGCACCCACACGCACACCCAGGCAACCCCATGCCACCCATGCACCCCCAGGCACCCCCAGGCACCCCCAGGCACCCCATGCACCCCCCTCTCTCTGGGACACTACCCTTCCTCGGGAATACCACTGGCTTTTCCCCGCGCCCCCCCGCGGGTTTTCCCTGCGCCCCCACCATGGGTTTTACCCACGCCTACCCCCACGAGTTTTCCCCTCGCCCCCCCCGTGGGTTTTCCCCGCGCCCCCCGGCGGGTTTTCCCCGCGCCCCCCCGCAGGTTTCCCCCCCCCCCCCCCCCCCGCGGGTTTTCCCCGCGGCCCCCCGCGGGTTTTCCCCGCGTTCCCCCACGGGTTTTGCATGCGCCTCCCCCCCCCCCCCCGGGTTTTCCCCGCACCCCCCCCCCCCCCCCCGGTTTTTCCCCACGCCCCCCCCCGCGGGTTTTCCCCGTGCCCCCCCTGTGGGTTTTCCCCGCGCCCCCCCAGGGCTCACTTCTGGCTTCATTCCCTCAGCTCCTCCCTCACCCCCAGGCCTTGTCGCTCTGGCCTCCCCTGCCCTCAGCCGCACTCTTTGACAGCAGAGTACCACGGTGCAGTGCGGTTCATCCAGGGCTCACTTCTGGCTTCATTCCCTCAGATCCTCCCTCACCCCCAGGCCTTGTCGCTCTGGCCTCCCCTGCCCTCAGCCGCACTCTTTGATAGCAGAGTACCACGGTGCAGTGCGGTTCATCCAGGGCTCACTTCTGGCTTCATTCCCTCAGCTCCTCCCTCACCCCCAGGCCTTGTCGCTCTGGCCTCCCCTGCCCTCAGCCGCACTCTTTGATAGCAGAGTACCACGGTGCAGTGCGGTTCATCCAGGGCTCCCTCTATGGCACGCACCTCCCTCATCCGCCTCCCTTATTCCCCCCACCTCGTCTTGCCCCCCTCCCCCTTCGTTTCCCCCACCAGCTTTGAGCTGCGCTCGCTCATTGCAGAGTACCACGGTGCAGTGCGGTTCATCCAGGGCTCACTTCTGGCTTCATTCCCTCAGCTCCTCCCTCACCCCCAGCCGTTGTCGCTCTGGCCTCCCCTGCCCTCAGCCGCACTCTTTGATAGCAGAGTACCACGGTGCAGTGCGGTTCATCCAGGGCTCCCTCTATGGCACGCACCTCCCTCATCCGCCTCCCTTATTCCCCCCACCTCGTCTTGCCCCCCTCCCCCTTCGTTTCCCCCACCAGCTTTGAGCTGCGCTCGCTCATTGCAGAGTACCACGGTGCAGTGCGGTTCATCCAGGGCTCGCCCATGGCGCTCTACGACCTGCACCGCGTGCAGATCGCCCTCGCCTCCGCCGTCTTCATCGTCCTGCAGCCTTTTCAGTCCGTGAGTCTCTCTGCACGCCCTCCACTTCTGCATGCCTTTCTTGGCTCTGGACGGCACTGATTCGACGTCTTTATCCTCCTGCAGGCCTTCCAGTCGGTGAGTCTCGTCCTCACGCCAAAAGTGGAGAGGGGAGTCCTTTATGTTTTTTGCCTCGCTGCATTCCTCTCCCTCCCCCTTTCGCCCAATCTCGTGCGCTGGACAACGGTCAGATTGCCCAGGCCCTTGCTATGAACTGCTACGCAGGGCCGCTGTCACAACTGGTGGTGGAGATGAGAGTCTCACAGGGCCCCACGCTGTATTGCTTCGTCCCTTCCTCCCTTCCCTTCCGCCCTCAACCTTTGCAGTCTCGTGCGCTGGACAACGGTCAGATCGCCCAGGCCCTTGCTATGAACCGCTACGCGGGGCCGCTGTCACGCCTGGTGGTGGAGATGGGAGACCCTCAGGGCCCTACGCTGCCTGTGTGGGACTCTGCCACCCAACGCATGCAAGTGCTTTGCCATGAGAGCCTGCGGTTCAAAGTGCTGGGGTCAAGGTGAGTCAACGCGAGTCAGGACAAAGTGAGTCAACATGAGTCAGGACAGGGTGCGTCAACGCGAGTCAACGCCTCTTGGGTGCCCCTGGCCTGCAAACTCTGCCTGTGTGGGACTTTGCCACGCACCGCATGCAAGTGCTGCGCCATGAGAGCCTGCAGTTCAAGGTGCTGGTGAGTCAACACAAGTCAACGGGCTTGGCCTTGTTGAAACAGCGCGAGTCATTTGGCTTGAGGCAAGGTGAGCCAATGTCAACCGGCTGAGTCAATGACCTAAAGGCCAACCAAGTCATCCTCCCTCTCTGCTCCACTTCGCCCCTCTCTCCCACTCCTTTCCCCCCGCCCCTTCACCCAGCTGCTTCATGCCCGGCCTGTCCACCTTCCTCACCAACCTCCTGCGCTCCCCACTCCTCCTCGACTCCCCCGGCCACAAGGCGTGGCTGCCCGAGTACCACTCCGGAGCCATGCACTCCATCTACCCCGTGCTGCTGCCCGCCGCCTTCTACGGGCTGCCCTTCGAAGAGGTCGCTGAGTTTGTGTACAGGTGCTTTCATGTGTGCCTCTTTGCTCTGGATGTGCTGGTAGAGCCGTGTGAGAGGCATGGGGGGACGGGGGGGAGGGAGGGCGAGGGGGGTGGCTCACGGTCTTACAGTGGAGGGAGTGTAGGGCAGCATACGTGCGAGCGGTGCGTGCAGGTTGCAGACGAGGAGGAGCATGGGTGCCCTGCGGCAGTGTCAGTATCGGTGGCAGCAACAGCTGAGGCGTGTTTGTCGTTTGAGTCTGCTCGAGAGGGCTCACCGTTGGCTGGGAGAAGTGACGCGAGTGAGGTGTTCGAGTGTGCTCAAGAGGGCTCACCATTGGCAGCGGGAAGTGAGGGGAGTGAGACGTTTGAGTCTGCTCATGGCTCACCATTCACAGCAGAAATGCAGGCACACGCAACACAGGCAGCATTGGCAGCATCGGCAGCACCGGCAGCACCGGTGGCACCGCCAGCACAGGCAGCACAGGCAGCACCGGCAGCACAGGCAGCACCAGTCTCTGCACCAAAGCCGCCAAGAGGGCCGAAGCAGCGTTCCACACCCACCGCAACGCCGGGGGCGGATGCAGCTGCAGCAGCAGCACCGGCAGCACCGACAGCACCAGCGGAAGCAGCAGCTGCAGCAGCAGCACCGGCAGCAACAGCAGCAGCAGCGGAAGCAGCAGCCCCGGACTTCTATGTGGGAAGGAAGGCCAGCCGGCTGTCCCGGCCTCTCACGAGCGCCCTCCCCCACTTGCGCCGCCTCCTCTCCCGCCCCCATGAGGAGCTCTACCTCCTCCTCAACCCCTCCGCTGCTGCCGCAGCAGCAGGACCAGGACTATCCGGAGCAGACTCGAAGCCGGCAGCAGGCAGCAGTACAGCCAGAGGCAGCACTTGGAGCACTGGCAGGGGCATGCAGAGAAGCATGGAGAAGCAGATCCGGGAGGGACTTGGACTGCGGAAGAAGGGAGCGAGGCGAGCAGGGGGGGTGGGGCTGGAGTGCGGGTGCCAGCGGGGGGTGTTTCTGCTGCCCTCGCAGCACACCATTCGGAGATCTCTGGACGTGGGCCTTGTGATCGCGCCCAGCCTTGAGGCTGCTGAGAGGGTGTCTGCCTTCAAAGGCTGCATGCAGAGTGGGGGGGTTGGTGGTGGGGGGAGTGGCGGGGGCAAGCAGAATTGGTGGGGGATGGGAGGGAAGAGGCATGGGCAGGAGGTATGCGAGGAGCAGAAACAGCAGCAGCAGCAGCAGCAGCAGCACCACCACCACCACCACCACCTCCACCATCACCACCACCAGCAGTCTGAGACTGGTCTTCAGCAGCAGCAGATCACCCCCCACCATCCCCAGCACCAGCTGTTCCACCCCACGGCCCGCCGCCACCCCCTAACAGCATCCTCCCTCGCAGCGGCACGCGCCTCCAACCCGCTCTTCCGCGCCGTCTCTTCCTTCCTCTTCGGCCCGCGGCGCGCCGCGTCGCTCCTGCTGCCGCCCCCCGCTGCCGCTTCGGAAGCATGGTCGCTGTTCCAGATGGTGCAGGACGAGTGGGTGCGGAGGGGGGCGCTGGACGGCACAGCTGGGGGATTTGATTTCGCCTCTGTTGGTGCTGCTGCTGTTGCCGCGGCGGGTAGAGTGAGTTTGGAAACAGATGCGAGGGTGGCTTTAATGGATGACAGCCATCTCACCACGCCCCTGCTCTCCCGATACCTCCACCACGTGTCAGCGTCAGCATCCTCGCCAACAGCAGCAGCAGGAGCATCCGCACCTGCAGCAGCATCAGCAGCAGCAGCACTAAGAGGGCAGCAAGGCATGCCGCCTCAAACGACTCCTCCTTTAACGAAGACAAGAGATCCTGGCGGCACCAGCAGCAGCAGCCGCAAGAAGAAGGTAGTGCGGTTTAAGGGGCTCGAGAAGGAAGAGGGGGGTGGCATGGAGGAGGGGGAGGGCGTGGTCTTGGAAAGTCAGGGATTGCTGGAGAAGGGGGGCGAGAGAGACAAGAGAGACAGGAGAGGGATGGGGTTGGAAGAAGAGGAAATAGTGGAGGAGGGAAGCGAGGCAAGAAGGGGAGTGGCAGGGGCTGAACCCGCCCCTCAACCTGCTTCTCCTCTGCGCGGTTCTGTCCTGAAAGGGGTTGATGGCGCCATACCAAAGGCTGAGGGAGCCGCACAGTCGGCTGGTAGCACCATGGAAGGCGGTGTGTTCTCCCAAGACAAGCCTTTTCTGCAGCTGCTTGCCAAGGCTGGCGCACCGGTGAAGCAGGGCAGGAAACGGAAAGAAGTGGAAGAGGGGGTCAGGGATGGCGCAGAGCGAAGGGAAACAGAGGAGGAGGAGCAGGAGAAAGTGGGGGAGGGTGAGGCGGAGGAGGAGAGGGAAGAGGAGGAAGAAGAGGAGATTGAGAGGCCGCCAGTGGAGGTGTTAGACCGGCATGAGGATGCTATACTCGCCCATCTGGACGCGCACACTGTTCCCGTGGCGGACTTCGACTCGCCCCACATTCTGGTGTGCCTCGCTGCCAGTAGCAGCGGTGGTGACGGTGGGGGTGGGAGTGATGGGGAGGGGGACGGGGAGGAGGAGGGGGAGGGGGAGGGGGGGGGAGGGAGGGGGCATGGTGGCGTGGCCGACGAATCTGTTCTGCCTCGTGGCGCATCTCAGGAGCAAGGCGCTGCCGCAACGACCCGTGTTGATCATGCACCCCCATGTACGTCTGTGTCCTTAATACGGCATCTGTACGACTATGTAGCAATTTGAAATCACAAGCGGTGGCATGGCCGGCGATTCTGTTCGGGCCCGTGGCTCATCTCAGGGGTAAAGTGCTCCCAACACGACCTGTGCTGATAATGCACCTCTGTGTATGCTTGCTACCGTTTCAGATTGATGTGTGCGTGTGCGTGCTCGTCATGCGAGGATCCCCTAATCGCCCATCCTCTGTCTCAGCCCGTTCCCCATCCTTCCTGTTCCCCCCCCCCTCCTGTTCCCCCCCCCCTCCTGTTCCCCCCCCCTCCTGTTCCCCCCCCCCTCCTGTTCCCCCCCCCCCTCCTGTTCCCCCCCCCCTCCTGTTCCCCCCCCCTCTCCTGTTCCCCCCCCCCTCCTGTTCCCCCCCCCCTCCTGTTCCCCCCCCCCTCCTGTTCCCCCCCCCCTCCTGTTCCCCCCCCCCTCCTGTTCCCCCCCCCCTCCTGTCCCCCCCCCCCTCCTGTTCCCCCCCCCCTCCTGTTCCCCCCCCCCTCCTGTTCCCCCCCCCCTCCTGTTCCCCCCCCCTCCTGTTCCCCCCCCCCTCCTGTTCCCCCCCCCCCTCCTGTTCCCCCCCCCCTCCTGTTCCCCCCCCCTCCTGTTCCCCCCCCCTCCTGTTCCCCCCCCCCTCCTGTTCCCCCCCCTTCCGTCTCATCCCATCCGTCCATCTACCACCACCCCACCCACCGCGAGTGGGCCCCAGTGGGCATCTTCCCTCAGGGCTTTGTTCCTCCGTGGCTCCCCCACCCACGACCTCCACCTCATCCCATTCGGCATCGTCCCTCCCCTTACCGCCCTTCCCCCTTCCCCCCCTTCCCCTCAGCACCCCACCCACCGCGAGTGGGCCCCAGTGGGCATCTTCCCTCAAGTCTTTTTCCTCCGCGGCTCGCCCACCCACGACCTCGATCTCATCCGAGCTGGCGTGCTCTCCGCCCTTAAGGTCCTCGTCATCTCTCCCGACCAATCGCCCGGCGCCACGTCACCCTCCTCCTCGTCCTCGCTCTCGTCCTCCTCAGGCCCCCCCACGGACCTAGCAAGTGTGGTAGTAGCAGCACATGTGGAGCAGCTACAAGGGGGAGAGGACACAGATGGAGGGATGGGGGAGGGTGGGGGGAATGGGGGGAGCGCTGGGAGCGTCGGGGGCGTGGGGGGCATGGGGAGTTTAGGGTTGAATGGGGAGAGCGGTGGTAGCGGGGGGGGGTTGCTTGTGGAGTTGCAGAGTGAGCAGTCATTTCAGTACTTCCAGCCGCTGTACCTGCTGCCGGCCCACCGGGCCGAGAGGCGGTCGTACCTGAGGAACAGAGCAGGCGTGTACACCTTCGCCCCCGCGTTTCAAAGTGGCCGCGCCTTCTGCAGCGCTGCCCTCTCTGCTGTGTCGTGAGTAAATGTTCGAGACCCTGAGTCTGCTTCTGACTAGTGTGAAGTGTTTGGGACCCTGACCCTGAGCCTGCTTCTGGTTAAAGTAAACTGTTTGGGACCCTGACCCTGAGCCTGCTATCTTCGTTGCTCCTATAACAGTTCCCCCTCTCCCCATTCTCCACTTTGAGTCGACTCAAAAGTCACTTTGAGTCGACTCAAAAGTCTCCCTGACCCTGAGCCTGCTATCTTCGTTGCTCCTATAACTGTTCCCCCTCTCCCCATTCTCCACTGCTCTGTTGCCTCTGACCGCCCAGCGTGGCCACTTTCTACAATTGCAACATCTCTCCCATCCTGCACCTCCTGCTCTCAAGCACCCCAGCTGTTGCTAGAGGATAATGCTTTCCCCACCCCTCGCACCCCCTCCCATCCCCCTTGTCTCTTCCCCTCCTGCTTGGCCACCTTGAACAATCGCAACATCTCCATTCACCATCCATTCACCATCCATTCACCATCCATTCACCATCCATTCACCATCCATTCACCATCCATTCACCATCCATTCACCATCCATTCACCATCCATTCACCATCCATTCACCATCCATTCACCATCCATTCACCATCCATTCACCATCCATTTACCATCCATTCACCATCCATTTACCATCCATTCACCATCCATTCACCATCCATTCACCATCCATTCACCATCCATTCACCATCCATTCACCATCCATTCACCATCCATTCACCATCCATTCACCTCCATTCACCTCCATTCCCCTCTCTCTGGCAGCCCTCCTTTCCCGCCCCTCCCCCGCCCCTCCCCCATCCCCCTATTGCCGCTGACCCTCCCAGCGTGACCACTTTCAAATACCATGCTTGTCTAATGCACCCCTTTCAACCCCCCTGTTATCTGCATCCCTCCCAGCGTGGCCACCTTCTACAATCGCAACATCTCCGCCATCCTGCACCTCCTGCTCTCTCGCAGCCCAGCTGTTGCTTGAGGCGCCTCAGGAACAATGATTTCCCCACCCATCCCACCCCTCCCACCCCTCCCCCTCCCCCACTCCCCCTGTTGCCTGCCATCCCTCCCAGCGTGGCCACCTTCTACAATCGCAACATCACCACCATCCTGCACCTCCTGCTCTCAGGCAGCCCGCCCATTCCCCCTCTCACCGCTGCACCTGCTGCTCCATCTTCTGCTGCTGCTGCTCCTGCTGCTGCTGCTGCTCCTACTGCTTCTTCTGCTGCTGCTGCTGCTGCTTCCGGTGCTTCCGGTGCATCCGCTCACTGTGCGCACCCGAAGCACAGGCGGCAGCTATGGCAGTGCGAGGTGCCCCACGAGTTTGAGGGGAGGGGGTACGGGGAGCTCTTCATCCACATGCTGTGGTCCACGCATGCGCTGGCGCTGGGGCTGTACCGCGCGGCCGGCACCTTGGGATCTCCCACGGCCTTCGTGCACACCAACCCGCTGCCCTCTACACCTCTTTCTCACGGCGACCTTGTGTTCTACATCATGTGACAGAATACACTACAGTGGCTAGAGTGCTCCTGCTGATTGTATTTAAGGTACAGTCCGCTCAATAAATCGCATCCCAATCCCCAGATTCCATGATGCACCGCACTGTGCCACAGTATACCTCAAGACCGAACATTCGCACCACGCTATACCTCTCAATCGGGGAGTGGGCGTCTAGACAGAGCCTCCCAAGACGAACCCTTATTGGTTGAAACGTTGCGAGTTGTGACTCTGGAAATTAATTCATCCCGAAAAGAATCAGCTTGTGTTGGATGCCTGGCAGACTTTCCCCAGGGGAGAGGGTGTGGTTGTGATGTGGCTGGCCGGTGCAAGTTGTATCCTCTGTGGGCACTTCTGCGGGCGTTCACTATGGAACGACGGCGAGAGAGGCTGGGTGCAAGCCAGTGGAAATCATTGAAGCACTGGATTAGCAACAGAAACAGAATGTACATATCACCCAAACATGCCTTGAGCCACGTGTTCGTGGTGTAGTCTACACTGCCCGCCCTTCATATCTACACTTGACAACGTCCCATTACCCAGCAGCCCAGCAAAGTAGGCAAAGGTGCTGATGTAGCTGCCAGCTTCAATGATGGTCCGAGCTTTGGACAGCAGAAAGAACTCAGCCATGGTGGGAAGCCGCCTGGCCACACTACCAGGAATATCGCCACTAGTGCTGCTAACGCTTAGACTGCTGCTGCTGCTGCTTCTACGGCTGCTGCTTCTGTTGCTGCTGCTATCAGCCCCTGTCACCCAACTGCTGCTCTCCAACCCCTCAGTGCCCCCGCTGCCCCCAGCCTTTGAAGTGTGAAAGATAGCTCCAGAGGAGAAGTACACTGTGCCGTACTGAGCCAGGCGGGATACGAACTCTGGTCTATTCTCCTCATCATCCGTGGCCAGAAAGATAGAGAATTCCCTGGTGCCCTCCCTGCTGCCCTCCCTGCTGCTGCTGCTGCTGCTGCTGCTGCTGCTGGATGGGTGTCTGCTGTTGGCGGGCTCTTTGCTGGTGAGTGGAACTCGCATGGACCGCAGGGTGCTGAGGATGCCCCCTATGCACTCCCAGAAACAGTTGCGCAGGAACTTAGGGCGGGGGTAGGTGGAATTGCCACGACCACCGCCGCCACCACCACCACCACCACCACCACTGCTGCTGGTGCTGCTGGTGCTGGTGCTGCTGGTGCTGGTGGTGCTGCTGCTGCTGCTGCTGCTGCTGGTATCAGGGGAATCGTCAGGGTCTTCACAGTCGGCCTCTTGGTACGTGTCCGCGGATTGCTTGATGACCTTCTCAACAGCCAGGGTGCGCGTGCGCACGTGGAACCCCACGTCGAACTCTATCTCTGGCCCCGCATGCACTGCCTCACTCTCAAGAGATGACGCTGCGGCTGCTGCTGGGTCTGCTGTGCTGCTGCTACTGCTGCTACTGCTGCTGCTACTGCCTGTATTGTCTGGCGCTTGGGTGCTGCTATTTTTGCTATCGCTGCTGTCACTGCCTGTGTGCGGCACGCGGTGCAGAACAGCAGAGATGGTGGAGGCGAGGGCTGGTGTCGGGCCGTTGCGAGTGAGAAAGGAGAACATGGCTCGGGAGTGGACGCACCACACCGAGCTGGAAGGAGGGGAAGGGGAGAGGGGGCGGGGTTGGTTGGGACGGGGGGTGAGATTGAGGAGGAGAGGGCTGGTGTCGGGCCGTTGCGAGTCAAGAAGGCAAACATGGCTCGGGAGTGCACGCACCACAGCGAGCTGGAAGGGGGGAAGGGGAGGAGATAGAGAGGTACAAGGACTTCTCGAATTGACTCTCAAGCTCATCAGTTCGGAATGGATGCACGACGCAGAACTGGAAGGGAGAAGGGAGATGGTTCGGAATGGATGCACGACGCAGAACTGGAAGGGAGAAGGGAGATGGTTCGGAATGGATGCACGACGCAGAACTGGAAGGGAGAAGGGAGATGGTTCGGAATGGATGCACGATGCAGAACTGGAAGGGAGAAGGGAGATGGTTCGGAATGGATGCATGACGCAGAAGTGGAAGGGAGAAGGGAGATGGTTCGGAATGGATGCACGACGCAGAAGTGGAAGGGAGAAGGGAGATGGTTCGGAATGGATGCACGACGCAGAAGTGGAAGGGAGAGGCAGCCTAGCAGGAAAAGGCATGAACACACCTGCAGGTGCCAGGCACGTTTGTTTCATGCCTCTGCTCATACAAACACACACGAGCTGGTGACTCACGACCAGTGGAATGATGCAAACACACATGAGCACAGGTGGTTGCCGTGGCACCAACGGAGGTTGAAGAAAGTGGTTAGGGTGGGAGCTAGAGGAGAGGTAGCATGGCAACGGAAAGTCATACAAACAAAAATGAGCTGGTGACTCACGAGCAGTGGAAAGCTGCGAAGACGCATGAGCGCAGGCAGTCGCTGCGGTGCCAGAAGAGGTCGAAGAGAGTGAATAGGTGCGAGCAAGGGGTGTCATAGACACACAAGAGTGTGGCTTACGAGCAGTGGAATGCTGCAAAGACGCATGAGCGCAGGCGGTCACTGCGGTGCCAGAAGAGGTCGAAGAGAGTGCCGCTGCGCGTGGCGAGGACGGGGTAGTCCGACTGCAGTGATGCCGCTATGGCTGGGAGGATGGAGGCGGGGAGGGATGATGAAGGATGGGGGGTAGGGGGAAGGGTGTGAGAGAAAGCAAGGGACACAGGGCAGTCTGACTGCAGTAATGCTGCTGTGGCTGGCCCTGAGTGCACTGTTGGGTGCACATTCCCAACAATAAGCCTCCCCCAGAAGGCGCCTTACCTTGAAAGCTTAATTATCCTCTAGGAAGTAGATGGGCCGCAGCATCGCAAACTTGCATGCACCCCACCCTGAATTCACCCCCCCCCTGAATGCCCCCCTCGAATGCCCCTCCCTTGAATGCGCCATACTTTGAAAGCTGGAGTATCGCTCCAGGAAGTAGACGGGTCGCAGCATCGCAAACTAGCATGCACGCCCTACTGGTTGCTTGCACCATCAAGGTTATACCCTCAGGATGCAGGATGCACCTCACTTGGAATGCCCTCCCTGAAATGCACCTCACTTGGAACGCCCCTCCCTGAAATGCACCTCACTTGGAACGCCCCTCCCTGAAATGCACCTTACTTTGGAAGCTGGAGTATCTTTCCAGGAAGTAGACGGGTCGCAGCATTGCAAACTTGCGCAGCAGCTCCGTGCCCGTGCCGCTGCGCCCCTCGCTCGCACTCCTCACCACCCCCACCGACCCCTCCGTCCCCACATCCCCCTTCAACCCTCTCCGCGCCCCCTCCCTCTTTCCCTCCCTTCCCCTTCCACACCCTCCCCATTCCCTCCTCTACCCCCCTGACCCCCCCTCCTTCTACGCCCCTCCTCCCTTCACTGCCTCTCGTGTCCCCATCCCCATCCCCCTCCCCTTCCTCTCCCTCCCCATCCCCACCCTCACCCCCACCCCCATCCCCTCCCGCACTCCCCTCCCCCTCCTCCTCCCCTCTATCCGCCCCTCCCGGCTGCCCCACGGCGTCAAAGCTGCACGCATACGCCTGGCAGAGGAGGTCGTACACCTTGGCGTGCTGCCCCGCGTGCAGCCGCACCAGCCGCCGCCCCGCCAGGCTGGCGTACACAAACGCGGAGACGAACCCGCGCAGGGAGTTCCCAAGGCCGTGGCGAGGCAGGAAGGCGAGGAAGCGCTCGTTGGGGCGCAGGAAGTCTAATAGGGACGTGACCGGCTGCCTGGTGTGGGGAGAGAGAGGAGATGGAGCCTCGGCTGCCTGGGAGGTTAGGTTACATGAGAAGCCAGGAATGAACCCCCCCAGGGAGTTCCCAAGGCCGTGGCAGGGCAGGACCGCGAGGAAGCGCTCGTTGGGGCGCAGAAAATCTAAAAGGGAGGTCACTGGTTGCATGGTATGGGTGGTTTGGGAGAGGAGAGGAGGAGGTTGGTTTACACAAGAAGCCAGGCACGAACCCCCCCAAGGAGTTCTCGAGGCCGTGGCGCGGCAGAAGGCAAGGAGGCGCTCGTTGGGGCGCAGGAAGGAGGTCACTGGCTGCCTGGGATGGGGAAAGGAAAAAAGGAGAGACGAAGGTTGGGTAATATGAGAACCCGCGCAGGGAGTTCCCGAGGCCGTGGCGGGGGAGGAAGGCGAGGAAGCGCTCGTTGGGGAGGAGGAAGTAAAAAAGGGAGGTGACTGGCTGCCTGGGAATGGGGAAAGGAGGGAGGAAGGGAGAAGGAAGCAGTCACGTCCGTGGCCGTGGCGGTGGGGAAACGAAGAGTTCCCCAGGCCGTGGCGCGGCAGGAACGCGAGGAGGCGCTCGTTGGGGCGCAGGAAGCCTAGTAAAGAGGCGACTGGCTGCCTAGGAATGGGGAGGGGGAGAGGAGGAGAGAAGGAGGTTGGTTTAGACGAGAAGCCAGGCACGAAGCACGACGGCAGCGCACAGTGGCTTGGCCTCCACGTCGAGAAGCATTCACTCCTTAAAACACGTGTGAGTGAACGGCTGCTGGAATGGGGAGAGGAAGCCCGACTCACATTTGGTCCGTAGATTGCCGGACTTCGTCCGGCACGACGGCAGCGCACAGTGGCTCGGCCCCCACGTTGACACTCACATCGCGCACGAACCGAGACTGCCATCTGTTCCACCCAACCTGCCACCAACTGGTGCCCATTCCACTCACATTTGGTCCGTGGATTGTCGGAATTCGTCCGGCACGATGTCGGAGCACAGCGGCTCTGCCCCCACGTCGACCCTCACATCGCGCACGAACCGAGACTGCCACGCCCGCCGCGGCACCCCTCCGCCCACCCCGTCCGTTTCTCCCACCCCCTCGCCTGACCCTTCCCGGCCCTCAACGCCACCATCTCCCCACCTCGTTTCAAACCCGCTTTCCCGGAGTCCGTCCGCCGCTGCTAGCGCCATGATGCTTCGCCGGCCTTCGTCGCTCAGGCTCATGCCTCCATCCGCGTTCCCCCCATCCGCGTTCCCCCCATCCGCGTTCCACTCGTCCCCCCCTCGGCCCGTGCGGATATCCGGGAGGCGCTGCCGCGTGGCGAGCAGGGACGCGCGCGCGGCGGGCGACCAGAGGAACGGGTAGTAGTGCCCCGCGAAGTTGGAACACAGGAAGAGGATTATAACGAGGAGAATGTTCTGTAAACGAGCAGCGACGCTCCCGCCGCCGCCGCTACCGCTGGCGCTACCACCCGCGCGTCTCCACGGGCTGCTGGGCCCTGGAGAAACCCCCCCATTACCTGTTGAATCCCCCCCGTATCCCCCGCCTTTGCGGCTCCTGGCGATCACACCCTTCGCGCTGCTGCTGCTGATGCCGCTGCCGGTATGCCCTATGGAGCTGAATCCGAAGCGGTGATTGGTCCACGCGTGCGACGGCGGCGGGATATGCGGCAGGAGTTTCGCCGCACCTGTCGCTGCTGCTACGCGCGAATCGCCGCACGACGGGGATCGCGGGGACGAGGGTGATCTTGCCGGGGGTGACTCAAACGAGGAGCATTCATCGTCGCTAAGGCTGATCTTACTCCTGGGTAGTCTAGAACCGGCGGATAAACGACCTCCGCGCGAAAGAGGCGATTTCGGGTTACCACCTGCAGCAGCAGAGTCGCGTGGGGATGCTCCTCCTGCACCTCCTGCTCCTCTTCCTCCTCCTCCCTCTGCTGCTGCCCCGCCGGTGGAGCCGGCAGAGGCGATAGGCCGGCTACCGAACCATGATGAAGACGGCTTGCGGTCTGACGGACGGTTAGGCGGCGATCTTATGCGCAGCGGCTGCGAGTACATTCAGACAACCGCTATCCTCCTCAGGCGCTTTGATTGCCTCCGGCCTGGAAGTTCTGGGACTACCCGCGGACTCGACGCGCTCACGACGGCTTCTCGCGCATTCGGATCTCTGCGAATTCGCAAGCTTTGCTCCCGAGGATTCAGGCACTACCCTAGCCGAGCGGATTCAAGAACTAGATTCAGGCGCTACCCTGGCGGAGCAATCAGGGGGTGTCTCAAGTGAATCACGGGATTTTTGAGGGAGGTACTGTAAGGGGGGAGTGCACGAGAGGGGGGTGCCAGGCAAGCCAAGCCTTGGGATTGTCTCTGGTTTGGATCCTAGCAGCCCCAGAGTGGGGCGTGTCGCTGGGAAACGAGGGGGGACGGCACCATCGGGATCTCCAGGAACCTGTGAGCTGTCGTACCAACCTCCCTCGCACCCTGGCTCTGATTGTACAGTACGAGGAATCAACACTTCAATTTCTTTGGATGAGTAAACATATAATTTTAGGGCCTTCTAGCCCACAAAACACCTATAATAATAATCTTATGTTCCCTCACACAATACATCACTACAATGCTAACTTATTTCCCTATGTTAGTACTTCATGAATTGCTGAACAGCCTACTTATAGCCGTCTATTTTGAGGCTGGCCCTGCCTTGATGGCACTGTAGATGGTCTTGATGGAACCTCACTCCCTCCACCGCCTCCCTTTCCTGCACCCACTCCCCCACTCCCCACACTCCCATCTGTCGGGTTCCCAGGAAAGAGAGGGTTCGTCGGTGAGGGGGTAGCCGCTACAACCTTTGGCTTCTTGGGGGACGGTGACCCCTTCTTTGGGGGGCTGGGTGTCTGGGTCCCATTCTTGGGGCTCCCTGGGAACAGTGAACCCGCCTTTGGGGCTTCGTTGTCTTGGTTCCGTTCTTCGGCTTCCCAGTTGAGGGCGGGCTCTTCTTTGGGGGACCTGTTGTCTTGGTCCCATTCTTTGGCTTCACTGGCTTCCCAGAAGGGAGAGGACTCTTTTTCGGGGGGCTAGGAGTTTTAGGGCTAGGAGTCTTGGGGCTAGGAGTTTTCGGGCTGGGAGTCTTGGGGCTAGGAGTCTTAGGGTTAGGAGTCTTGGGGCTGGGTGCCTTGGAGTTCGGAGCCTTGGGGCTGGGAGTCCTAGTGCCATTATGCGGCTTCCCAACAGCGGGAGGACTCGTTCCCGGGGGGCTAGGCGTCTTAGTCCCATCCTTCGGCTTCCCTGCAGGGGGAGGGGTCTTCCTCGGGGGGCCGGGAGCCGTTTTAGGAGGAAGCGGGAGCTTGAATCCCCCGGGTGGGTTGGCCGTTCCAGAGTTCCCCTCACTGCCCCCTCCGCCAGTCAACCCATTGTTGCCACCTGTATTGTTCCAGCCGCCCCCACCTCCCCCAGATGAGAACTGCACCTGGCAGTCGTAGTCCTTTCCTGCCACCCATCCTGCAGGGAGGCACGCCGCTGGGGTCTCCACCACTTGCCCATCCATTAAAGAGGTAAGTCGGAACCTAAGCGGGGACTTGAGGTAGGTCCGGTACACCCACACGGCGCCCCAGTCGTGCGTCATGGGCTTCCACATGGCGGATCCTGCTTCCGCCACGTCAATGGATGCCAGGTCACCGGGGCCCGCCACGTTGCGCACAAGCAGGTTGATCCAGTAGTCGGAGCCGGTGGGCGTGAGGCGGATGTTGCGGTTGAACAAACAAGGCACCCTGCATAGGTAGTGGCGTGTAATGGGGGGTCACAGGGTGGCACATGTGAGGGGACAGTGCATGCATTTTAAAACCCGAAAGGGCTTGAGGCGGATATTGTGTATACGGATATACAAGATGGTGAAGATATTAAACTGGGGAAGGTAAAGACAGGACGAAAGCTGCTAGCACATATGAGGATGGGGGGATGCGGGGAGGGATGGTCAGGGAAAGACGAGGAGGGAACACGGGTCTACACCCGGTCTACACGACCGGCAAGTGGTTACCCGGCATACACGACCGGCAAGTGGTTACCTGGTGTGCACGACCGGCAAGTGGTTACCCGGTATACACGACCGGCAAGTGGTTACCTGATGTACACGAGCTGCAAGTGGTTACCCAGTATACACGAGCAGCACGTGGTTACCTGGTGTGCGCGAGCGGCAAGTGGTTACCCGGTATACATGAGCGGCAATTGGTTACCTGATGCACACGAGTGGCAAGTGGTTACCTGATGCACACGAGCGGCAAGTGGTTACCTGATGCACACGAGTGGCAAGTGGTTACCTGATGCACACGAGCAGCAAGTGTCCCACAACTTGCTCCACAATGAGCTTGAAGGCGGCCATGGCCGGGCTGAAGTGCACCCACGTGGGGCAGCAGGTGCTTGCAGCAGATTCTATAACTGCCTAGTAATCTCCATCTACTCGAGTTGTTAACAGGGCTGGGCTGAGCTATTACCTGGTGTACACCAGCGGCACGTGCCCAGCGACTTGCTCTGCGATCATATTGAAGGCGGCCATGCCCAGGTCGAAGTGCACGCACGTGGGGCAGCACCACCCGCCCCCCGCAGGACACTGGTCCGTGATGGCCACCGTGACGCCACTCACGCCCTTCTTGCAGTACGGGCTGTCCACACACCGCACCCTGTTCGGGGGGGGAGGGGGAGAGGTGGGGGAGGGGGTTAAGGGAGGGGGGAGGGGGAGGGGGGAGGGGGGAGGTGTGGGGGGGGGAGGGGAAGGGAGAGAGGAATATTTGGTTCCACAGAATCTGTCTCACAGCATCAGCTCCTCAGCCCCTCGCGGGGCACTGGTCCGTGATGGCCGCTGTGACGCCACTCACGCCCTTCTTGCAGTACGGGCTGTCCGCACACCGCACCGTCTTCGGGGGGAGGTGGGGAGAGGAGAGGGAAAGGGGGTGAAATCACCCTTACACTACGGCAGCATCCCAGTCCCCGTGGGCCCCACGCCCGGGGCGCTGATCCGTAATGCCGCCCACGCCCTTGCAGTGCGGGCTGTCCCAAGCGGCGCTTGATCGAATTGTGATGCGCAATACCGTCTCAGCCCAGAACATAATGGGCTGTGGCGGGACCTCATCTGTAGCAGGAATGTCATCTGTAGCGGGCTGTAGCGGGCTGTAGCGCGATTTCACCAGTAGCAGCCGCAGCCGCGGATGTCCTTGTAGAGCATCACACTGCCCGCCGCGAAGATGGATTTCAAGACGTTTCAAAAAGCAGGATGCAGCAGGCTGTAGCGCACTGTAGCGGGCCGTAGACGGCTGTAGCGAGCCTCACCTGTAGCAGCTGCCACAGCCGCGGCCGTCCTTGTAGAGCATTACGCTGCCGGCCGCGAAGATGGGGCCGTACCCCGCCGCCAATAGATTGCCGTACCCGCAGTTGCCGCCTGCACAAGCCACGGCGGGACAGAGAAGAGCGCAATGCATAATGGAAAACCCCGTTATGAGGCACCTCAATACGCATAGAGAACCACGGTACAAGGAACCTCAATGCCGCCTAACATATCACAATGCACTATAACTTGCGCATGTCGGATTGCAGCCTACGGCAGTCGCATGACAATGCGGGTCTCATCATGACGGGAGCTCATGTCAAACGAGATGACTTTTGATTCGACTCAAAAGTGAACTCATGTCAAACATGTCGTGTGATCGGCGTACCGTCAATCCCGCCGCCGTAATAAGTGGCCGTGGCTTTCCCCGTGTACCCGAACCCCTGCGATCCCGCTCCCGCCGCCGTCACGAGGTCCAGTATCGCCGCATCGGCGCGCAGGGACGCGCGCGTGAGCGCTAGAACCAGGGGTACCAAAAGCGTCGTCATTAAATGGGCTGATAGAGACAGACAGCAGGCGGAATGCCGCGGCATGGCGAAGCGTCTCCTCTCTGACTTCAAGTCAAGTACTAAGTTGGTCAAGGACTCGCGGGAGAACCGCGCGGGTATTTGTAGGATTTCTAATGATCGCGCGAGTTGGATTGAGAGTTGCCAGCACGAGATGGGACGACGCTCGTCGGGTACAGTCAGCCCGACCGAAGATCCTATAAATGATCCTGAATGGGCTCGTCAGTATCCTACATCGCCTGCAAAAACTGCTATTCGGCCTGCTTGCGCTGTACTATGGCTAGTTTGTTACCTTGTCGATCTTCGGCAGTGCGAGGGTAGTAGCACCTGCCTCGTGCAATGTCGCATCTTGTGCCCTTCTCCCTTCGATATTAGCTCCCGCCTTCCCAGGGTTTGCCAAAAAGTCGCACTGCTGTATCGGATTGGTTGGGTTAGGTTGGTTGACATGAGATGCAAAGGGATTTAGGAAGGTTAAACAGGGGAAGCCCCAGACCTGGGGATCTGCGACAGGGGACCAGATCAGAGGCAAGCAAGCCCTGGTATTGTAACGATTGACGAGATATGTATGCACGACGTCGAAGCGCGAAACCAGGCGAGTCGCGGAAAGTAGGGCTGGTAGGGGGCTCCAGCTCGTGTCACTTCCGCAGACGTGGCACCCTCTCTGGTTGTTGGATTCGCTACGCTTGTTGAGCGTTTATTGGTCAAGTTGACGGTCGCGAAGCCGTGCGTTGCGAAGAGGCAGCGGGCGTGTTTGGCGAAATCACGTCGACCATCGGAAAGCGAACTGCCTCACGAAACTGTGCGATCGCATGCGATCACGAAAAAACAATTGGGCATTCGCTCGCCATGAATAAAGTCGCAGCACCCTGGGTCTTCTCTGTTGTGCGGCATGAGAAGAAACCTGAGAACCAGCGCAGGTAAAAATCAAGAGCAGCCGCCATTCTGTTGATGGAGGCCCTGATCTGGTATATTGTGGCGCCGGTACAAATATCATCAGCCTAGCATATTCTCGTACACTGTTTCTTAGATCTCCCACTTAGCATCTCCATGGAAAATCATTACTTCCATTGCATCAGCCAGATTATAGGAAGTACAGATTTGAATGAGTGTTAATGAATTCCAATATCACTTGGCATCTGTCACCAAGGCAGCAGGTCTTTTTTCTATCACCTCATCGATAAGGCCAAATGAAAGTGCCTCTGTGGGGCTCATGAAGCGGTCCCTCTCCATGCTCTCCGCTGGAATGAGAAATGAAGACAGGATGTAGGAAACACGCGAGAGGCATAATTGGCATGGACATGGTTGACTTGACAAAACAGCACGTGCAAATTTAACGGCACAGCCATCAAACAGTTAGCTTACTCACCAATCACATTGAGAGCCTTCCCAGTGTGCTTGGCATAGAGCGCATTCAGCCTCCCCTTGGTCTTGATGATCTCCTCCGCGTGAATGGCAATATCCGTGGCCTGCCCCTGCGTCCCCCCTGACGGCTGATGCACCATGAGCCGTGCGTTGGGCAGCGACCGCCTCTGCCCCGCCTCCCCTGCTGCCAGCAGTAGCGTTGCCATGGAGGCCGCTTGGCCGACACATAGAGTGCTCACAGGGCACTGGATGTACTGGTGTGGGGGGGGGGGGGGAGGGGGGAGGGGCGAGAGAATGATGGGGCAAGGTGGAAGGGAAGCATATAGAGCGACCGCCTCTGCCCCGCCTCCCCTGCTGCAGCGTTGCCATGGAGGCCGCTTGGCCGACGAACAGTGTGCTCACAGGACACTGGATGTACTGGTGGGGGGGGAAGGGAGGCAAAGGGAGCAGGATTCAGACGTAGCATGCAGACCCATGAGCACATGGTGGAATGGCATGGCATCGCATGGCATGACATTCGGGTCATTCGCACCAGCCATGCTTTAAGGGGCCATGTCACGCAAACATGCTCACCACACGGCATGAGATCATGCCAAGCCATGCAATTCTAGCACTTCCGCACCTGCATGGTGTCGTAGATGGCAAGGCCTGCTGTGACCAAACCACCCGGCGAGTTTATGTACACATACACCTGCATGGTGGCAGGGGTTGTAAACGCGTTATAGGAAGTCTCAAGCGGAGCTGTAATGCGCATGCACCTGCATGGTGGTTATGCAGAGGCAAGGGGCAAGAGAGACGAGGTTAAAGCGAGGCGAAGCATGGTCCAGAAGGGATATAGGTACAGCACGACATGGCTTTTTAGACCGAGTTTACGGGTTTCTCGGGATGCTCCAATTCTACGTACAGCAGCTGAGCCACCACCAGGTAACTGAGTCGATTTTTGAGTCGACTCAAAAATCGACTCATTACACACGGATTCTACGTACAGCAGCTGAGCCACCACCAGGTAACTGAGTCGATTTTTGAGTCGACTCAAAAATCGACTCATTACACACGGATTCTACGTACAGCAGCTGAGCCACCACCAGGTAACTTCTGAGCGACACACGGACTCTCAGGTACACTCGGATGTCTCGTAAATGTCTCGTGAATCCCTGAGCTTACAGGTTTCTCCGAGTGTTCCGATTCTACATACAGCAGCTGAGCCACCACAAGGGACTCCGTGTCGTCGCCGATCATGCCGTTCACTTCACGCACACGATGCTTTCGAGTCGACCCAAAAGCACACGATGCGCTCCTTCAGCAACCGCGAGCAGATGTGTGTGTGGGGGGGGGGGGGGGGGGGAGAGAGATCCAGATGCGCTACAGTGAAGTACGTGCTTGTTCCACACTTACAGGTTTCTCGGGGTGTTCCGATTCTAGGTACAGCAGTTGGGCCACTACTAAGGAAGCCGTGTCGTCGCCGATCGCGCCGTTGACGCACACGATGCGCTCTTTCAGCAGCCGCGAGAAGATGTCGAATGCGCGCTCGCCACGTGGCGTCTGCTCCACCACCATGGGGACCAGATTGTAGTGCCGAGGGCTCCCTGCGGACGGCGACACGTCAGCGCCGGGGGAGATCGTGTGAGGGGAAATGATAGCGGTTGTGGTGTGCTGGCAGCCTGTGATTGGCCGAGGTCTGTGCCGCGTGGCAGAACCGAGAGCGGAAGTTAGGCGGCGGAATGCCATGGGAGCGATCGGGCCAGGTGGTAACGAGAGCTAGACGATGGCTGGTACTGGGCGCTATGGCTTGGCTATAGCTTGGCAATGGCTTGGCTGCCGGTTAGGCTGCGATAAGTACAGTAAAACTGAAAGTCCGGCGCAAAGCTTGTTTTCCCGTTAGCCGAACGCGGCGAGAAGCTCGTCCGAGGGAGGCTCGTTTGGGAGGAACGGTCGGAAAATGGAGATTCTGATAATAGAGCACGCACGCACGCTGCCTGCTCGCTTCGTCGCGTCGCCGTCAGAGCAGCAGTGGAGGAGCAAGAAGCGAGGGAGGAAGGATTTATCTGAGACGGTGTGGTGCAGAGCAGCACAATGGAAATTTGCGAGTGCTGGTTTCTTTTTGTTTTCATACCAGTATAAAATGTTGCATGGGAGATGAAATTGTTACCAGTAGAATAACCTTATGTAGAGTAGAGTTTTGGTTCTCCATGGGACAATCTCTAGGGCTTTTTTGTTGAGCAGATACTGGAAACCTATTTCTCCTAATTCTTGGTTCTCAGAACCGTAATCTAGACTTGTAGACAGACTTCCATATTCCCTGCTCGCCCTAGGCAGTCGCCAATCTGCTGGGCAATCGACCAAAGGCTAATCGTAGGATCTATTTTCTTTCGCATATTATTAGCATCCTTCACGCCGCATTTCATGAGTAACGGGTAGCCGATAGCTGAACGAGTCGTCGAAGCTTAGAGCCAGCACACCTAGCACTCGCGCATCGCGCTCGTGATGAGCGCAGCGGCGATGGCGGCGGGGCAGCCGCAGTTCCGGTACTCGCAGCCGCCGTCCAAGGTGCTGCACGTGCGCAACCTGCCGTGGGAGGCGACGGAGGAGGAACTCGCGGAGCTTTGTAACCCGTTCGGCCGCGTCGTCAACACCAAGACCAACGTCGGCGCCAATCGCAACCAGGCGTTCGTTGAGTTCGTGAGTTCGCAGTGTAACGAATCGTTTTGATATCCGCGGACTTCGGTAAAATTTTCGTCGTATTTCGCTACAGATCCTTGGCATCCGCTGTTAGTACTCGACCTCCTCGTGAGAGATTTTTCAGAGTTCTCACAGATCCTTGGAATCCAACGTTAGTACTCGACCTCCTCCTCCTGCGGACCGAGTCTTTTGAGGCGCCTCAAAAATAGTTTTTTTTCGTCGTATTTCTCTACAGGTCCTTGGCTCTCGTTGTTAACACTCGACCTCCCCCTGCGGACCGTTGTCCCCTTCCTGATGACATTCCGGTCTTTTCTGATTTCTCCTGATGCCATTCCGCCTCTTCCTGATGCCATTCCGCCTCTTCCTGATGCCATTCCGCCTCTTCCTGATGCCATTCCGCCTCTTCCTGATGCCATTCCGCCTCTTCCTGATGCCATTCCGCCTCTTCCTGATGCCATTCCGCCTCTTCCTGATGCCATTCCGCCTCTTCCTGATGCCATTCCGCCTCTTCCTGATGCCATTCCGCCTCTTCCTGATGCCATTCCGCCTCTTCCTGATGCCATTCCGCCTCTTCCTGATGCCATTCCGCCTCTTCCTGATACCATTCCGCCTCTTCCTGATGCCATTCCGCCTCTTTCTGATACCATTCCGCTTCGTGCTGACATCCCGCTTCGTGTCTCTTTCAGGCGGATCCCAATCAAGCCATCGCCAGGGTAGCATACTACGCCTCGACGTCAGAGCTGGCCCAGGTCCGGGGCAAGGCGGTGTGCCTGCAGTAGTCTGGCGCGGCCGGAAAACAAAACACCACGACTGCTTTGTTTTCCTGCTACTCGCATTGACCTTCTTCTCCCCCCCCCCTGCTACCCCCATTGACCTTCTTCCCCCCCCGCAGGCTGATCTAAACCAAGCAATTGCGATGGTATCCTACTACGCGTCGTCCTCGGAGCCCGCTCAGGTGCGCGGCAAGGCGGTGTACCTGCAGTACTCCACGCGGCAGGAGATCACCACCTCCACCAAGACGGGCGACTCCACGGGGAATGTCCTGCTCGTGACTATAGAGGGGGTTGAGGCTGGCGACGTGACTATAGACGTGCTTCACCTGGTACGTGCCTGCTTGTGGAGGTAAGGTCGTGAGCGCGTGCGCTTCAGGCTAGGTGTGGATGCATCATCGTGCCCTCTTGTCTGTCTTCGTGCCAACCTCACCTACCCCCCTTCGTGCCTACCCTGCTCGAACTCTCACAAGGCTCGTTTCGTGTTGATGGAGCATTGATTGATGATTACCAAGATCCCTCACTTCGTGTGCAGGCCTGTCCTCCTCTGATTCAAGCGAACGGCTCAGATCTTCCCTCGCATGAGCGATGCGAATCCGCTCAAGATCCGTTCTGATTTCACCGTTTGTCCTCGAAACCTTTCCTGACTCGCCCTACTCAGCTCCCTAACCCCTCCCTCAAAACCCCCTTTCCGAACCCAACCCAACCCAAACCTACCCAACCCAACCCAACCCTAGCCTACCCAGATGCTGCTGTGCTTTTTATTTTCAGGGACACAGCACCTGCGCCTTCTTGGGTGCTCTGTGGATCTTAGCCCACCAGTCTCATGCTTTTGAGGCGTCTCAGAATCTCGTGCTTTGTGCTTTTCATACGTTATACGCTGATTACTAGCATTTACTACTTGACTTGTTGTGCTTATAATGTTGCATCTCGCCACTTTCAGACGCAGTCTAGACGTTCTTGTAGCTGTCTTATCCGTGTGCAATGATTCGATTCTTGGAATAGCAACGTTGAAAAATCGACTCATTACACACGTTTTATTTACTGGAGTAGCAACGCTGTTTTCCTGTCGTTGGTTCACAGTCGTTGCTGTTATGGTGTGCCAATTTCCATGCTGGGTCAATACTCCCACATTTTATTCGAGTGGGAGTTTCCCATTCTCTGCTGCGTTTCTCTGTTCTTTCACCTGATATGCACGCAGGTGTTCTCAGCGTTTGGGTTTGTGCAGAAGATTGCGACATTCGAGAAGAGCGCAGGCTTCCAGGTCAGTCTAAGTCTGTCTCGAGGCGGAGTCAACCAGCGCCGTGGCCGTGTTCAAGCCCCACGAGATAGGAGTCTGGTTTTGAGGCGCCTCAAAACTAGACTCCTATCGGGCCCTTGTTCAAGCCCCAAGACATGTCTGACTGCCTTGTCCCCCCCTCGCCTCCCACTCTGTTGCTCCGATTATTCCCTCCCTGCACTCCCTGCATTCCCATGGACAGCACGATGTCTGTCCTGAAGTTCCTTCCTTCCACCCTCTTTCCCCCTTTTCCCCCCACCTTGTTTCCACGGCACAGGCGTTGGTGCAATACGCTGACCCCGAGACTGCCAACAGCGCCAAGACTTCTCTGGACGGCAGGAGCATTCCCAGGTGAGATGTCTGTCAGGAGCATTCCCAGGTGAGATCCCTGTCAGGAGCATTCCCAGGTGCGCATTCCCTAGTGATAATCCACGTATACGATGATACGTTTTCCTCTGTGCGTCCGTTTGTCTCTGTGCGTCCCTTTGTCTCTGTGCATGCACCTCCACTCTTCCCCCCTCCCAGCTACCTGCTGCCAGAGCACGTGCAGGCGTGCAGTCTGCGCATCTCCTTCTCAGCACACACGGACCTCAACGTCAAGTTCCAGAGCCACCGCAGCCGCGACTACACCAACCCCTACCTGCCCGTCTCCTCCTCCGCCACCGATGCTGCGGTTCAGGTATGTGCTGGTGCAGGGATTGACTGGTGCAGGTATTGACTGGAAGTTCTATTTCCACCGCAGCCATGACTACACCGAACCCTACCTCCCGTCTCCTCTTCCGCTACCGATGCAGCCTTGCAGGTAGGCACTGACTGGTGCAGTGCAGGTACTGACTGGAGCAGGTGCTGACTGGAGCAGGTAGCGCATTCTTTTGGGCCTGTGTGCCGTTTCGCCTGCATCATCCCTTCCTGCCCACCCTGTTGCTCACACTCCCCTTTCCACACCTTCCCCTCCCAACCGCTTTCTCCCCGTCAGCTGACCCCAGGGCCTGTGGCAGCAGTGAAGGGCGAGGCAGGCAGCAACGTGCTGCTGGCGTCGATAGAGAACATGCAGTACCCGGTCACCATCGACGTGCTGCACACGGTGAGTGGCACCACCTACAAGCTGCCCTGGCGCAATTGATGCTTAACACACTGTGCGTGCTGCTCGCATCAATCGAGAGCATGCAGTATCCAGTCACCATCGACGTGCTGCACACTGTGAGTGGCTGCTTGGCTGCTTGAATCTGCTCCATTTCGTCCTTTGGTGATTTTTTTAGTCGACTCAAAAATTTCCTCCTTTGATTCCTTTGATTCATCCGTTGGAGGAATTCTGACGGCGCGACGCTCCATCCGTTGTGATTCACCCCTGAGTGGGCCTGCTGGTTCCTCCGCCATGCTGCACACTTGCTGTATGCTGTCTGCAGGCCACGTGCAATGCAACTGCCCTTTTGGCTCTCTCCCCTCCTCCCTCCCCCTCCCCCGCCCTTCTCTCTCGCTCCGTCTCCCCCTTCTCCCGTCCTGTGTTTCCCCTCCCCTCTCCCCCCCCCCCCCCCTCCTCGCTCCATCTCTCTCCTCCTGCGCCGCCTGCAGGTATTCTCTGCCTACGGCTCGGTGCAGAAGATCGCCATCTTTGAGAAGAGTGCTGGATTCCAGGCGCTGGTCCAGTTCCCAGGTTGGTGCCCAGTGGACGCTGTTATGCCCTGGTTCCACTTGAACGTACCGACGTGTTCCTCGTGGATTTTAAGTTGATGTGCATGGCAGGCAGGCAGGGGTTATGTGTGGATGTGACCCAACACTCCCTCAATGCTCTTCATCCTATGATTCCACGTGCTGCAGATGCGACAGCAGCCACAGCGGCCAAGGACGCGCCGGAGGGGCACCGCATCTTGGAGGGCGGCTACTGCATTCCCGTGTGCCCTCACCCCTTCATGCCTGTGCTGTGCACTGTTTCACCCATCCCCTCACTCACTCCCCATTCCCCTCCCTCGCGGTGCAGATGCGGCAGCAGCCACAGCGGCCAAGGACGCGCTGGAGGGGCACTGCATCTACGAGGGGGGCTACTGCAAGCTGAGGATCTCATACTCGCGCCACACCGACCTCAACGTCAAGGTGAGGCTTTAACGCCTAGGTGAGGCTTTTACGCCTAGGTGAGGCTTTAACGCCAAGGTGAGGCTTTAATGCCAAGGTGAGGCTTTAACGCCAAGGTGAGGCTTTAACGCCAAGGTGCACACTCTGTCATAAGCCTTAACTTTGTCTTTCCATCTCTCATTCCCAGCTCAAGCTTCCGATCTTCCTCCCACTCACTCACTCACTCCTGTCTTCCCTCTGTCATCCCCTCCCTTCGCCCATCTCCATCCTGCAGGCGAACAACGACCGCAGCAGAGACTACACTCGCCCCGACCTCCCCACAGTCGCTCCCATCCCTCCTCCCACCACTGCCACCACCACAGCGGGTATCCTATCTCCTGGCGCCACCACCACCCCCCTCACCACTTCATCTCCCCCCATCCTCTCCTCCTCCCCCTACACTCCCCCGGCCCCTCTTGCCCCCTCAACTGCCCCTCCTGTCCTCCCCACCCCCACTGCCCCTGCTCCCTTCTACCCCTCCTCTTCCCCTGCCGCCCCTCCCTCCTCTGCGCCGCCCATTCTCGGCCACCAGGGGCGCCCAGCAGCCTTTCCTGCCCCCCTCCCAGAGGCCCGCCTCCCCACGGTCCCCCTCCCCATGGGCCCCCGCCCTATGGTCCCCCTCCCCCCTATTCCGGCCCTCCCCACGGCCCTCCCCCCATACCCCCCCTCCCTACAATCGAGGTCCCCCTCCTGGTCCCCCTCCCATGGTCCTCCCCCCAGGAATTTCCCCCCCAGCCCTTACGGTCCTCCTGGCCCCCCCCAGGGTCCCCTCAGGGCCCCCCTTTCCGCGGCCCTCCTCCTCCCAGCCCTTACCCCCCCGGACCTCCTGGTGGTCCGCCTCACGGACCTGGAGGTCCAGGGCCTGCCGGCCCTCCATACGGACCTCCCAGGCCCGGTGGTCCACCTCCAGGCCCGTTTTACCCTCCACCTGGCGGACCTCCCCCTGGTGGGCCTCACCCATATGGCCCTCCCCCATATGGCCCTCCCCGTGGTGCCCCTCCCCCCATGCCTGGGCGGGGTCCCCCCCCCCCTTTGATGGGAGGTCCCCCTCCCCCTGATGCTGGAATGATGCCTCCCCCAGGTGGGCCTCCCCCTGGCCCTCTCCCCCCTGGACGCCCTCCCCCACATCTTTTCCCCCCAGGTGCTGGCCCCCTCCACCAGGCATGGGGGAGGCCCCCCTCCCCCTGGAATGCCCCCTCCCCCTTACATGGGAGGGGGACCTCCCTCTGGTCCCCCAGGTATGCCTCCCCCTCCTGGGTATCCGGGAGGTCCCCCTCCCCCAGGTATGGGCCCCCCTGGTGGCCCTCCAGGAATGCCTCCCCCACCTGGATATGGCAGCCTCCCCCTAGATTTGGTTCCCCCCATGGGCCAGGAGGCCCACCGCCTCCTGGGTATAGATATTAGAGATGGAACTGACCTTCCTCTAGTAGCGGTGTTTATGTGCCTGCACAGCCTGCTTTGGGATATTGAAGTATGCTTGAGGGCAGGGTGTTGGCGTTGAATGCTCAAAGCATTTAGAATGGTTTGCCTAGTTAAAACCCCTGGCCCGAATTGCAAGGCACAGCCTTGAAACGCAGTGCGTTTGAAAGTTGCGTTTTTGGGGGTGTATTGGGGGGTAACGAGACTCTCTGCACTCAGGGGTGCCTTTCAAGTTCAGTGCGTAAGGTAGGTAATTTGGAACACCAGTCGCCTAGCGTTTTTCAACCGTCCAGTTTTTCCAATTTTTCATCTGACACCGCGTAAGCCAAGCACTTCCCCCAGTCAGTCTAAAAGTAATCTCATCCGTCAGACTGTGTGTTTGTAAATCTGACGGTTCACGACAAGCGTTGAATTTTAGGGAGTAAACGCCTTCGAGATTTTCCAGCGGATTTCGTACATCCCAAGGGTCAAAGTTCATACGCAGTGCGGTTGAACAATTTGGGCCGCGGGTTTTAAATTCGTAAAAAAACCTTGTCATTGTATCTAATTGTAATGTGAACGTGCCGGGAACTCCCTGCCAACGCAGCCTGAGCTCCTTTCATTCAGCGCCACATCTGAATGACGTGTACCAGCGCATTGGCGACCAGAACGATGCGATCTCGCCAAGCCAGCGTGCCAGCTGGCCAATGAAATGCGGTGCTGGCAGACAACAGAGCAGCACAGAGAGCATCCAAAGGAAATATCGGGGAATTTCAAATAGCAAACGGTTCTCAATCAAATCCAGCCTCCCTATTCCTGTCTTGTACATCTCGAATTCTGTATAGCTGCGCAAATTTGCCCTTCGGCCCCATTTTCCTGCCACAGAAAACTCAAACTAGGCCCGGGCAGTCACTCTGCCCTTGATCATATGGGCACTCGTTCGGCGTGTCATCTGCCGAAGCCAGGTAGGATTCCGCAATTCCCGTTTCCCTCCCACCCCACAGCACTCCTCCCAATTTCGCCCCACAGAAAGCTCTGATGCATCAGCAGCAGCAATGCGCTGTGTGCGGCCCTCCGGCCCCTCCAGCCTCGATGTTATATTCTTGGCTGTGCTCGGCCCATCAAGGAATTGCTTCTGTTAGAAAAGCATTTATTAAACCTCCCATTCGCGTGCCTGGCTTACCGAATCCAAATTCTTCTTGGTTCTCGGCTAAAATTGCGTTGTAGAAAAGCTCTGCCATTATTCGGGAAAGCGAGCGTAAGTTAGAACTTCTCTCGTAACATATTCAAATTCCAGTTGTTACCTTTCTTGAACCGAAGCGCCGTCAGCGCACGCCATGGCGCTGTGCTCGTGTCCCAAGGTGCTGACCAGCAGGGTCGTGTACGCGGACGAGAATTCCGGCCACGTGCATCTCTGCCTGCCGTTCTACGTGGACGTCTGCGGCGAGTGCCACCTCTCCTTATATCGCGGATGCTGCTGCAGCGGCGCGCGCACGCTGCGCAACCACCCCGCGGAGATCCAGGAGCGGCGGGAGCTCATGGGGAAAGTGTTAGAGGAGCTGATGGTGTGCGCGCAGAAGCGGCGGAAGATGAAAGCGCGCGAGGCGATTGCCAAGGCGCAAGCCGCCAAGGAGGCGAGAATGCAACACGTGGACAAAGGTACTGTAGGCTAGATTGCGAATCTACTCTCTCGTTTTCGTGGTTTGACGTCGACAACCCGCATGGTAACAGGGAAGCAGCCTCACCTGCGTTATTGCAACCTCTCACATTTCCTTCCGTCCGAAGATGCCTCCTGGTCGGTCTTAATCTTCCTCTTTCCTTTTTCCACACTGCTATCTGCAGACTCGTTGATGAGGGCCCTTTCGAAGAGCGACGAGTATCCGCCCACCAAGACGCACTCTCTTCACTCCCACGTGGTACGTCCGAAGATAACGAACATAGCCGTTGTACCGCTTCAATCTGCGAACAACCACTTGAAACCGTCCTCCACCGAGATTGTGAGGATTTGTTCCTCTGTCGTTAGTTCAGGGTTGTTTCGCGCACACTGAATAGCACAGTTTGCGTTGCGTGCCTGATGTCTTCTATCTGCCGCATGTGGCTTTTGCCGTCTGCCTTCCCCGCGTCTTCTCGCTGCTGCAACAGACGGCGCCCGTGTCGCGCTGCTGGACGCCTGCCATGGAATGCCGGGCGAAGAGGATGCGATACTTCTCCCCCTCACCCCCCCTCCCCCAAACCCCCCCCCCGCCCTCCTCCCCTCCCTTTACTTGCATCGTTTCTCTCCCTTGCCCCCCTCGTCTCACTGCTGCAGCAGACGGCGCCCGTGTCGCGCTGCTGGACACCTGCCATGGAGTGCAGGGCGCAGAGGATGCGCGTGCAGCAGCCACGTGCCGTGCACTGATTGGCTTCCACCTTCTGTGGAGGCAGTCAGTCAGGTCAGGTGCTGCAGATGCCCTCAGCAGCGGTGCTAAGTGCCTGAACAAGATGGGACAGGGACGTGTTAATTTGTGTACATATATGGCTTTACCGTCGCACTGCTTAGGTTATGTGTTTGTGAAGGCCTTTTTGTGAAGTATAACTGCGGTATTCGAGACGAACTGCTTGCCACTTTTGTGCCCCTCTTGCCGCATGCGAGAGGAGCAGTTGACGAGTAGATTATTAATCAGGATAAATGCACTAGGAGGCACCCTGTCTGCACTGTACCATACATTGTATAGCAAGAATCCATATTGCATTGCACCTCTAGTCAAGAGAGAGCAAACGAGTCCAGAATGTGTTTGAGCAGCGGCCGGCCATCGAAGAAGAAGGATTCTGTCCCCCGCACTCGGCACACATGCACGGCGCCATTCGCCACCCCCGCGCACAGCAGCAGGTGCTGGATGTCTGCCCTGTGGTCCCCCAGGTCCTCTGGATGCACCACCAGCTCATACCTGAAAAAAGTGCCGCCCACTGATATTATTTCTTCTGCCCAGATGACGAAGGCTGGGGCGGCCCGGGCAGCCTGGGAGGTTTGTGAGCGTGCACGAGCCAGGCTGGGCATGGATGGCAGGGCAGCCTGGGAAGCTTGCTCTCTGCCACTTGACCTACTCGCCCCAACTGCCACACCCGGGCCACTCGGGCCACTCGTGCCAGAAGGGGCGTTTTCCTGGGTGGGAGATGACAAGTGCACTCTTCCTGACCCCAGGCGTTGGCGGGGGGATTGCAGTTGCGGAGACTGGTGCGATGATGGGTGGGTGACTGGTGAATTGGGGCTACCATATATGGAAGAAAACGCTGGGTTGGCGCTGGTGCTGCTGTTTTCACCTTCAGCAGCAGTGGCGGCAGTAGCAGGAGCAGGAGCGGTCGCAGCACCAGTAACAGCAGCAACAGCAGCAGCAGCAGCAGCAGCAGCTGTAGTGGCAGAAGAGGGAGCGACAGAAGGAGGACGGTAGGGTGCAGCAGCAGCGGATGATTCCGGCAGTGTGAAGGACACTGATCTCTTTACCCCTTCAGCCAGAACCAGAGGCTTAGTCGTGCTGCTGGCACCACCAGCTTTGCTGCTGCTCCTGCTGCTGCCACCAACGCCGGCACCACTGATGGCACCACCCTTGCTGCTACCGCTGCTGGCGCCACCCTTGCTGCTCGCACTGACGCCTGCTGCTAGTTCCGGGCAGATGTTGTCCCACTCGGTCAGCAGAAAATTCATCGGGTCGCCGAATTCGGTCAGTGAAGAAACTCCAGACGGGCGGACTGAGAAGCAGATCACATCGAGCTCGGCTACAGGATCGCCGTCTAAAGTCACATCCGGGTCGCTGAATTTCACGAGCACATGGTCTTCAAACGCGGATGGCAGCTCTTCCACCCAGCTCCTTGGCACACTTAGTGAGAATCCAAGCCCGCGGTAAGCGAAACACGGAATCCCCTCCATAGCCTCCTCCTCGTCGACACTTAGCTGCTCGGATAAGTGCTGGTCCCTAAACGCCCGCCCGCCGAACAGCGGCTTTAAGTAATGCTGGTCGAGCCACTTGAACCACTTGTGGAGGCCGGAGGGGGGGGCGATGGAGAGTGAGTGCGATCGCTGCATGTATAGGAGGTCGTTGAGACTGCGGCCGCCTATCAAGGGGACGTCTAGAGAGGGCATAGAGCGTATCGACTGGTTTCCTGATTCCTCCTCTGCTTCTGCTGTCGCTGCTTCACTGTGTGTGCGTAGGTGTGAGTGCGGGTGTGAGTGTGGGTGCGAGTGTGCGGGCGGGGGTGAGTGTGAGGGAGTGCTTGCATGAGATAGACCAGCCAGGGCGGCATGTGCGTGGGTGGGGGTGTGCGAGGGGGCAGAGAGGTGCAGGGCGTGCAGAAGAGGACAAGTGGAGCCGCCCATGACGATGGTGGTGAGCACCACGACAAAGAGGGTGGTGGAGACGATGGCAGGGTTGCGCTGGGGCATGTTGAGGGCGAGAGCGAAGGCGATAGCTCCTCTTAGCCCGCTGAGCCACATCATGAGGACCATGTTGGCGGGGATCTTGTGTGCCCTGGGATGCGGTGGAGAGTGGAGGGAGGGGAGGGGAGAGGTAGGGTTGCGCTGCAGCATGTTGAGGGCGAGCGCAAAGGCAATGGCGCCCCCCTTAGCCCGCTGAGCCACATCATTAGGACCATGTTGGCGGGGATCTTGTGTGCCCTGGGATGCGGTGGAGAGGGGAGGGAGGGGAGGGGAGAGGTAGGGTTGCGCTGCAGCATGTTGAGGGCGAGCGCAAAGGCAATGGTGCCCCCCTTAGCCCGCTGAGCCACATCATTAGGACCATGTTGGCGGGGATCTTGTGTGCCCTGGGATGCAGTGGAGAGGGGAGGGAGGGGAGGGGAGAGGTAGGGTTGCGCTGCAGCATGTTGAGGGCGAGCGCAAAGGCAATGGCGCCCCCCTTAGCCCGCTGAGCCACATCATGAGGACCATGTTGGCGGGGATCTTGTGTGCCCTGGGATGCAGTGGGGTGCAGTGGGGTGGGATGGGATGGGGATGGGAGAGAGGGAACGAGAGGGTGAAGGCATGGTGGTAGGAGTCCTGTTGGCTCTGGGATGGGTGTGGGAACGTAGGGGAGAGGCAGGGGAGAGGGCAAAGGCATGTTGAAGGGGAGCGCAAAGGCAATGGCTCCTCTTAGGCTCCTGAGCCAAATCATTAGAATCATGTTGACAGGGATCTTGTGGGCCCTGGGTTGGGTAGAGGAAGAGGGGGGGTGTGGGTGGGGTTAAAAGAGGGAATGGGGAGGGAGAGAGAGACGAGGCATGCAGAGAGTGCACATCATATGGGTGGGAACCAGCTGAGTTTGGAGTCGACTCAAAAGTCTGCGGAGTGTGCACAGCATGTGGGTGGGAATCATGCTGGCCTTAGGCGCATTAGGGAGAGGGGCTTACTGCGTGCGGTTGGAGAGCCAGGAGAGGGGGAAGACGTTGAAAGCCCGGGAGATGAGGCAGAGAGGAAGGGCGGAGAGCAGCAGACCCCAGTCGACGACATGGTGCATCACCACCACCTGGCAAACACGACCCGTTAGCACATGGTACATGGCATGGGACATGGTGTGAGGCAGAGAGGGATGGATGGGACATGGCATGGTAAGGGCGGAGAGCAGCAGAGCCCAGTCAACCACATGATGCATCGCCGCCACCTGGCAGGCAGGGCAGATGGCTATATTGTAAGTCGAGTCAGAACGCACATGGTTTGCAACACACACCTGCATGCCTGGCCAGGTAAGCCCAGCGCAAGACACACCTGCCATCAGCTGCAAGTCCATTACTGCAGCAAGCCATCATCTACATGCCAGCCCAGCATGGACGCCAGGTGTTACCTGCACGCTCCGAGCACCACACACCTGCATGCTCCGAGCAGCACACACCTGCATGCTCCGAGCACCACACACCTGCATGCTCCGAGCAGCACACACCTGCATGCTCCGAGCAGCACACACCTGCATGGAAGCACAGCAACACAGCAGCACGCACCTGCATGCCTAGGTACGCGAAGACGAACATCTCAGCCATGAAGGAGAGCGCGTCAAAGGCGTACTTGCTGCTGATCTTGGACGCATGCGACACGTTGTAGTACCTGCGGGCGGTAGCATGGTAACCGTGTTACACATAGTTCAGTACCCTGCACATGGCGACACAGGGCAGTGTGCTGTGGTCTCCATAATGTCCCTGCCAGCAGCCATGCACGCTCCACAACGCTTGAAAAAGGGCCAAATTTAATCGACAGCTATTTCGCCCGTGTTTCCATTGCTCTGCTTCCCAGAAGGCACGACACTGTACCCGTAGTGCACGAGATGAGGTAGCACCCCTAGAGAAGAATGTACATGCAAAAGGGAAGTGAGACACCATACTGTGCGCTGCATATGCTGCACAAGAAGAGCGCCATGATGCCTGATAAGGAGAGCAATCTAGTCACGGAGTAGGAGACGTAGCCCGAGACGAGCACAAAGGAGAGCTCGAACTTGGCAAACATATCCATAGTGAGGAAGTGAGACACTGTACCCATAGTGCGCGTTGCAGATGCCGCAGAAGAAGAGCGACATGATGCCCGATAGGGACAGCATCTCGGCAACAGAGTAGGAGACGTAGCCCGAGACGAGCACAAAGGAGAGCTCGAACTTGGCGAAGTCGCTCCGGATGTCGATGAAACGCAGGATGAGCGCACAGAGGAGCGAGACCAGGATGCCGAGGAGGATGGAGCCCACGCTGATGCCCAGAAACTGAACTGTTGATTTGAGGAGGTTGGGGGGGCGGGGGGGGGGGGTGGTTGAGAAGACTGAGGGCGGAGAGCAGGGAGACGAGGATGCCGAGGAGGATGGAGCCCATGCTGATGCCCAGAAACTGCACTGTTGATTCGAGGAGGGGGTTCGGAGGAGGGGGGGAGAGGGGAGAGAAGGCTGAGCGCGCAGAGGGGCGAGACGAGAATTCCCAGCAGGATGGAGCCCACACTGATGCCCAGAACCTCAACTATTAAAACGAGCGGGGGAAGGGGAGGGGGAGTGGGGGGGAGAGGGGAGAAAGGGAAGGATAAGCGCACAAGTTCCGAGCACCACGAAAGTGCCGGGCACCACGGAAACCACATGGGTTGGAGGGAAACCACTGGGAAACAACTGAGAAACCACTGGGAAACAACTGAGAAACCACTGGGAAACAACTGAGAAACCACTGGGAAACAACTGAGAAACCACTGGGAAACAACTGAGAAACCACTGGGAAACAACTGAGAAACCACTGGGAAACCACTCCGGGTGGTGGTAAACCATCATTAGGAAATCACTTGGGGTGGTGGTAAACCACTGCAATGCCACTCCGGGTGGTGTCAAACGACTAGGCAACCAATCAGGGTGGTGGCGAACCACTAGGAAACCATTCGGGTTGGTGGCAAACCACTGGAATACCACTCAGATCGGTGAAAAACTACTAGATTTCCACTCAGGCTGGTGGCATACCACAGGAATACCACTCAGGTTGGTGGCAAACCAGTGGGAAACCACGAAGGGTGGTAGAAAACCACTGGAATACCACTCACCGGACCGGACCACTCACCGGACCAGACCACTCACCGAAACCGACCACCCACCGAACCGGACCACTCACCAACCGGACCACTCACCGGATCGGACCACTCACGGGACCGGACCACTCACGGGTAGACATGGTTAAAACGCGACGGTGGACACAGTCCACCGTCCATCGTCCATCGTCCACCGTCCACCGTCCACCGTCCACCACCCACCGGTGGACGCCGTCCACCGTCCACCGCCCACCATCCACCGGTGGATGCCGTCCACCGTCCACCGTCCAGCGGTGGACGCCGTCCACTGTGAACCGTCCACCATCCACCGGCGGGCGCCGTCCACCGTCCACCGTCCACCGTCCACCGTCCGCCGTCCGCCGTCCGCCGTCGACCGTCCCCCGTCCACTGATGGACGCCGTCCTCCGTCCACAGTGGGGTGGCAAACCAGTGAAAAACCACTCAGCGGGGTGGGAAACCAGTGAGAAACCACTCTGGTGGTGGCAAAGCAGTGAGAAACCACTCAGCGTGGTGGCAAAGCAGTGAGAAACCACTCTGGTGGTGGCAAAGCAGTGAGAAACCACTCAGCGTGGTGGGAAACCAGTGAGAAACCACTCATGGTGGTGGCAAACCAGTGAGAAACCACTAAGGGTGGTAGAAAACCACTGGAATACCACTCACCGGACCGGACCACTCACCGGACCAGACCACTCACCGAAACCGACCACCCACCGAACCGGACCACTCACCAACCGGACCACTCACCGGATAGGACCACTCACGGGACCGGACCACTCACGGGTAGACATGGTTAAAACGCGACGGTGGACACAGTCCACCGTCCATCGTCCACCGTCCACCGTCCACCGTCCACCACCCACCGGTGGACGCCGTCCACCATCCACCGTCCACCTCCACCGGTGGACGCCGTCCACCGTCCACCGCCCACCATCCACCGGTGGATGCCGTCGACCGTCCACCGTCCACCGGTGGACGCCGTCCACTGTGAACCGTCCACCATCCACCGGCGGGCGCCGTCCACCGTCCACCGTCCACCGTCCCCCGTCCGCTGATGGACGCCGTCCTCCGTCCACGGTGGGGTGGCAAACCAGTGAAAAACCACTCAGCGGGGTGGCAAACCAGTGAGAAACCACTCAGCGGGGTGGCAAAGCAGTGAGAAACCACTCTGGTGGTGGCAAAGCAGTGAGAAACCACTCAGCGTGGTGGCAAAGCAGTGAGAAACCACTCTGGTGGTGGCAAAGCAGTGAGAAACCACTCAAGGTGGTGGGAAACCAGTGAGAAACCACTCAAGGTGGTGGCAAACCAGTGAGAAACCACTAAGGGTGGTAGAAAACCACTGGAATACCACTCACCGGACCGGACCACTCACCGGACCAGACCACTCACCGAAACCGACCACCCACCGAACCGGACCACTCACCAACCGGACCACTCACCGGATAGGACCACTCACGGGTAGACATGGTTAAAACGCGACGGTGGACACAGTCCACCGTCCATCGTCCACCGTCCACCGTCCACCGTCCACCACCCACCGGTGGACGCCGTCCACCATCCACCGTCCACCTCCACCGGTGGACGCCGTCCACCGTCCACCGCCCACCATCCACCGGTGGATGCCGTCGACCGTCCACCGTCCACCGGTGGACGCCGTCCACTGTGAACCGTCCACCATCCACCGGCGGGCGCCGTCCACCGTCCACCGTCCACCGTCCCCCGTCCGCTGATGGACGCCGTCCTCCGTCCACGGTGGGGTGGCAAACCAGTGAAAAACCACTCAGCGGGGTGGCAAACCAGTGAGAAACCACTCAGCGGGGTGGCAAAGCAGTGAGAAACCACTCTGGTGGTGGCAAAGCAGTGAGAAACCACTCAGCGTGGTGGCAAAGCAGTGAGAAACCACTCTGGTGGTGGCAAAGCAGTGAGAAACCACTCAGCGTGGTGGGAAACCAGTGAGAAACCACTCAGCGGGGTGGCAAACCAGTGAGAAACCACTCTGGTATTGGCAAAGCAGTGAGAAACCACTCAGCGTGGTGGCAAAGCAGTGAGAAACCACTCTGGTGGTGGCAAAGCAGTGAGAAACCACTCAAGGTGGTGGGAAACCAGTGAGAAACCACTCAAGGTGGTGGGAAACCAGTGAGAAACCACTAAGGGTGGTAGAAAACCACTGGAATACCACTCACCGGACCGGACCACTCACCGGACCAGACCACTCACCGAAACCGACCACCCACCGAACCGGACCACTCACCAACCGGACCACTCACCGGATAGGACCACTCACGGGACCGGACCACTCACGGGTAGACATGGTTAAAACGCGACGGTGGACACAGTCCACCGTCCATCGTCCACCGTCCACCGTCCACCGTCCACCACCCACCGGTGGACGCCGTCCACCATCCACCGTCCACCTCCACCGCTGGACGCCGTCCACCGTCCACCGCCCACCATCCACCGGTGGATGCCGTCGACCGTCCACCGTCCACTGGTGGACGCTGTCCACTGTGAACCGTCCACCATCCACCGGCGGGCGCCGTCCACCGTCCACCGTCCACCGTCCCCCGTCCGCTGATGGACGCCGTCCTCCGTCCACGGTGGGGTGGCAAACCAGTGAAAAACCACTCAGCGGGGTGGCAAAGCAGTGAGAAACCACTCTGGTGGTGGCAAAGCAGTGAGAAACCACTCAGCGTGGTGGCAAAGCAGTGAGAAACCACTCTGGTGGTGGCAAAGCAGTGAGAAACCACTCAGCGTGGTGGGAAACCAGTGAGAAACCACTCATGGTGGTGGCAAACCAGTGAGAAACCACTAAGGGTGGTAGAAAACCACTGGAATACCACTCACCGGACCGGACCACTCACCGGACCAGACCACTCACCGAAACCGACCACCCACCGAACCGGACCACTCACCAACCGGACCACTCACCGGATAGGACCACTCACGGGACCGGACCACTCACGGGTAGACATGGTTAAAACGCGACGGTGGACACAGTCCACCGTCCATCGTCCACCGTCCACCGTCCACCGTCCACCACCCACCGGTGGACGCCGTCCACCATCCACCGTCCACCTCCACCGGTGGACGCCGTCCACCGTCCACCGCCCACCATCCACCGGTGGATGCCGTCGACCGTCCACCGTCCACCGGTGGACGCCGTCCACTGTGAACCGTCCACCATCCACCGGCGGGCGCCGTCCACCGTCCACCGTCCACCGTCCCCCGTCCGCTGATGGACGCCGTCCTCCGTCCACGGTGGGGTGGCAAACCAGTGAAAAACCACTCAGCGGGGTGGCAAACCAGTGAGAAACCACTCAGCGGGGTGGCAAAGCAGTGAGAAACCACTCTGGTGGTGGCAAAGCAGTGAGAAACCACTCAAGGTGGTGGGAAACCAGTGAGAAACCACTCAAGGTGGTGGGAAAGCAGTGAGAAACCACTCAGCCTGGTGGCAAAGCAGTGAGAAACCACTCAGCGTGGTGGCAAACCTGTGAGAAACCACTCGGGCTGGTGGCAAACCAGTGAGAAACCACTCAACGTGGTGGCAAACCAGTGAGAAACCACTTTGGGGGTGAGAAGCCACTCAGGGTGGTGGCAAACCAGTGGGAAACCACTCAAGGTGGTGGCAAACCACTGAATACCACTAAGGGTGCTTTTGAGTCGACTCAAAAAACCACTGAATACCACTAAGGGTGGTGGCAAAACAGTGGGAAACCACTCAGGGTGGTGGCAAACCACTAAATACCTCTCAGGGTTCTGGGAAACCACAGGAGTACCACTCAGGGTGGTGGCAAAGCACTGTAATACCACTCAGGGTGGAGTCAAACCATTGGAATACCACTCAAGGTGGAGTCAAATGGAGAACTCCTAGTGCATGAAGGAGGCGAAGGTGCGGAAGAGGACGATGAAGATGGGGGGAAGGAGGGATGGGGGCGATGGGGGTTTCCTGCACTCCAAAATTCCAAAAGGGAAAGTTCCATACCAATAGCCGTGGCAATGCTGGCCATTGAGAACTCTTGGTGGGTGAAGGAGGCGAAGGTGCGAAAGAGCACGATGGACACGGCGTCGTTCACCAGGCTCTCCCCGAACACCAGGTTGTAGAGCAGCGTGGGCGCCTGCACGTCTGGCAGAGGAGAGAAAGAAGGGGAGGGATGAAGACAAAGACAGGGAAATCTGATCAGACGCGGCATAAGAGCACGATGGACTCAGCGTCGCTCACCAGGCTCTCCCCGAACACCAGGTTGTTGAGTAGGGTGGGTGCCTGCACGTCTGACGAGTGACAAAAAAAAGTGGACACGAGCATTGAACGAGCACATTGGAGATGGAGTCGTTCACCAGGCTCTCCCCGAACACAAGGCTGCAGAGGAGTGCGACTCAAGCTTTCTTGACTATTTTGGATCGCGATGCACGCCTGAGGGAAGGGAAAACGAAGGGGAAATGTGCCGACGTGCATTGGAAGAGCACGATGGACACGGCGTCGTTCACCAGGCTCTCCCCGAACACCAGGTTGTAGAGCAGCGTGGGCGCCTGCATGTCTGGCAGGAGAGAAAAAGAGAGAAACATGATCAGGTGCGCCGTAAGAGCACAATGGAGATGCTATCGTTTGACTAGACTCTCCCCGAACACAACATTGTACAGCAGCGTGGGCGCTTGCACGTCTGGCAGGGGAGAAAAAAAAAGAGAAGTCTGCCAAGGTGCATCATTAGAGCACGATGGAACATGGCTAGTGTAACATGGCTAATATCTCATAGGCTAGTGTAACATGGCTAATATCTCATGGCTAATGAAATATGACTACTGACTCATAATTAATGGCTCATGGCGTCTAGAGAACGACATGGTTCATGGCAGGCAGATGGTAGATGGGCGTGACACCTTACAAGATGAGGAGGGTATCAACAGGGTCGATGGAAAAAGGCTGGAGAATCTTCAAAGGATGAGGGACCTAGAAGATACCTTGCAGGATGGAGAGAGTAGCGACAGGGTCAATGGCGGAGATGAGGGATCCGAAGATGAGTGACTCGAGCAGTGACTCAAGCAGTGACGCGAGCAGTGGGCCTAGAGAATACCTTGCAGGATGGAGAGTAGCGACAGGGTCAATGGCGGAGATGACGGATCCGAAGATGAGTGACTCGAGCAGTGACTCAAGCAGTGACGCGAGCAGTGGGCCTAGAGAATACCTTGCAGGATGGAGAGAGTAGCGACCGGATCAATGGCGGAAATGAGGGATCCGAAGATGAGTGACTCGAGGAGCGGCGATTCTGACGTCATGTGGGTGACAATGCCAGCTCGGACGAGGGCGTACGTGGCAAGCCCGTACACCAGCGTGGAGATGATCGTTCCCACCACAGCAAAGAGCGTGATAGTCCAGAAATTGCGGAAGAAATCCTGCAATCAGAGGAATGTCCGTGGGAGTGAACTTTGAACGACTCAGGAGGACACCTACTGCTGGGAATTTGTCAGAATTCTGCATGCTGAAGGTGACTGGCCAGGACACCGCTGAAGGGCGGTCATATTTGAGGAAGTTTTTGCCCTACTTTCTTCTTGAGGGCGTATCCGGCGTTGAAGATGATGATGGGGAGCAGCCCGTAGAAGAAGATCTCCGGGCTGAAGGTGAACGCCAGGTCGTCCTCCAGCACCAGGGACAGCACGCCAAACACCATCCCCAGGACCAGCGCCGCTGCTGAAATGTGACACACAAGGTATTCGATACAAGCACAAACAGTTGTCAACATCTCCGGGCTGAAGGTGAACGCCAGGTCGACCTCCGGGACCACGGAGAGCACGCCGAACCCCATTCCCATGAGCAGCACCGCCGGTGAAATGATACACAAGGCATTCAATACAAGACATTCAATTCAAGCACAAACAGGGCTGAAGGTGAGCGTCAGATCGTCCTGCAGGACCAGGGAGAGCACGCCGAACCCCATTCCTAGCACCAGCGCCGTCGCTGCCAGAACAAGAAAAGTATGACAAAAAACACAAACAGGGCTGAAGGTGAACGCCAGGTCGACCTCCAGGACCAGGGAGAGCATGCCGAACACCAGCCCCATGACCAGCGCCGCTGCTGAAATGATACACAAGGCAATCGATACAAGATATTCAATACAAGCACAAACAGGGCTGAAGGTGAACGTCAGATTGTCCTGCAGGACCAGGGAGAGCACGCCGAACCCCATGCCCATGACCAGCACCGCCGCTGCCGAAAACAGTAAATTCGATACAAGCACATATGGATGCCAGACTCATCGCCAGGCATAACCTTTGAAGGTTTTATTTTAACAAAGGAGTGGCTGGTGAAGTGGATTCGCGAAGCAGCGGAATCTACTGGGTGAACCGGGATTCAGTTTTTGAGGCGCCTCAAAAATAGACTCCTCACAAGTGGATTCGCGAAGCAGCGGAATCTACTGGGTGAACCGTGATTCAGGCAACCACCATGTCTCACATTATCCCCGATAGAAGGCTCACACGATTCAGGGAAGTAGACCCAATGGTGCTTCTAGGAGATGTAGGCGACGAGCATGGTGGTCGCCATGGGGAAGGAGGCGAGATTTGATTCTGACTCAATAACAACTAAAGGCATACCTGATTCAAGAGAATCACGCTCACACGATCAGGCTCACACGACCAGGCTCGCACGACCAGGCTCGCACGACCAGGCTCGCACGATTCATGACAATCTTCTCACACGATTCAGGGAAGTAGACCCAGTGGTGCTTCTTGGAGATGTAAGCGACGAGCATTGTGGTCGCCATGAGGAACGAGCACGCCAAGATGTCCGTCGACGCGCTCTCCGACAGCACCAGCGACACACTCGCTACCGTGCTTCCCGCAATTCCCGCAGGATCCATGGTCAGATTCGTCATCTTTTGAGTCGACTCAAATGTCCCAACTGACACGCTCGCTCCCGCGGTTTCCGCAAGGTCCATGGTCGGATTTCTCGTCTTTACGCGCCTTGTAGATATATGATATAAAATTCTCTTTCTACATAGGACATTCGCGTCACGCGAGACGAGCCTGACCAGGAACAGGGGAGCCGTACAATCCCCTCAGACGGGTATAACGTGAATGCTGCTGGTCTGGCTGGCTTCTGCTCTGTGGTTTTGGGAACGGTTTGTGCGTGTGACCAGAATCTCAAGCTCCCTTGGGAATCTCGAGCTCTCAAGCTACCATACCAGTCACAAAAACACATATCAGGGCGTGTCCTAAGCGTTCATTTTTTGCCAAAACTCTACCGAACCGTGTTCTAGAGGTATTTGATCTTTTTGAAACGTAATCCAGCTCACTCAACCGCATTCGGACGTACTCTTAGGACACGCCCTCATGTGATAATCATTCACTGACCTCGCCAAAAGCAACTCGAATCAGAGAACAATGTGCGATAACCAGCATACATTACAAATTATCATAACGTAGTTATTCAGTTTATGGATAATAATGTGAAACAACCTACAATCTAGAAGCGTTTTCAGGTTGGATAAGATGGATAGTAGACAGTGAAAAACACTATTTTCATCCCTAAGCGCTTTTTTGTTTTCATGTTCAATCATATTCAGCACAAACAAGTGTACCTGTAAACCAACGCAATTGTCATTCCTCATCCAGAATGGGCCGACCCCTGCCACGACCACCAAGCCCCCCACCCGGTCTTCTAAACCCACCAGCTCCACCAGCACCGGCACCCCCAACACCAACACCAACACCAGCACCAGCACCACCAGCACCACCACCAACACCACGGCTCATCCGACCCATCCTGGACCCACTCCTCGCACCTCTCCCTACCACACCACCCCCCATGCCATCTCCTGCTTCCATGCCTTCCCTGTCCGGCAGCCCTCTTGCTCTCCCCCCCACCCTGCTCCTCCCTGCACCACGCCCCAGTACCTGGTCCGCCCTGCCTCCCTCCATCCCATCCATGTCCTCGCTCTCCCCCACCGAACCACCCCGTTGCAAAGCACCACCACCAGCACCTCCCATGCCTATGCCTCTCCCCCCCACGCCTACACCTCTAACCCCAATACCTCCCATCCTTCCTGCACTTCCAGTTGCCCCTCCCACCCGCCCATCATCATCAAAGTCTTCGGCATCACCACCACCTGCCCCTGCTGCAGCTCCTGCCGCCGCTGCTGCTGCTGATGGTGGTGTGTCAGTGCTAGCATCAACAGCTGTGCTGCTGTCACCACCAGTGCTCTTCTTTGAGAACCAGGACCACAGGCCTGACCCGCTGCCCTTACTGCCAGCAATGCCACTGCTGCTGCCGCCGCCGCCGCCGCTGCTGCCACTACTGCTATCCTCTAAGTCGCTGTCTGCACTGCTGCCAATGCCACGAGAACTGCTGGTGCCTGCTGCACTCGCACCTGCTGCTGCTGCGCCCGTTCCCTGCCAGCTCTCCATGTCCTCATCCCCATCTTCAAACCCCGATGCCCTACTGCTCCGTGCCATACCCCCTCCTGTACCCCCTCCTATACCCCCTCCTATACCCCCTCCTGTAACCCCTCCTATACCCCCTCCTGTAACCCCTCCTATACCCCCTCCCATGTTACCTCCCACGCCCATACCACCATCCTCCTCATCCACTTCACCTGCTGAGCCAGCAACATTTCCTTCACCAGTAGCCCTATCCGTGGCCCCTTCCACAGCACTGCTCTTCTTCCCACCACCAAACATGCCAGAGAAGAACCCCAAAATACCCCCAGACGACCCCCCTTCCTTGCTGCTGCTGCTGCTGCTGCTGCTGCTGGTGGGATCAGTGCCCACAGCAGCGTCCTCGCCCCCATAGTCCATGTCCCCCTCATCCCCTCCCGCTCCTCCTGCTGCTCCCCTTGCCCCTGCTGCTCCAAAACTCCCCATCCCAGCCCCCATTCCCCTGCCACCAACACCAGCACCACCAGCACCACCAAAATCATCATCATCATCCTCCCCACCAAGAGATCCCAAGCTGTTGCTGCGGGGAAAGGCGGAGGAGGAGGAGAAGGAAGAGCCTGTGCGTTTCCTTCCGGCGCCCATGCTGCTGCCTCCCAAGCCGTCTGCATCGTCATCGTCACCACTACTACAAAGAGGAGGGGGGGAGGGGGAAATCAGAAAAGGTGGGGTTGTGGAATACAGAGACGAAACAAGGAAGAGCCTGTGCGTTTCCTGCCAGCGCCCGCGCTGCTGCCTCCCCTGTATCCTCGTCATCACCACCACTGGAGGGGAGGATAACGGGGGAAGAAGGGGGGGGGAGGGAAGGGGGGGGGGAGGGAAGGGGGGAAGGTGGGGTGTGGGATAGGGAGAAGGAAGAGCCTGTGCCTTTCCTGCCGGCGCCCATGCTGCTGCCTCCCAAGCCGTCTGCATCGTCGTCGTCACCACCACTGGAGGGGAGGAGAACGGCGGAAAGGGAGAAGGAGGGGGGGGAGGGGGAGGGGAGGGGAGGGATGGATTGGGCTTGTAGGAAGGGAAGGAAGATGGAGAAAGATGCGGTGACAGCAGCACCTTCCCCCAGCAGACGTGAGCCACACAGCACGGCACGCCACACACAAGTGAACCATACCATACGTCATGCACAAAAAAGAAGCAAGCGTGCATCACGTGACACTCACTTAAAGCCACGACCAAAGGCACTTGAAGAGTCTCCTCCTGCTCCCCGCCCACCCCGGGATCTACCAAACTGGCCCGACTGCCCTAACCGCCCCCCCTCCCACCCCCCCATGCTGACTCAGCATCCTCCTCCCCCGCCCCCTCCTCCCCTCCCCGCGCCCAGCTGCTTCCGCCCCTCCCTTTCCCCCTCCGCCTGCTGCTGCTGCTCCCCTTGCTCCTCGCCCCTCTCCTCACATCCTCGTCCTCGTTATAATCCTCCTCGGTATCATCGAGACTGTCTCTCCGTTTACCTCTCTTCCTGCTGCTTCGCTTCCCACTCGCAACTCTGCTCCCCCCCTTTCCCTTTCTCCCTCTCCTCTTCGTCCTCCTTTTCTTCCCACGCCGCTTCTTCCCTTTCCTCCCCCTCTTCCCCCTCACACCCCCACTCGTCCCCCCCTCCTCCTCCTCCTCATAATCCCCACCTCGCATCGCCCCTCGTTTCAAGCCTCCTCCCTTCCCCCCGCTAAGAGCACCAATCGCATCAATCACTTGCTGGTTGTCCCTCGGATACAGCGGATCCTCGTTATCTTCCTCAGAACCTTCTGTGAACCTTCGAGGAAAGTTCGACCCACCGAGCCCCGCACCAGCACCATCCACGACAGCATTTCCCGCCCACGCCGACCGCCCCCCCCCTCCTCTTCCGAGACCCTTTCCGGAATTCCAGGAACTAGCGCTTCCTAGACCGGAGGCTCCTAAACTGGAGCCTTCTAGGTCAGTATCTAAGTCCTGGTCGCTGCTCCAGCGGCTCGGTTTCCCGCCAAAACTGGCTCCTCCAAACGCGGATTTCGACGAACCGCCAATGCCCCCGCTCCCGCCGTCAAAGCTGCCGTCGCCGTCAGCGAGAGCCGGCGGGCTGCCGGCCAGCGCTCCTCCGTAGTCGTCATTTCCGTACGACGCGCCGTCATCGTCGCTGGAGCTGACACGTGTCACCTCGCGCGATCGGAAGGCCGAGAAGCCGAAGAACAGCGAGCCAATGAGAAGCAAGAGCGCGATTCCGAGGAGGACGGCGCAGGAGGAGACGGAGAGGCGCGAAAAGGGGAACGGCAGCGGCAGATTTCGACGGAAAAAGGACGTCTGGTCCGAGCGACTGCCTGGAATGGCCCATTTGAATCCGTCGACGCGCGAATTGCTGCGACGCTCGCGAGTGTTGACTGCTGCAGGCGATTTCATCGCATCCTAACTCGCTGCGAGTGTGGGGGTGTGTTGGCTCGCTAGAGTTTGTTACGCGCTGAGAAAGTGGGGGGGGAGTTGCATTGCCCGGTGGGAGGAAGGCTTCGGGAAATCCGGTCGCCGGTAACCATGCGTCGCAGAGCATGCAAGCTAAGGGATAAAGTGGCCTAGTCTGACCTCTTGTCAAAGCAGCACGGGACTGCTCTTGAGTAGACTCAAAAGCAAATCCAGTCGCATAGAATGCTAGCTAAGGGATAGTCTGACCTCTTGTCGAATCAGCGCGAGAAACCAATGTCAGCAGATAACACCGACTTTGAGGGAAACAGCATTCTGGCATTGCTTCAAAGATCCCTCCGGAGGACCATCGAATCGCGCCATCAGGTACAACGAACTTAGGGCACCTGCCAGGATCCGTTCTAGGCGACTATTTGAACAGAATAAAGGGAAGTCCTAGGTAGAAGAAAATAAATAGGGGAAAAATGTTTTCCATGGGTGGTAGGTGGGCGCAAGCGAGGGGTGGAATAGGTTCAAATACGTTTCAGTAGGGTGGATTTGTGTTCGTTGCGATCAGCGAGATTTTCCATACCCGCTTGAAGAGGAGGTCGGTGGAGGCAGCAATGTTCATGCCTGGGTAATTTTGTCTAAAGGTGCTGAATAAAATGATGCATTTTCCTATCAAATTACACCTTTGAGGAAAATATTGTACTTGAGACAGAGCAATGGTCTTACAAAACGTGCGAATACGATTTACTCTGTGAAATTATATTCACTAACATATGCACAAAGTATTAACCGTCTACACGTGATGACGTTTGATTACTTATAGATTCTTCCTGCGCTTTTCACTATACTAGCCTAGCTCATATCCACCTCTAAACTAGCTATATATCAAGTGTTAATATCATAGCTATATATAAGACTAAGGTATGTAAAGCTGCACGGGTGCATGTGTTGACACCACTAGCATGTATCGTGCTTAGCTGTGGAATGGCTATTCACTGCACCCTTCTCCTGCTTTTGACCATTCCTCACTGCTGTGTGTTTTTTAGCCCATGCCTCGGAGCAGGATCGTGCTCCCCTTTATTCTGGGCTCTCTCATTCTTATTCACCCCACTGCACGACGAAGGCGAAGCATCGCCAGTAAAGCCTCCTCCTCCCCTCTTCCTGCTTCCTCCACCCATACCGCATCCCACTGCCATCTACTTGGGAATCTGAGCCTGGTCCATGAGGTGCAGTGTCGTCATCGTAAGCACCTCATCAAACCCCTACGGCTTCACAATATTGAATCTCCTCAAGTACCACGCCGCAATGCCCTCCCCCCCCCCCAGTTCACTAGCATCCTACTTGGGGATCTGAGACTGGTCCATGAGGTGTTGTGTCGTCATCGTCAGCACCGCATCAAACCCATTAGGCTTCACAATGTTGAATCTCCTCAGGTACCACGCCGCAATGCCCCCCCCCCCCAGTTCACTACCATCCTACTTGGGGATCTGAGACTGGTCCATGAGGTGTTGTGTCGTCATCGTCAGCACCGCATCAAACCCATTAGGCTTCACAATGTTGAATCTCCTCAGGTACCACGCCGCATTGATCTTCTTCTGCGGGCCAGTCGTCCGCCTCGGGCAGCTCAAAAAAGTCGGCCGCTTCAACCGAATATCGGACCACAGCTTCAGACCCAAATCATTCCGCTTGTAGTTCCGGAACCCGGCCGAAGGGACGTACCCCACCGTCACATGGGAATGCTTGTTCAGTTTATGCATGGCGGGGAGGGTCTCGCAGTACTTGTACTCCAGGCTGTCTCGTGACGTGTTGACGAGGATCAAATCCAGCTGGTTCTCCGTGGCCAATCCGCTGCACTTGCCGGTCTGGGCGGCGGTCATGCCACCCTTGGGGTTGCAGTTCTGCCCGTTGACCGCACTCTCCTGGCACACGTTCTTCCACCATGGCCAGTACTGGAATGGGGGAAGATGGGGGATTGGGGGAGGGAAGGGGGAGAGAAGGGGGAGAGAAGGGGGAGAGAAGGGGGAGAGAAGGGGGAGAGAAGGGGGAGAGAAGGGGAGGAAGGAGGAAAAGGGGGAAGAAAGAGAAGGGCGTTTGGGGTTGGGGCAGAAAGGCAGATATCAGGGGGAGAGAGCGCAGGATAGGGGGGGGGATGGGGGGAGTATTCGGACAGCATGCGAATATTCTCCCAATTGTTGACTGTGCTGTATGTTCTCCTTGGGGCATAACTCTTCTCTCTCTTCCTTCTCCCCTCTTCTCACCTTTCGGAATGTAGGGGTGTCGTAGTAAGCCTTCCGCATGTTCTCCCAGTACAGCCCGGGGTCCTTGAGGCAGTTGTTCACGGTGGGCGTGAGGCACGTGCACCACCCCACTGCGCCGATCTGCCCCTTCATTACAACGTCCTTGATCACGTTTCTGTAGCGCGGGGAGGGCGGGAGGGAGGGCGGAGGCGAAAGGGAGGAACGGAGGTTGGCGACTCAAACGCCACCCCGCTGCGCCGATCTGACCCTTCATTACAACGTCCTTGATCACGTTTTTGTAACGCGAAGAAAATGGGGCGAGGGAGGAGGGGGCACGGAATGGGAGACCTTTGAGTTCCGCCCCACTCAAAGGGGGCACGGAATGGGAGACCTTTGAGTTCCGCCCCACTCAAAGGGGGCACACGGAATGGGAGACCTTTGAGTCAACTCAAGCCGCCCCACTGCACCGACCTGGTCCCTTCCTTACAACGTCCGTGATCACGTGACGTTCCTGTAGCGAGGGGGAAACGGCATGGGCGGAGATCGAGGGAAGCGCCAAGCGGGCAGCGGGAAGCGGGCAGCGCGAAGCGGGCAGCGCAAAGCGGGCAGCGGGCAGCGGGAAGCGGGCAGCGGGAAGCGGGCAGCGGGCAGTGGGCAGCGGGTAGCGGGCAGCGGGCAGCGGGCAGCGGGCAGCGGGCAGCGGGCAGCGGGAAGCGGGAAGCGGGCAGCGGGCAGTGGGTAGCGGGTAGCGGGCAGCGGGCAGCGGGCAGCGGGCAGCGGGCAGCGGGCAGCGGTCTTCTTCCCCACTCCATCTTCCCTCCCTCCTCCCCCTCTGTAGGTGATTTTCGAGTCGACTCAAAAAAGGCTTTATTTATCCCCTCCCCCTCCGTCTCCCCCGTTTTTTCCACACCCCCGTCTTCCCCCCCGTCACGGCGTAACAAGAAGTAATCATTACACTCACCTCTTGCCGTTGTTCACTTTGATCCCGTCGTACGTGTTAACACACGCGCCGCCGCGAATCCGCACGTCCGACGTGTCATAATCCAAATAGTAGCAGTGGTCTCCGTTAAAGACGTAGTTACACTGCGCGACATTCCCGGGGTTGAACCAGTGGGTGCAGTAGTAGATCCCCGCCGCGTCGTGATCCCCGTTAGTGTTGCGCCCTTTAGCGATCACAAGGTTGTTGGAGACGTTCGTCATCATACAGTCGCCGGCGAAATGCACGTCGGCGCCGCACCGGATTCCCGCGAAGATAAAATCGTGCACGTAGTTGCGGTACACCTTTACCCCCACTGCTCCTCGATATAATACGATTGGGGTGTCCACACCTAAAGGGGCGAAAAGGTGAAGGGGGAAGGAGAGAAATGTTGGTCAACAGCGGAGAAACGAGGAGAAGAGGACGAAGAAGAAGATAATCCTAATGGCGTCGAGGAATTGGAGGAGGATTATGAGAGGCACTGCATTCCATTGGGAGGTTTCGGTTTGAGGCGCCTCAAAACTGCATTTCATTGCGAGGTACTAGGTTCAGTACCGTAGGTTTGTGAAAGGCTGTGCATGTTCACTCACCGTATGCCTCGTTATTGGATATAACAACGTTCGCCTTGATGAGCTTCGTGCTGTGTCCGCTATACGCCACGCGAATGACTCCATGCGAACTGGCGAAAGTGGGGGTGCCGGTAACCTTGATACTGTCGACTCGCGAATTCATGCTCCGGTGTACGTCCACGCGTCCGAACACCGTCGACTTGCCGAAGATGATACCGTACGACCGGGAGATGTGTACGGCTGGACAGTTGACCCCCGTACCGACCTCGGGTATATTCGGGCACTGCGGCGACCCGGTGGTGACTGTAACGAGGAAATTGATACCGTATACAAGCAAGTTGCTCGTATTCCAAATCCGAAGGGTCGGCATGTCGTCGGTGCTGTATTTGATATACAGATTGGGTTTCGCAGCGGTTAAAATGGTACACGAGAAAGCCCCGTCAAAGAGCAGCCCGCTTCCTTTACTGAGCAGCAGGCTGTTTTGCAGCATAAGCACGACGGTTTGGTTGCGGCTCTGCTGGGTGCGCTTCTGGAAGTCGGCGGCAGTCTTTATCGGGATAGTGATGTTGCTTGTAACGGGGCTGCATGGGCCCTTGGGATGCGATCCCCCTGCACAGGCGGAAGCAAGGTCAGAAGTGCCCGGGGGATGGGGGGAGGGGGGGGGAGGGAGAGGAGGGGAAACGAGGGGAAACAAAGGAGATAGGGGGGAGAGGGGAGGGGGGAAGGGCGGAGGAGGGGGGAGGAGGGCGGAGAGGAGGGGGAGAGCGATGGGAATAAGGATTTCAAATCTGCGAGCCAGTCTTACGTTTGAACCATTCCTCATCACCCTCTAGTTCGATATCCTCTTTTCCATCATCCTCATCGTCTCTGTAATCCACCGTAACACGAGTCGTTCGAGGCGCGTTATGAGACGGGTGGACTCCTCGAGTCGATGGCTCTACCAAGGTTCACAAAAAATGAGCTCCCACCAACGGGGAAAACGGCAAGAAAAACGAGAAGAGGAAAGGCCAATCTAGGGGCAACGAGGCACGCCGCCCATATCGGAGCGAGGGGACACACCGATAGCGGCGCGCTTGCGCCCATTGAGGCAAAGCGGGGGATTGCCAAAGGGGAGGCACGCACTTGCTTGCGCCGAGGCCTCGGAGAGCGCAACGCACAGCGCGAGCAGCGCCGCGGCGAGTACAGGCCGTATCCGAGCCGGCGCCATCTGCAGAACGTAGTTGCTGGAACAACCGCTATAAAATAGTTAGCTACCCTCTTTACGTGTGCACGTCCGAATACAGCTACCCAAAGCTATCCTCGATATAGAATTAGAGTTGTTAGAGTGAGCGGGCAAGTGCGCCAGCAAGAGAATCCTATTCGGTAGTGGTAGAGTGGCAAGCAGATGGCTCTATGTCTGGCCGCACTGTCTATCTCGCCCTGGCTCGTCAGGCACGAAGCTAGAATCTCGAGGATAAGACCACTCGGCGAGACGAAAGGAAAAGAGGAGGCGGATTAGTAGTGAAGTCAAGTGCCCTCTTTCGTCCTTGTTACGATATTGGCACCCCACGACTAGATTCAAGCTGCCGGCTTGTCATGCTTGCATGAGCATGTGAGTGGTGAGCCGAATTCGAGGGGTGAGCTGCTGCCAAATCAACAGGTGCAGAAGGGGCAAAAATGCTCAGTGAAAAGGGCTTGAGGTAGAATGGGTTGAGGGGCGGGAGGGAGGAGGAGGGAGGGGCAATTTCCCCAACAGCAAAATGTCTAAGGGCGAATGTCGAACAGCGAAATGCTGAAATTTATTGGAAGCATTGGCGCGTCGCGATGACCTACCGCCGAAGCGCGCGAGCGGGAGTGTTTCGGTGTGTCGCCTGCTCTCGCCTGCGATCGCGTACAAATTGGTGCGAAGGCGTCGGTGTGGAACAATTCCCGTTTCCTGAGACGGTGCGACTTTGGGGAGGGGGTATTGCGACAGGATGCGACTGCGCTGTCAGCACCAACCGTTGCGGTTTGGCGACGACGGGTCAAAACCTTTCGCTAACGTCAACTTACAGTGGAGTAGGGCAATTACAGTGCGCAATAGCTAATCATAAATGAAATAAAAACCTTAGCACCTTACTAAATGCATAAAGACCCAAGGTCCATATTGGAAATTCCCTCTTGAATCTCATCAGCATTTCTGCAGCCTTTAGTTACCCTACCAATTTCTTCAGCTTCCTTCACCTTCGCTAGGTGCTGTTTGCGCTCACGATTGCTCATCTTCGACAAATCGGCATTCCCTGAATTACTTGCAACACATGCACCAGTAGTAGCCTTCCCAGTTCCACAGCATGCCTTGAACTTCTTCTTGGAGCCACAAGGGCACGGCTTATTGCGACCTTGAACCTGATGTCCTTGCATGAAACAAAACAGTAAGGACAGAAACATATCGGCCAATCGGCCGACAATGCAAATTGCTCGGATGTTAACAACACATCACCAGCGATTGCATCAACTAGCCTTGGACAATGAAACCACTGACTTACATGCTTTGATGCTGGTGCCTTCACAGAAGCACGAGCAGAGGCAGCAAGAGCACCAGTGACAGTGGAATGGGCACCAGGAGTATCATCAGCAGGCACCACAGCACATGCTGGCATGTCATCATAGCCACTTTTAACTGCAGCATCAGTTGTTGCTGTGGCTGCAAGAGCTCCTGCACGTGCTGCAGAGGGTTCTTGCTGACAATCACTGCGCTCACTGCACTCGTTGCGCTCTTTGCGCTCAGCACTAGGAAACTCCCTGCCTGCAACGGCTGCATCGGGTGCTCCGAGTGGTGCTGCTGCAGCTGGTGCAGCGTCAGGGCCACTGGCTGCAGCTGCTTGCGCTGAGCCTGGAGCGGCTGAGAGCTGGGAGTGAGGGGCATCACGATCTGCAAGGTCTGCACTGAGATGTGCCACGTCAGAGCCATTGGCTGCAGCTCCTTGGGCTGAGCCCGGGCAGCGAGATGTTGCAAGCTCTGGATCATGATGTGGCGATGTCTCATTGGCCAGGACAGCGATGAGGTACTCTATGGCTGCATCCACGTCACCTGACAGGTCATCCAGGGCCTGACGAGAGGAGTGAGGGGATAAGGAAGGACCATTAGAAGGATCATTAGAAGGATCATTAGAAGGATCATTAGAAGGATCATTAGAAGGATCATTAGAAGGATCATTAGAAGGATCATTAGAAGGATCATTAGAAGGATCATTAGAAGGACCATTAGAAGGACCATTAGAAGGATCATTAGAAGGATCATTAGAAGGATCATTAGAAGGATCATTAGAAGGAGCATTAGAAGGACCATTAGAAGGATCATTAGAAGGATCATTAGAAGGATCATTAGAAGGATCATTAGAAGGAGCATTAGAAGGACCATTAGAAGGATCATTAGAAGGATCATTAGAAGGATGCAACAGAGAGGAGGGGGAAAAGGGGACATTCTGCAGCATGTGAGTTAACCTTTGAAGTTTCAGGCGATCCTAGAATTCACCTGGACGACTCTCTGGCGGTCATGGCAGCCAGTAGACGCCATCACCAGCTTCACCACCTCCTCACCCACACTTGACGATGCTGATGAGGTTGCTGCTGCAGCTGTAGGCGCCCCTTCTTGGGGATACTGATTCTTGTCACCGCTGCTCTGCGCGAGGGGAGAGGGGCGCAGGGAACCACGTGTGGGAACGGAATATGACTTCTGATGCAGTGCCAGGAGGAGAGGGGCAAGGACGGGACAAGGATCTGTCCGGATACAGGGCACATGCTTGTCCTGTCGGGTCTGAACCATGCAAGGAGGCTAGTTTTGAGGCGCCTCAAAGTTACACTCCTATCAAAAGGAAAGGGGCATGGAAGGGGCAAAATTCTGTTCAGCTGCTAACCACAGGCTTAAGACGCGCTGGGTCCGACTGAGCCATGCCACGAAAAAGGCAGAAAGCAGGAGAGTGAAAAGAAATGGTGAAAGGAGACAAAAAAAGGGGGGGGGGGGAGGGGGAACTCGGAAAAGGGCACTGGGGAGAAGAAAAGGCTGACAACAACGAGTGAAGGACGAGGCCAACCTGAATGGTGATTGGTTGAGCTGGTGTGGACCCCGCATCCCCTTCCAACCGCACGCTGTTGTAGTGATCGCCGTCGTGGTATGAGCTGAGGGGGGGTGGGGGAGGAGAGAGGGGGCAAGGAGTTCTGAGGCGCTTGACAGCTGTTGGTTGTAGTGATTTCCGTGGTGGTATGAGCTGCGGGGGAGGGGGGAGGGGGGAGGGGGGAGGGGGGAGGGGGGTGGGGCGACAAAGGGAACATGGAGTAAGTGAGAGGAACAGAGACAGACTTCGACAAGGAGAGGATAAAGTGAAAGCTCAAGGGAAAGGACCAGAGACAAGGTGAGGAATCATTGAACGTGGAGGACAGTCTGTGAGGCAGACAGATGAAAGGGATGGGGAGATAGGCAGGACGAGGCCATGGCTTCAAGCAAAGCTTGCACGACCAGCATACAGGAAACAGGAATGGTCAAAGGTGGATAGCGGGTGTGCTCCACGTTGCTTGAAGCTCACAGGTGGATGGAGGGTGTGCTGGCCTCATCGAAATTGACGATGTTCCACCGGGGTTGTTGGAACTGAAGACACACAGAAGGTTGACGGGTGCAAAGATGAGCAGAAAAAGAATGCATTGGAATCATGCTGGCAACAGGTCGTCGGGAGAAGGCACGGGCGTGCTAACTAGTATGTTTTACGTCAACCAAGCTGGAGGTGATTTTTGAGTCGACTCAAAAATCACCTTTTGAGTCGACTCAAAGAAGGCACGGGCTTGCTCGATAGTATGTTTTACGTCAACCAAGCTGGAGGTGATTTTTGAGTCGACTCAAATCACCTTTTGAGTCGACTCAAAGAAGGCATGGGCTTGGTCGCTAGAATGTTCCTACGTCAACCAAGCTGGACACACGATACAGCAGGAGATGTCAAGAAGCCACATTTAGCGCATGCAATGTGCCCAAACGACTCACCTGGTGTATGCAGATGTTTCTCTTGAGTAACAAGGAAACAGCCTGCAGCTCCAACTGATGCACGCCAAGCATCCAAAAGCCTTACATAGTGCATGCAATGTGTCCCAATGTCACACGTGATGCATGCAATGTGTCCCAATGTCACACGTGATGCATGCAACGTGTCCCAATGTCACACGTGATGCATGCAACGTGTCCCAATGTCACACGTGATGCATGCAATGTGTCCCGATGTCACACCTGGTGTATGCAGATGTTCCTCTTCAGCAGCAACGACACAGCCTGTAGCTCCATGTGCCCCCCCCACGTGCCATCGTCCCGCATGCCGCTGCAGTACTCCTTAAAGCCCATGTCGTCCTCCACAAACGGTGCAAAGTCAGCCTCATGCGCCTAAGAGGTTTGGGCGGGGAATAGGAGACGGAAAGGTGAGTATAACGCTGCACCCACCTTCTCAAGGTGGGTACTCTTGAGCCACAGGTAGTCGCCCGGAAGAAGAAGCATGTCGTAAACACATACACAGCTGTGACTGCATACCTCAAGGTAGTCAACCACTTGATGCCTGAGCTCCACGTGCTGGGACTGGTTCCCAAACACGTGATCCGACACTGCTCTGGGGTCAAATGGAGGAGTTGGGAGGGAGGAGGAACAGGGGTGGAATATCACACCTTGGTTGGAGATTAACAAGACAAAAAAGAAGAAGAAAAAGAAGGAAGCTTTACTATTGAAAGAACGTTGCAGTTCAACTCCGAAGGCGTCCAGAACTGCACGGACTACCTGAAGAAGCAGTTGCCATCCGCACTGACTTCGCGGATGCACAGTCCCAGCGCCCTCAGCTGCTCCCACGCCCCTCCCCCTCCCCCCTTGTATGTGCCTCGGTTCCCCTTCCCCTTCCGCCCCCCCGTGTTCCCCTTTCCCCCCTTGCCCTTGCCGTGCTTGCCGCCTGCCTCGGTGTTGGAGCCCTGGGTAGGACACGGGTGGAGGAGGAGGAAGGATGGAAGGCTAGGGGAAAGTTGGGGGAAAAAGCGGGTGAAACGGGTGATTGTTACAAGAAGAGCCAGCCAGCGTTACATCAAGTGTTAACGTCTTCTTCCCTTCCCCACTACCACCCCCCCCTTCCCCCCCTTCCCCCCCCTTCCCCCCCCTTCCCCCCGTTCCCCCCCGTTCCCCCCCCTTTCCCCCCCCCCTCCTCTCTTCTCCCGTTCAACACCCCCCCACCTCCTTACCTCTCCCGTCCCGCTGCTCCTCTCCCCGTCTCCATATTCTCCCCCTTTCACTCCGCGAATCTTCAGCGCCTTACCGCCCTTCGCGGCTTTTACCGAGCCTCCTCCCTTCCTTCCCATCGGGACTGAGTTACTTCGTATACGCTATCGGGCTATGTCGCGAGTCTCGACGCTTCCTCTCCGCTGCTACAGTAAAATCCTCTTGTAACCAATATCGGGGAGTGATTTTAGTCGACCGGAATCCCCCTGTAATCAGGATCGAGGAATCCAACCAGAGGAAAGCTTTTGAGTCGACTCGAAAGCTGAGACGACGCAAGAGCGCAGTTGCCGCATTCGGGGAAGAGACTTTCGCTGCGACGGAATCCGAAGCTGAGCAGCGTAATCTTAGATTCCGCCAAGCGTTGGGCCAGTCGGTAATGGACCTAGAATCCTAGATGATATGTATGGGACCGTGGTCGTTATGGGATTCTGACTCAGGCGGACTGATCAGACAGATGTGAGCGTGCTAGCAACTATCGCGAAGGTGATACTGACACCTACTCCCAAGGCTGAACACAGCAGCTTTCTCCATCACACCTCGTTACAAGTCACCACAGTTGTTAGATCACATTTAAGAGGTTGTGCAACTTCGGTTACAAGCCAAACTGATTCAAAACAAGGACCTATCATGAAGGTGGGTCAGGTTCATGTTCAAGCAAAAATCGAAATAGTCCGGCTTGGGAATATTAAACGCCTTTCTGTACTCCTCCCTGGTAATCACCTTCATTCCCGCCAAACCCTTCCGGCAACTCTTGAATCGCGGCCGCCATTTGTAAATCGGAGACCACGCCTCGATCGCCAAGTCATGCCGCTTGTAGTTCCGGAACCCCAATTTTCGCAGCACCTTCAACGAACCCGTGGTGATATTAATCATTTTATGCGTATTAAATTTCGGCATCACTGGGATCTTCTCGCAGTACTTGTAGTCGAGCGCCCTCTTAGTCATATTCACAACGACGAGATCGAGGTAGTTGTCAGTTGCAAGGCCGCTGCAGTTGCCAGTCAAGTAAGCCGACATAGAATTGGCCGGGTTGCAACTAACCCCGTTAACAGATGTGTCTTCACAGACACTCGGCCACCAAGGGAAGAGCTGGTTGGGAAAGGGGAGACATCAAGAGAGGGAGGAAGACGTCAAGGGGAGGGTAGGAGGAGCGAGTATGGGATAGACGGGCAGGGAGGCATGAGAGCCATCTCGTTTTGAGGCGCCTCAAATCTAGACACAGGGGCAGGGAGAAAAGTGAGCAAGGAACTGGAAGGATATTCTCCTGGCAACCTCCCGTATACCACAAGGAAGGATGAAGCATGCTGGACTCGCAAATGGATTGGGGGGGGCTTTAGGAAAGAAGTGAAGGGGACTTTTTCTATCTACTGTACCACGACTCCGGCAGCCTAGTCAAGAAACGAGCCTGTTAATCGTTGTACACAACTCACTGTCTTGAGGAGGTTGGTAGTTGACTCGCATGTTCTCCAGTGCGTGCCAGCCTGGGTCCTTGCTTGATGGACGGCTACATGCATGCTGCTTGTGGGACTCACTGTTTTGAATAAGTCAGTGTTGTAGTATTTGACTCGCATGTTCTCCCAGTACGTGCCGGGGTCCTTGCGGCAGTTGTTGACCGTGGGAGTGAAACATGTGCACCACCCTGGCATGCCCTCCACGTTCTTTAGAATCACGAACTTTATCACGTTCCTGGATAAGAAAGTGTTTGGATGGGAGACACGGGGGGGGGGGGGATGGGGGAGAGGGAAAGACAACACACCTTGATTCGCCCCCCTCTGCAAGTGCACCACTCTGGCATGCCCTCCACGTTCTTTAGAATCACAAACTTTATCACGTTCCTGGTTAGGGTAGGGGTTGGAAGGGGGGGAGTTGGGGTCAGGAGAGAGGGGGGGAGGGGGGGAGGTGGGGGGACGATACGATTCGATTCTCTCTCCTCTGCCCGAACTCTCACCAGTCATGCCTGCCCTCCGCGTTCTCTAGAGTCAGCCATCCCTAGCGCATGCCTGAATGAAGAAGTGGTTGGCAGGGGAGGGACAAACGGGGGCGGAGGGAGCTCCTGTAAGGAAGCAAACGCATGCTGCACCAGACATGTTATTAAGGCGACATGTTGAAGAGACAGCATCTGGCAGTACATGGTGACCTTTGAGTCGACTCAAAAGCTAACGAGCACAGACTGCATTGGACGGCGGACACACTACAAGGCACCATGTTGAAGATGCAACATGTGGCAGTTCACGGGACCTGTTGTCAAAACTCACTGCTTGCCATTGTTGACTTTGATGCCGTCGTATGTGTTGATGCACGCCCCACCACGGATCACAACGCCAGATGTGCAGTAATCCAGGTAATAGCAGTGGTCGCCCCCGGCCACGTAGTTGCACTCGGCAACGTTCCCTGGAGGGGGGATAAAAGAGGATGGCGAGGGGAAGGGAGAGGGGTGAGGTGGACGAGTCAGTGGGTGGGGGGGGTGGGGGAAGCAGTGAGAGTTTGAGTCAGGAGCAGGATGACAACGCCTGGCGCGCAGTAGTCCAGGTAGTACCCGTGGTCGCCCCCCACCACATAGTGGCACTCAGCAACGTTCCTCCAGATGATTTTCAGCTCCAGTTGTAAACGGTGTTGTTGGAGATGTCTGTCAGCGTGCAGTCCCTTCTCTCACTCACCTGACTACTCCCTCCCCCTCCAAAACCTCCCCAGCCATTTTACAAGCACCGCCTCTCCACCCACCCAAGCTGAACCAATGCGTGCAGTAGTACATCCCAACAGAATCCACATCCCCAAACGAGTCCTCTCCTCCAATTGTGCACGATGTCGTTGGAGATGTTTGGGAGCATGCAGTCGACTCAGTCACTCGATTGATTACCGCCCAGACTCCTCACCCGCTCTACCAGCCCGGGCTGAACCAGTGCATGCAGTAGTAACCCGAATCCCAGCCGAGAATCCACGTCCCCAGACGAGTTATTTCCTCCAGTTGAACACGATGTTGTTGGAGATGTTGGTCAGCATGCACTCACCTCTGACACCCACCCACCTCCCTCCCAAACCCCCAGCCAATGTACCCACCCGAGCTGAACCAGTGCGCGCAGTAGTAGATCCCAGCCGAATTCACATCTCCCGACGAATTGATCCGCCAGTTGTACACGATGTTGTTGGAGATGTTGGTCAGCATGCAGCCAGTCGCCCTTGTCCCCCTTCATCTCTTACCCGGGCTGAACCAGTGCGTGCAGTAGTAGATCCCGGCAGAATCCACATCCCCGGAGGAGTTCCGCCGCCAGTTGTACACGATGTTGTTGGAGATGTTGGTCAGCATGCAGTCGCCCGCAAAGTGCACGTCTGCGCCGCAGCGGATGCCCGCAAAGCCAAAGTCGTGGACGAAATTGTTGACCACTGTGATGCCCACCGCGCCCCAGTGCATCACAATAGGGGTGTCCACGCCTGGCGATGGGGGGGAAAGGGTGGCGATTGAGGGGGGATGAGTGCATGTTAGCGCTGCAGCGGATGCCCGGGAAGCCAAAGACTTGGACATGTGATGACCTCCATGCCGCAGTGCATCACAATAGAGGTGTCCACACCTGGAGATGGGGGGGGAAAAACGGTGGCGAAAGAGCGAGCATGAATGCATGTTAGTGCCAAAGGGCATGTCGATTGGTGTCTCCACACCTGGAGTTAGGGGAGGAGGTAGGGAGACAGCAGTGAATGCCCGCAGAGCCTAAGTCCCGGGTGACGTCGCTGATCGCTGTGATCGCTGTGATCGCTGTGATCGCTGTGGTCTCCCCAGTCGATTTTTACAGGGACAGGGTGAGATCACAGGGACATGGTCATAGACGAGTGGTGCGTTCACCACTGACGCCCCTCAGCCCTGAAGCGGGACCCCGCTGCCTTCCTCGTCCTGCTCAGGGACTCCAACAGGGTCAACGGGTAAGCGTGATGGCGGGTCAGCATGCTAGCGGGACAACTTTTGAGGTGCCTCAAAAGTCTGCTCAGGGACTCCAGAGTGGCATGCTTGCTACGGTGCTATATAACTCACCGTACGCTTCATTGTTGGAGACGACTATGAGCGCCCACACCAGCTCCGGGCCGTACCCGCTCTCCCGGTGCTAAACCACAGGGGGCCATTCCACCCCCCATGGCCCGAACCCGCTCTCCCCAACGCCAATGACCCCCCGGCCCTGGTCCGCTCCCCCCCGGGCTTTTTCTATAATGCACCACTCACCATACGCCTCGTTATTGGAGATGACTATATTGGAGCGCACCAGCTCCGGCCCGTACCCGCTCTCCCCAATGCGGATGACCCCCGGGGAGTTGACAAAGCGGTAGGTGGCCGTGACGCTCATGCCGTCGACCCGCGACTCCATGCTGCGAAACACGTCTATTCGCCCAAACACCTCGCCCTGGGGGGTGGATGGACGGATAGAGGGGAAGGGGAGGGGGGAGAGTGGGGTGAAGGGGAGTTGACTAGGCGGTAGGTGGCTGTGGTGCTCGTGCCATCGACCCGCGACTCCATGCTGCGAAACACTTCTATTCGCCCAAAACACCTCGCCCTGGCGGGTGGATGGATGGATGGGTGGGAAGGGAGGGGAGGAGAGGGGGGAAAGGGGGTGTTGGCAAAATGACAAATCGCACAGCCGTTAGAGGCAGTACCAAACGAGTTAGGCAGCTGTCACAGAATCAACCTTGGCCACTTGAGCGCCGACCTACGCCACATGAGCACCGACCATAGTGACACGCGTACCAACGTTGGCCACTTGAACGCTGTAGTTTCGCCGGATGTGAATGGCGGGACAGAGCATGTTCTTACCGACCTCAGTGAAGGAGAAGACGCGCAAGCTGGACTTGACTGCCATGTGTTGGCGGGTTGACAACTGGAAAGAAGCGTGACACTGGCCATAGCCACTCGAACACTGACCTTGGCCACTTGAATGCCGTAGCTTCGCCAAATATGGATGGCGGGGCACAGCAGGTTCTTGCCGACTTCAGTGAAGGAGCAGACGCGCGAGCTGGACTTGACGGGCAGGTAGAAGTTGACGTCCATGACGATCACGTTGTGCGTGTTCCAGATGCGCAGCACGGGCGCCATGGCGTGCGTCAGCTTGATGTAACTGTTATGGGGCAACAGGGTTATGGGGTAACAGGGTTATGAGGTAACAGGGTTATGGGGTAACAGGGTTATGGGGCAACAGGGTTATGGGGCAACAGGGTTATGGGGTAACAGGGTTATGGGGTAACAGGGTACAGGCCAACACGGTTGAGGGGCATGATGTGCATGGCAGCAGCACAAAGTCCACCCTACCTTCTTTGCGCTGGCTTCTTGCTTCGCAGGATAGTGCACGAGTAGTTCCCGTCGAACAGCAACCCTTGAGTCGAGATAAACCCGGGAGGCGACAGCACCAGCATCACTGTCTGCGTCGGCGCGAAGTTTAATCGCTTCGCGATGTCTGCGTACGACTTAATCGCCAGCACCTTCGCAGTCGCCAGCGGGCTGCAAGGGCCCGTCACCTGCTGCTGCCGCTTCCGCTGCTGCTGCCGGAGCACCCTCTGCCGCTCGAACGCTAAAGCCGCGTTAAGAGACACCTCGCTAGGGTGTACGTACTCGGGCGTAGCAGCAGCGGGAGCCCACGCTCGCTGGGTTCCTATCCTATTAATATTAATGCTCGGACTTCTCTTTTTAGGGAGCTTCCATGATCTATGGGGGCTCTTGTAAGGGAAAGAGGACTGCGAGGAGGTTCGCGAGGGGCGCGGGAGAGAGGAGGAAAGGCGAGGGGAAGAGAAGCGCTGGGAGGAACGGAGGGAGGAAGAGGAGGAGGGACGGGAGGAGGAGAAGGAGGAACGGAGGGAGGGAGGGGAGGAGGGAGGGGAGGAGGGAGGGGAGGAGGGAGGGGAGGAGGAGGAGGAACGGAGGGAGGAAGAGGAGGAGGGACGGGAGGACGAGAAGGAGGAACGGAGTGAGGAAGGGGAGGAGGGAGTGGAGGACGAGAAGGAGGACTGGTATTCGTCCCGTGAATTTAGGAAGAGTGTATCCGGTCTGGCTTTAAACACCGCTGATTGGCGGGGCTGTGCGTATGAGAGGCGTGATTGAAACGAGGTTACGCCATTAGAATAGAAATCGTCATCGAAAGCGGAAGCAGGGTTAGCGGCAAGCAAAGCGATATCGGCATCGTCATCGTCATCGGAATCAGCTGCCGTATCAGTTGCTCTGACGGAATCAGTCAATGTTCCAGAATCAGTCAACTTGCCGGGATCAGTCAAACTGTGGGAACCAGTCAGTCTATCGGAATCAGTCAGTGAGTCAGCACTAGCGGACGGGGTGAGCGGACTGAACGTCCGGCTCTTTGTATTTGCGAAAGAGCTGCTGTCGCCAGTGGGTGGTAACCTGGTCGCTTCGCGATGCCGATGATGCCAGTGGAAACGAGGGCGAACATCCTCGTCAACGTGACTACTGAACGCTGCGAGCGAAAGAAGAAACGGTAAGAGGGAAAACGAGGAGAATAACGAACAGAAGGAAGTTTTGGAAACCTGATACTGAAATCTGAATATTGAGACATCAAATTCACCGAAACTGCTTTAGTCACGACATGAAGTCGGAACTAGCGAACAGCCGTCAGGAAAGCAAACCATTCTGACGTAAAATTTACGTGCTTGCGAACAGCATCCGGACGTCACCGGAAAAGAAGCAACGATTGTAATACCTTCCGAGGGAGGGAGATGTAGGAGGAGCAGGAAGGAGGCAACCAGCCATGCGATGCAGAAAATGCGATTCCGTTTGCGTATTCGAATCGTTCTGATCATTCTGAGCTCGAAAACGGGCAATACAGCCTCTAAGGTGCCTGGGAATGAGCATCAGCGGGATACCATAACGCTAAAGCGTAACTGCGATGTTCACTACAACGCTACGGCAAAAGCGGTTCCAGCGAAACACAGGTACTTAGCTGCCGTTCAGCAACGCGACGAAAAAGGCCAACCAAGCAAGACGCGCTTACGCGACACACTAAGCGTTACGCACAACTCAGTCTCACCCTGCGCAAGCACTACAATTAATCCCAGGCTCTAGCAATCACGGCGTCTAGGTATCTCCAAAGGTAATCCCAGGTTCTAGCAATAACGACATCTTGGTTACATGCGAAGGTAAATGAAAGCCAGGAAAGGGAGGCAGCCCGATGCAGCCCTGCCTTGCCTCGGAAGCCCAAGACCGAGATGAACCCAAGGCGCGAGGCGTAATGTGAGGTATGGGAAACAGACGAGGCTGTCCGAGAGGCTTGGAGGAGGAGGTCTGGTGGAGGGTGATCTCGAGGTTGGTGAGGTACGGTGTGTTTTGGGGAGGTGGTGTGGTTCGGTTTGTCATCCAGCTTCGGTGAGCCGACGGCCGCCGTCGATTGATTGACGGAACGACGGGAGGGTCCAAACAAACATCAACGGTGCGGTTTCGGACTTCGTGGTTGGCTGAGAAAGGATCTTGGAGGAGGGCGGAGATGGTGAGTTTTTCGGTCACGAAGTTGAACGTGAATCTTCCTGGTTTGCTGTGGTGGGCAGGGCAGCTGCGCGTCTCGACAAAGGTACTCCAGAAGTTGGCACACGAACCGTTGAGTGCAGCTTCCCGCCTAAACGGGATTAGGTATAAAAAGCCAGACGACCCATCTTTGAATAAGAACACTAACAAAGAGAATCAACTAACAATGCTTCTCATAGATTCACACCTCAATCAAGGCGAGTCTCGGTTCAGTCACGCTATCTCACGTGTGTTTCGTAAAGCGGCGAGATGAGATTTAGTATTTCTATTAGAGATATTTATGCACCAAGAAGGTGCACAATGAGTGGGTGAGACAGACTGCAATCCGACATTAAAGCCCATCTTCCTGAAAAACAATTCGGCAAAGTTCTCTGTAAGGGGATAGAGGATAAAGATTTATATATCGATGGTGCAAGATTTCCGCGCCAATAGCTCGCTCGGAACACAGTGTGCAGCTGGCTCGTGGTTAGTAACAATAAATGCTTTCTCGCTAAAACCTGCTCGTTTATGCTCGTACTGTAACAAAGGACATGCTTGCTTGCTGTGGGCAATAACTTCCCCGCAAGGAAGCATTTATTGGCCTGATTTCAATTCCACGCCCAAAATGCTGTGCACGAGTCGGAATCACGTGGATGTCTTGGCGCAGTGCACCCACCTCCCCAGAGCAGTTTGAGCGACAGCTCTTAAAGGCGGTCCCATAAATGCAGAATCCACAGAAACACACGCCAGCAATCCAGCTTGAATGGCAGGTTCCGACGTGAGAGAGCGGTGAATCAAGGACGTTGCGTGGGTGTGGCCAGCTAGGCTAGATGGGATGCAACTGTGCGACGACCAGCGACCAAAATCGCAGAGGCTTCTGCTGGTGTACGGCGTACAGTGTACGCATCTGGCGGCGACAATTTCCCCAGAAATGACGTGGTAGTGCCAGTTCAGCGAGCGCTGAGTGGTCAATTCAACAGAAAATCGTGGCAGAGAATCTTCCCTCATGCCAGTCTCATCTATCCAGCGTGGAAACGTCGCATGTCAATATCAGAACAATACATTGCCGAAGCGCACATGCGGCAGAATGTGCCCAAGCTCAGGCCTCTCGCTAAGCCCCAGGGTATTCCGGAAGGGGACGGAATCGCCTCAGGAACACCCGTTAAAAGACGGAATTTCCCCCAAAAAAACCCGTTACCGAAAGGAATCGGCCGCAACAAATTCGGCTAGCAAGTGATCAAAAGACGGGATTAGGCGAGGGGGGGGGGGGGGGGGGGGGAGGGGAATGGTGGGGGTGGGCGGTCGTTACCCCCTACAGATTTCCCTGCGACAAGTATAGCCCGTACGGATTCGAAGAAAAGTTGCTCGTTAGGCTAAGGAATCGCGCGAAATTGTTTCCGTAAGCTGGACGGATTCGGAAAAAAAATCGCACAGTACAAAAACGGAATCACTTGAAACGATACTCTTAATTTCTCGAAATTAAAGGTACCTACCCTGTTAACAAGAGGCCTGCCTGAGCTTGACATGTTGCCCTTCCCCCATCAGTCCCTCTCACTCACTCACCACCACCAACTGGTTGCAGTGCAGCACTGCGAGCTTTGCGAAGCTGTACACCTGATCCCACTTACAGATATCCGCGCTACTCGCACAATCACGGTTAAGGACACATTGACGTATACACCCTTGCTCTTATCCCCTAGTGTACATGCACAATCGCTGTTCAACATGAAACGACCCACATGAGTTTTCTGTACAAGATAGTGCACATATTCCACAGCAACCAATGGGATTCGTCCACAAGATTACGTTAGCAAAGAACATTAGCGTAGGGAAGTCACGATAAGGTTGATCGTTAACCAACGAGCTGCTAACACGCTATGTAACCGTGAAAATTTCTAGCAAGAACATAAACTGATGTTCAAATGAATGAGCCAAAGAATACGTCATCATTCTCTAGTGCACCGGCGTGTTCTACGAACTTCAAATGCGTAGGTATGAGTTCAACCGCAATCCGAACAACCACAAGCCACACTTTAACCCCATACATCTCCGCTTTCGCCCAACTGCCAACATGACTGCACCGCGCTCCCGTCGCCTGCCTCGCCTGCACAGGAGGGCCCAGATTCGGCTCGACATGGAGTGTGAAATCTGTCGGCAGACGGAAACTCACCAAACTTGGCACGAGGAGGATCTCGTCCGTTGGTGTTTAACAAGGTCTGGGGTCGTTCCTGACCGCAGCACTGTGGGGAGGATTGTTTGCCAGACGGACAAGTGGAAGCCGCTGCTGCAGTACAGAACGACATCCGCCTGCGAAAGGGTCATTACCCTAACTTGGAGAGAGCTCTCAAGGCCTGAGTACAGGGAGCCGAAGATGCTGGCATCCCACTCACTCTGTCGAATAATTGACAGAGGGCTTTGGACTTGCGCCCTGAGTGTGGCGTCCCAGACACTTTCGACAGCTCAATTAGCTAGTATCACCACGCCATGCATCGCATGGGTTTCCTAACCTCGCATGCAAAGGCGAGGCGTTCAACGTAGATAAGGCAGCTGTCGAGCTATGTACGCACTACCATACGGAGCTCATCGAGCAGATCGACGTTATTCTACGTGACCTCTACGATCCGGATGAGACCGCCCTCTTTCCGGGTCAGAAGCCTTGTCGTATCTGGTCGGATGTTTCGTCCATCGGTTGCAAGGCTGCAAAAGACCGCATCACGGTTGGCTTTCTGTGTAACGCATGCATAACCAACATGCATCTCCCTCTCATCGTCTCCAAAGTGCGCTGGCCGTCTGACTTTAACGACGTCATCTTTGACCCCAAATCGTACGTCTACTGGCGCCATAACCTCAAGGGCCGGATGACCTCCGAGATGAGTATTGATTTTTTTTAATATGCGTAAGATTCCGATGCTACCTTGCACGCTCTCCGAACGATACATCCAACTTTATGAAGATTCTTAAACAGATTTTCATGTGCGTTTCAATTGTCCCCCTCCCCTCCGTGGCCCCCCTACAGATTTTCACCTCTTTCTTCGAGTCAGTGAACGCCTGTATGTTCACCGAACAGGCAAATCGTTGTCTTCGTAGACAACGCATCCTCCAATAACATTCTCTCTCCCACCGCCACCATTGAGGATGTGTGTGGCTTCCGCACGTGGAAGGTCAGCAATGTAAGAATCGTTTATCTCCCCCTCAATACTACAGTATACTGTCAGCCCTTGGACCAGGGCATTATCGCGAGCGTCAAGCAGTGGTTTCGATCCAAGTGGCTAGACGAGCTGGGAAGCAGTGGGACCCCCGGGTGTCACCAACGGCACAGGTGACGAAAAAGCTGAAGGCATGGCAGATGGTGGAGTGGCTCTCCAATGCATGGGGCACCATTGAGCAAGACACCTTGCAGCGGTGCCGACACCACGCCAAGATCCTGCCCAGCTGGAGTTGGATCAACCCGCACCTCATGTACGAGAGCTCCGACCCAAGCGATCAGACAGAAGAACTGTGGGTAGTGGGGTCGTAGATTGACCAGTCCGCGTTCGATGCCGACGCCCTCTCCGTCGAGGACTTCATTCGCATCGACGAGACCCACCCGACGTGCGAGCCCGAGGGCATCGATCCTCTCTCCACTAAACCCCCTCCAGTGCGCCAGATGGGTGGGGAGCCTCCTTTCTTCATCGAGCTGTCTGTGCGCGTGAGGACAATGCGGCGAGTCCGGCGCCTAGCGACAGACCTGCTCATTGCTTATACGAGGGCAACGCGGATCCGTCCATGCTACCTCAAGAATCTGTTTGACATCCGTAATGCTGATGTCATTGAACGCCTCGAGAGGGTCAGCCTGAAGCCGCGCAAAACATTTAGCATCGACCTGAACTACGCTTCGTCTCTTCGCGCTTCATCCAGTTGTAGCGGCGATTGAGACACTGCGGACACTGCCATCAGCCGTGAACGCCTTTTGCAGGCGACGACTATGATGGACGGCTTTGCTGGCACGACAGAGATCATGAGGACCTTCTAAAACCGCCCTCTCTCCCTATCCATCTGTCCCCTACACCCCATGTTGAGTGGAGGTGTTGTCGATGGAGCTAGGACCATGTATCTATTCTGTATCGTGTGCCCATGTCTCAGAAGCCGCATGCAAGTGCGTGTGTTGTTCGGTATGCTTGTCGTGTTGCGTCGTATCAATGTGTGACCTCCTTTTGCCCCTGCAATACCGAGCTTTTCAGCTGAGGCGTGTCGGCTCGTGGACGATTAACACTATCCCATCTGTTTTGTGTGTGCCATGCGTTCATTGTAGTGGTGTTCATTTCCTGGGTGTGTGTGCGGGATCATATGTCTCTCTGTTCTTTGTCCATGAGTGTGTCTATGTGCCTCCTTGTTTGTGATTGTTTCAGAGCGTGTGTGGGTGTGTGTGCCTCTCTGTTTTGTGCCTTTTCAGAGTGTGTGTGTGTGTGAGCCCCTTTGGTTTGTGCTTCTTTCTGATTGTGTATGGGCGTGTATGCCTCTCTGTTTCGTGCTTCCTTGGGAGCTTGTGATCAGGTGCTATTCCGGTTTGTTGTGCTGCTTGCTGATGTGTGTGTGCGTGCAATGTTTGTTCCTTGTATGGTATGCGTCCGGTGTGTGATGTCATGGGGTGTGTGCATGGCATGTATGCTGTTGTGGCATAATTGTATGCTTGTTAGCAGCGCGACACCTGCTGCTCAAATATGGCAGACGGTGTGGTGATGGGACGAGGTGCATACACGTGAAAAGGTCTCGTGTGAGAGTGATTCCTTTCCCGTCTATGCGCGAGTGCTTTGATGTGCATATGAGGAGGGGGAAGAGGAGCAGGTAGAGAGGCCATGGAAAAGGCTGAAGGGAGAGGAGGAGCAACTGGACAGTGGATGCTAGAAGCAACGTTGTGTGGACCCATGAGCATCATTAACAGAGAGTTGTTTGATGCTATTAGCTCTTTAGTATAAGTGTTGTAATTCTGCCTCTGTTGTACAATAAACGTAGTGCAATGTTGTTGTTATTGCAATATGACCGTTTAATGCGGGTCAGAAGTTTCACATGCCAGTTACCAGAGGTTACACCAGAACGGACGCACACAGGCCATCCGCATTTAATGACTAGAGTCCTTCTACTCCCGCCCCTGAAGTGTACAAGCCCTTTTTGCCCGGCGTTTTGGCCAGAGGATGCATGCACGCACCGCTTATCAATTTTGCGTTCCTGTATGCTGGAACAGGTGTAACAGAGCAGAGCAGAACTCCGCGTTCTTCGCCACTCGGTGGGCCACCCCACTCGGACGCGCTTGATTGCTTCGCTGCACTGTGGGCCATCAATCGCCTGTACTCTACTGTACGTGTATCCAACGGCCCTCTGGTTCTCCTGATCTGGTCGGCTGCGAATACCGAACAACCTCAAGTAGTTTTGATTGGCGATCGCCTTCCTCCGTCCTTTCCCCCCAGGTGCCCCTACACTCCTGATGCAGGGCCTGTTTCTAATCCCCCCAAAAGTATGCGCACAGCAAGCCCTCCACGAGGCGGAACACAGTTTCTTGGGCAAACTACCGACCCGGTGTCACAAATTTCAAACATTCACTGGCACTGGTTGGGACCTGCGCTCTAACCAGCTCTGTTGAAACCGTTAAAAACACGCCCTGTGTCCTGTGACCTCAGCAACTGGGAAGTTGCTCGAAACCACACTCCTCATTTCCTTTGAGGACAAGTTGCCTGCGTTGCTCCATGCTCAACCTGCTCCTTGCCACGCACGCAGCTCAAGCCCAACCTGCTCTGCTTCACTTCGTCCATGTTGATCACTGCCTCCTGAGTCCTTTCACTCAGATAGGCCCTACCTTCATCACTGCTTTCAGTTCACACGCCCAGTGAAGATACTAGTCACCCATTCTCTCGCAATGCTCATCCCATAATGCTCGGCTCTCTGGGTTTACTAGGCCAGGAAACGCGTATTCGCCCGCGAATGCACGCCATTCGTTGAACTCTCGCGGTCATCACTTCTAAATCATATCACGGCGAATCATGGAAGTTCGTTCTCCCTTCAACTTAAACATCATGACTTTCGGTGGAAACGCGATCTCATCGTCCCTATTTTCAGGCGCCGCCGGCGACGCGGGCGGAAGACATTCCGCCGGTGGCGGCGGTGGCGGCGGTGCCGGGAGCCTCGCGGAGTTTCTCTTCGGCAAGCTCGGCGGAAACATCCAGTCGGAGAAGCTTCGATGGGAGCTTCCCGTCGTCGCGAATGAGCCCTGCGACGTCGCCGCGTGCGGCTTCGCGAAAGATCCGTGCGACGTCGCACTCGACTCCGCGGGTGGTGCCATTGGGAGACTCGGACTCGGCATCGGCGCGGCTTTCCCCGCAGAAAACCCCAAAACGCCACGTCAGGAACACGTGGCGTATCCCCATTCGTTGTGGCCGACAAGGCAACCAATGATGCGAGACGACGATTTGCAATCAATCCGTGCGGCAAATCCGGGATTCGATCCTCGTTATACCGTGTCAGCGAGGCCAACGGAGCCGTCAGTAGTGCAGCAGCAGCAGCAGCAGCCACATCAGCAGCAGCAGCAGCGGGAGGGGGAGGCTCGGATGCTGTGGAAAATCATGTTGGCCGACTCGGGGTCCCGGCGCCACTGTGGGGAGCAGCGCGCCGACTCAGCAGCGTCAGCCGGCTGCGGCAGCCGCGTGCTTCGGACGCATCCGCAATCGCCACGTGAGCCAAGCGCGTCGCTGTCGCCTGGATGCCCCAGCAACGGAGGATGGGCGTTTCCATTCCCTCGGGCTGTACTAAATCCCGGCACTCCTGCGGTTGCGACTCCTGCGGTTGCGACTCCTGCGGTTGCGACTCCTGCGGTTGCGACTCCTGCGGTTGCGACTCCTGCGGTTGCGACTCCTGCAGTTGCGACTCCTGCTGTTGCGGCTCCCGATACACCTGCTGCTGCTGAAGGCACGCATGCGATTGCCGCGCCGTGTAAAGCTCCCATGCGTAACGTCCCCCCTGGCAACTACAGTGGGGTTCCGGACTCCGTGGTGTCTACTAACGGGTCGTCTTTTACAGGGGATGAGGCTGAGCCCTCTGCAGCCAGGGCTGTTGTGTCTGGTAATGGATCGCCTCACTCTGTCCGGAGCCGTATCAGGAAGAAGCAGGAATCGCGCGATTGCGGGCTATGCGGTAAAAGTTTTTCCTCCGGGCAGGCGCTCGGCGGGCACATGCGAAAACATTGGCATTCGCGGTCGGGTGCTGGTCCCCTGGAGAAGCTACTGCTTGAAAATAAAGCTGGGCAAGCAATCAAATTGGAGGGGAACAGTGGTTATACCAAGGAGTCTTCTAGAGGGGATGGAGGTGAAGGATGTTTTGCCTATTGCGCAGGACAAGAGGCCATGGAGGGGAGCAGTAGCAAGCCTTACTTGGCGCATGGCAAGGCGTGTGAGGATAGCTCGATAGAGCACATATTTGTAGAGGCTTGTGCTTCTGCTGCACCACGTTTTTGGGCCCGCCATGATGATGGGTTGGACCTGGACCTCAGGCTGTAGGAAGGCCTGGCTGGCACACAAAGATTTGGCTGCTTGTCTGAATTCGGTCGTTCTTTTTCTCCTTTGCTGAATAATTAGTTTCCTTGACCTTCCACGTGTTGGTTGGAGTACAGAATGGGCATGTTTCAAAGGTTATGAAGTTGAAACTGACTGACAAATTTCTAGGAGATGATTGTACACTTGTAAAACCAAAATGTCTGCTTCATAACATGCAGAGAATGGGCAGCGAACAGCCTTTGCTGGTGGAGCTGTGGCTCCAACAATGCATCTTTAGAAAGTTTCTTAGTTGAAGTCTACAATACATGCATGCACATCCAACAGGAAAGCACAATGAAATCATGACAGGAAAGAGTTGTATCTAACAGGGGTGGGGATGAGAGGGGGTTGGGATATGAGAAATGCATGGGGAGTAGGTAAAAGCTTGGCTAGCTTATGAGTGGTTCTCCCACTTATTTCATATCGCCCCTCCCGCTTTTAATTATTTCACTCTTCCTCGGCGTAACACGTCCAGAGCCAGTCGCGAACGTCGCCATCCTGTTCCGCCAACTTCAGCAGCGGCTCCGTCAGCGCCGTCAGTTCCTCGTCTTCTTCCTCGTCAATGTACGATGTCACGCAAACGCCGTTTTTCGTCTGAAATGCGAACGAATGCGGGCTGTTGTCCACGAGAATCGTGTTTTTCAAATCGCGTCCCACTTTAGCGAGGTCTTTCACATACCCTCCCCGCCACCATGTGCACGAGTCGCGGTACAACCGGTGGTGAATCAACCTCCCCTCGGGATCCAACCAATCAATTATCGCGTTCGCGTAATTTGGAATACTCGCCGTAAAAACCACCACCTCGTATTTCTCAGCCACGGCTTCCAGAAACGCGTCCGTTCCGGGCCGCTTCAGCACCGACACGTCGGTCATCTGCCCGAAAATGTCGACGTAAAACTGCGCGTCGGTCTCTTCCATCTTGCTGAAAAAGGAGTGGATTAAAGTCTCATCAAGATCGAGGATTAGAGTCTTCCTTCCCGCGTGCGCCGGCAGTTGCGGCGGCAGGAAGTACTTGGGCTGGAGGAGGGAGAAAATCGTACGCGTTTTAGACTCCTTCCCCGTTGCGTTATTAGCCGCCTTCGCATCGTCATCTCCAGGTGGAACAGCTGACGTGGCGCTGTTCCAAAGGCTCTCCAGGAGTGAGAAGCCGGCGTAACTCCCAAGCGCCTTTCCCGCTTTCGTATCCGCACCTCCCGCCAGATACCGAAACACCTCGCCCCACAACGTCGACGAAACGGCGAGCTCGTAGACCCCAAGGTTGCTCGTTATAGCGTCCAGGTCGACGACTCCCGGTTTAGTCAGTCCGTCTATAGTCACCTCCTTCTCTGAAGCCTCATCTCCGCCAAGAGCGCTACGGAGTTCGAGGGGAAGGATGTCAGCCACCCAGTTCTCCTTCTCCCGCCATTTCCGCTGCCCGTTTCCGCCGCAGCTCCAACCGCAGCAAATCTCGCCGCCCTGCGACAGGACGTTCGCTGCCGAGCTGTCGCTCACGACGTCGCCATCGCAGCCGTCGCTCGTCGTCAGGTCACTCGGTAGCCGCAGTGGCTTGGCCGGAGCTGTCTTTGCGGCAGCTGTCTTCTTGATGATGGGCGCATCTTTCGAAGCCGCTTGGACGAGTATGGACGAATTCAGGTTACCAGCTTCGTCGAAGATCGTCCACTCGAAGGTCGAGTGGTACATGATGGGTGGCGCGCCAAAGTTCGCCTCGTGGGAGAGTTCGCCGTGCTGACCTTGAATGCTACGATGAGTCGTAAGGATTGAAAACGCTATCGTAGTAGAAACGCCAGAGGACCGGACACGATTGGCTCTACCCGACAACTCGCGCTCCTTGCAACGAAATTCCTAAGTCTGAGTCCGTGCTGGTATTCTCGAGGCTCAGAACAGGAGGCTGGAGGTAGACGTGGTACTAGACGGAACTGAACTGTTGAGTGTCGGGAACAGAAGAAGCGATCGGTGCGCAAGAGTTTCTCGGATCAGCAACCAAGGGTTTGCGAGAGAATGGCGTATGGAACTGCTACTGCGTTCCAGGATCTATAGGGCTGCAACACTCGGCCTCAGTTCTCCACGCAGCAGGAAAAATCTACATCGGCGCGTCGCACCCAGTCTTCCCTAGATCATCCGCCCTTTCAGCAAATAATCGATCGCGGCTGCCGCTTTTCCTAGGTAACAGCCTTCGGGATATTGGCTGGGAAATGTGGCTGGTGGGATGGGCGCGGTGAGCAAATAATGGTGCAGTGGGGGTATTGGGGGTGGGAACAGAGGCACCTGGTGTATAGGGAGGAAAAGCCAAGAAATTAGGTTGGGTGGGGTGTTTTTGTTGGACTTAAAGGGATGGGGAGGTTTACGTCTGGTTTATGCTCGGTTTAGCTGGGTTGGATCCACTAGTCTTGTGTGGTTTGGGGAAAAATTCGAGTCGCTCCGTGTGACGCGGCGATGCGACTCGCAATGAGGATTCCTGTCGCCAGAGGTGTGGGACCAGCTGCGTCCATCGTCCCCCTGCGGATGTGGCGAACGAGTCGCGCGACACAATTTGCCCTCGTTCGTTTGGCTGGCGAAAGTCGGTTGTCGTCAAAACGCGCACCTGCAATTTGATTGGTTTAAAGACGTCGTTCAAGCGGTCGCCCAGCACCTGTAAAGATTTTGACATTAATTTATAAGTGTATTTCCCTTACTTGACACAGCCGCGTAGCGCAGTGGATTAGCGCGTTGGACTTCGGATCCAAAGGTCGCGGGTTCGATCCCCGTCGTGGTTGTTTCTGTTCACTCAAGTTTGAATGATGAGATGTTTTCTTTTGGTCAAGGCTGAGTATTTTGCCTAGCTTCAGATCCTTTCAGCTACACTTCGGCTGAAATCTGTGGGCACTTCACGTCGACGTGGGCGATGACATTGAGGAAGCTCCTGAAGCGATTTCGTGAGCATTGGTTACCACCCAAGCTTGCGCACTTTACCGAGCCTCCCTCGGAAGCCATGCGAGCAAATTGAGCAAACCGTTCGCGAAATTGAGGTCGGAACGAATTTCATATTTCTGCAACAGATACCCACTGCCCAATGGTATATGACTATAATTACGAGGTAATAACAATACGAAAAAATAACTAGGGTTTGGCGAGATGCACCCACAATCCCCAGCACGATGTATTTGTGCTCCTGGTGTTTCTGCGCTGTATAACCGTGAGCTGGACCGATTGATTTTTTTGGCTAGGGCAAGGCACATCTGGCAGGGTGGGGTCAGGCTGACGCGTTTTGTTTGGGTGTGGAGGGCTAGTACACCCTTGAGGCTGATGTAAAGTTGAATGCAAGGTGGACTCCGCGGTTGAGCAAACTTCAGCATTGCGTCAAGTTTGCGTCAGATTTGCCAGGGAGAGAAGCGAGGGGGGTGTTTCCCTGACGTAGATGTCATCGGTAGATGGACCTGTTCTGCAGGCATGTCGATGTAACTAGGTTCGGGTAGTTGTGCCAGCTTTGGGGGAAAATTTGCGGGCTGACCCTCGATCCGAAGCAAAATCTCGCGTTTCCGAAAGGTGCTTTGATGGAATCTGCAACTTCCTTTTCAACCTGCAGAACGCAGCCTCCGCATCACTTGACATCACGCTTCAGGGGCTGCCGAGCCCAACCATCTTTCCCGCGCTTTCCACCCTCGAGCTGTTCGGTGCGCCGTTTCTGTCCACTTGCCGTGCATTCGCCCACTCGCCCACGCATCCGTGCCTGACGAAGATCTTGAGAAACGGAAAAAGCACACACAGAAACACGGGAAAGCTAGTTGGGCTGGTTCTTGTCTCTTTTCGACCTAGATAGTTTATTCGCCATCACCTGAAGAGAGGTGGTTCATGGGTATTCTAGTTTCTAAGATCCACTTTTAGCTGATGCGTTCGTGCAGGCTGTCGGAGTACGCGATTTTTGGGAATTTTCAAAAATCGCCTGCAACGTGCAGGCTGTCGGAGTACGCGATTCTTGAGAATTTTCAAAAATCGCCTACAACGTGCAGGCTGTCGGAGTACTAGATCATGTTAGTCGCAGCAGATAGATGCTGCAGCGTGCAATCACCAGGCTGACGGACATAACGCATCTTTAATCCTTGATTGTCGTAGAAGAAAGTTTCGAAGGACCGCGATCGCACACCGCAACTGATTGCTCCGCGAAACGTTTTCATTTAGACATTGCTTCAAGTCCCGGGCTGCTCCGCCAGTCCCGGGCTGCTCCGCCAGTCCCGGGTTTCCCCGCCAGTCCCAGGTTGCTCCGCCAGTCCCAGGTTGCTCCGCCAGTCCCAGGTTGCTCCGCCAGTCCCAGGTTGCCCCGCCAGTCCCAGGTTGCTCCGCCAGTCCCAGGTTGCTCCGCAAACTGTAGCATCGCTTGCTTGCGACTAATTGTAGCATCGCTTGCTTGCGGTCAGAATGATGATGGACGGATCGTATCGAGACGGGGGAGGACGAGCGGGCAGAGGACGAGGAGGGGGAATAGGAGGAGGAGGGGGAGTCGGATCGCATCAACGCGGTCCGTGGGACGAGGAGGACGATGCGTGGATGGAGAGTATGGCGCGGAAGCACAGACGACAGTACCAGGGGGTACAGGAGGAAGAGGAGAAAGAGCAACTGAAGCAGGAGCAACTTAAGGAGAGGCAGAGAGAGAGGGAGGAGCGGAAAGACGAGGAGGAGGACGAGGATTATGGGGGGTCAGAAGAGAAAATATCCCTCACAACGGGAAAGGTAAGGCCTGCAGCGGGAAGGGTAGAAGCCAGCTGCTTCGTCAGTTTTTTGTTTTCCTGCTGCCTTTCAGTTATCATCTGCTGCTTGGATCCTGGCCTGATATACGCCTGACTTTCCCACGCCGCATACTGATAACCGCCTCTCCACACATCAAAGGTCCGGCTGACACCGGAAGGGTAGAAGCCAGCTGCTTCGTCAGCTTATCTCTTCTGTTGCATTTTTTTCCAGTTATCAGTTGCCTGAAGCCTGGTCTGATAAATGCTGCTCATATTCCTCTCCACCCTTCCCTAGCGTCCTTCCTGCGCCTCATATTTTGAGTCGACTCAAAATACACCCTTCCCTAGCGTCCTTCCCGCGCCTCATACCCATGAAAGCCTCTCCACACGTCAAACCCCTTGCTTGCCCTCAACACGTAGTTAGGCACCGCTCCTCTGCTTCATATGCCTGTTCGCTCTCGCCCTTTCACTACTGTCTTCCCCACGCATCATACCCCTTGCATCCCCTCATCAGGTAGTCAAGCACCGCTCCTGCTGCCGCCTCTTCTGTCTCCTTTGCTCCGCCTTTCACTAGTGTCTCTCCCACACTCGATGCCCCTTGCTTCCTCTCATCACGTAGTCAAGCATCGCTCCTCCGCTTCATGTGCCTGTTCGCTCTCCCGCTTTCACTAGCATCTTCCCCCACACATCATACCCCGTGCTTGCCCCCATCAGGTGGTAAAGCACCGCTCCTGCTGCCGCCTCTGCCTCCCCTGGCTCCTCCTCCTCTCACTAGTGTTCCCCACACTCTTCTACCCCTTGCTTGCTCTCCATCAGGTAGTCAAGCACCGCTCTTGCTGCTTCCGCTGCCTTCCCTCGCTCCTCCTCCTCTCGCTCGGTCTAATCGCCGGTGCAGCCATCACGGCTGGGGTCTCCCTCCTATTCCCGTGGCGCGCCGTGGCTTTAATCACCAACTATGCCAGCACGGACACTCTGGTTAAATCGCAGGGCGCGCTCTCGTTCCTAGTGGTGGGGGACTGGGGTCGGAATGGCGACTACAACCAGTCCCTCGTGGCAGAGGCGGTGAGTGTCTCAGCAGCAGCAGATTGCTGGCTCTAATCACCACCTACACCACCCCTGTCATGTTCCAAGGCGTTGCTGCTGCTGCCGCTGCTGCCGCCGCCGCCGCCGCCGCCGCTGCTGCTGCTGCTGCTGCTGCTGTGTGGTAGGTTGCAGTGGCTCTAATCACCTTGCACGCCAGCACGGACACCCTTGTCAGGTCCCAAGGCGCTGGTGGTGGGGGATTGGGGCCGAAATGGCGACTACAACCAGTCACTCGTGGCAGAGGCGGTGAGTTACGGCGGTTGCTGGTTACAGATTCACTGGTAACCATATTGTTGGTTACCGCATTCCTGGTAGTGGGGGACTGGGGCAGGAATGGCGATTACAACCAGTCCCTTGTGGTAGAAGCGGTGAGTTACTGTGATTGCTAGGTACAAATTCACCGGTTACTGTGATTGCTAGGTACAAATTCACCGGTTACTGTGATTGCTAGGTACAAATTCACCGGTTACTGTGATTGCTAGTTACAAATTCACCAGTTACTGTATAGCTGGTTACAAATTCACCGGTTACTGTGATTGCTAGTTACAAATTCACCTGTTACTGTGATTGCTAGTTACAAATTCACCGGTTACTGTATAGCTGGTTACCATATTGCTTGTGGGAGAGACTGGGACTGGAATGTGGACTATAGCGAGCCACTCTATGGGAGGATCAACTGATGGACTTGTTATCGCCCCCTCCCTCCCTCGCCCCCTTACCCCTCGCCCCCTCGTATTTTCTCTCTCAGATGGGAAGGGTCGCCGCAGAGATAGACAGCAGCTGTGTGATTTCCACAGGGGACAACTTCTATAAGGGCGGCCTGACAGACAGCAGCGACCCCCAGTTCACCTCCTCCTTCTCTCTTCCCCTCTCTCTCTCTCTCCCCCCCCCTTGTCACACAACCCACCCGCAGATGGGTCGTGTAGCCGCGGAGATAGACAGCAGCTTTGTGATTTCCACAGGGGACAACTTCTATGAGGACGGCCTGATAGACAGCAACGACCCCCAGTTCGCCTCCTCCTTCTCTGAGATCTACCAGGCTGCTAGCCTGCGCACCCAGTGGTATGCTGGTACGTACCTTGTGCTTATAACGGGAATGGGACTATAACTGGTATGTAAATTTATGAGAAGACCCCGTCGTCGCCACCCCCTTCTCTGAGATCTCCCAGCCCCCCAGCCAGCTCAACCAGTGGTATGCCAGTAACGGGTATGTGATTGTGTTGGGACTACAGCAACCACGACTACCACGGTAATCCCAGGGCCGAGGCTCAGCTGCACCCCGCCCTCCGCCTCGCGCGTATCATATTTAATCCTCCTTGCATTTCCTCCTTGCTTTCATTCCCTAGCATTCCCATCGTTCCCCTCCCACCTCAGCTTTTGTGTCGACTCAAAAGCAGTTTCCCCTCCCACCTCAGTCTTCAGCACTTACGATTACCACGGCAATCCCAAGGCTCAGCTGGTACCAGCCCTCCACTGTTCGGTACGGACCATATGCCAGTGTACGTCATACTGGTTTCCGAGGCAGCAATCAAGACTACAACGTCAACCCTGAGGCTCTGCTGGATCCGGCCCTTCGGATGCGCAATCCCGGCTGGACTCCGCCCTTCAGCAGCTCCAATTACCTTCATCCCTCACATTCTCTTTGTTTGCCCCGCTTCTCAGTCCTCGGCAATCACGACTATCACGTCAACCCCGAGGCTCAGCTGGACCCAGCCCTTCGGCTGCGCGACCCCAGGTGGCGCTGCGAGCGCTCCTACAACGTGCGCCGGGATGCATGCCCCAAGTATTTGTACGGTACGAATCTGTGAAGTAGGTACCTCTTGTCTGGACCCCGCCCTTTGGCTGCACGATCCCCGCTGCGAGCGCTTCTACAACGTGCGCCGGGATGCATGCCCCAAGTATTTATACGGTGAGATTCTGTACGTGTGAGGTACCTGCTTCAGTAGGGAGGGGTGGTGTGGCGCTGCGAGCGCTCCTACCACGTGCGGCGGGACGCGTGGCCCGAGTATTTATACGGTGAGATTCTCTGGCCCAAGTGTTTTGATTCTGTGAGATTCTCGGCCATTCTCTCCGTGCCGCACTCACTTCTCCCCTCCATTTTTCCCTCTCTTCAATCCTCGCCTCGGTTCCCCTGGCAATGTTCATTTATTAGTACGCCATGACTCACCACTGGAGTGCGTTCTCCTAGTTAATTGCAAACTCCCCCCCCCTTCCCCTTCCCCGTTCGATCCCCCCTTCTCTCCCCCCCCCCTTCTCCCCCCTGGCCATTCACCAGAGCCCTGCGACTCACCAGTAGAGCTGTTTTTCATCGACACGTCGCCAATGCTGATTGGCTACTGGAAGCCCACGGGCAACCACACAGAGAAGCTTAATTTCACGGGCAGACCGGAGTATTCCCAGTCGATTCACTTCCAGATCGAAGTGAGTGTTCCACTCCTTCCTTCATGTTGGGGGGCCCTCTGCCTTTCTGTCACTTTCTCTCACTGTCTCTCACTTTCTCTCACTTTCTCACTTTCTCTCACTCTCTCTCACTTTCTCACTTTCTCTCACTCTCTCTCACTTTCTCTCTTTCTCACTTTATCTCACTGTCTCTCACTTTCTCTCACTTTCTCACTTTCCCCCACCTCATCTTCCCCCCACCTCATCTTCCCCCCACCTGATCTTCCCCCCACCTGATCTTCCCCCCCTCATCTTCCTCGTTCCCCCTATCCCCCAGTCCCTGCGAGCAGCCCTCGCGTCGTCTGCTGCCAAGTGGAAGATTGTGATTGGCCACCATCCCGTGCGGAGCACAGGGGAGAATGGGGACTCCACGGAGCTCGTTCAATACCTCAACCCCATCCTCAAGGTGGGTGTAAGCTCAAGGATGAACCCTTCCTGTGCATACGGCGATTGAATACATGCATCTGAGCACATGTGCAAACACAGGGGAGAATGGAGACTCCACGGAGCTCGTTCAATACCTCAACCCCATCCTCAAGGTGGGTGTAAGCTCAAGGATGAACCCTTCCTGTGCATACGGCGATTGAATACATGCATCTGAGCACATGTGCAAACACAGGGGAGAATGGAGACTCCACGGAGCTCGTTCAATACCTCAACCCCATCCTCAAGGTGGGTGTAAGCTCAAGGATGAACCCTTCCTGTGCATACGGCGATTGAATACATGCATCTGAGCACATGTGCAAACACAGGGGAGAATGGAGACTCCACGGAGCTCGTTCAATACCTCAACCCCATCCTCAAGGTGGGCTGATTGAAACTCCAGGGGAGTTGTACACGTGAGGCATCTGAGTACATGTGCGAACACAGGGGAGAATGGGGGCTCTTCTGAGCTGGTTCAATACCTCAACCCCATCCTCAAGGTTAGCTGATTGAAGCTCCAGGGAGTGTGGTGTATGAGGCAACTGAATGCGTGCGGAGGCCGCGAGAGAATGGGGGAGAATGGGAACTCTGCAGAGCTCGTGTAGGGCCTCAACCCTATCCCCAAGGTGCGTTCATTCAAGCGTCACACCCATTGTCAAGGTTGTGCCACACCCCTGCTGTCAACATCAGTTCTCTATATGAGGCATCGGAACACATGCAGAGCCCATGGGGAGAATGGGGAACCGTCAGAGCTTGTTTAATACCTGAACCCCATCCTCAAGGTAACTTTATCAACCCAATCCCGATGCTGGTTACGGACCCACCCTTGGGTTAGTTGAATCTCTGTTCGTGCGAGCACAAGAGAGAACGGGGACTCTGCAGAGCCCGTTCAAAATCTCAAACCCATCCTCAAGGTGAGTTGGTCGGGTTTCATGATGTCGATATTTGATTCTGCTGCCGTTCAGTACCTAGACCTTCTACTCTGCTGTCCAACCCCAATCTCAAGGGGTTAGCGGAGCAGAGTTCCCGAGCGTAGCTGGTGGTCAGGTTTCAAGCTTTTGATGTCAATGATTGATTCCGCTGCCCCCCCCATTCATCCAAACCCCTCTCGCCCACCACACCAGGAGCACCAAGTGGACTTCTACATGAACGGCCATGACCATAACCTGGAGCTGTTTCAAGAGCCTGCCAGGTGAGGCTCCTCTGGCACTCTTTCATGTCACACATCTCATAGGCATGAACGGCCATGACCATTACCTGGAGCTGTTTCAGGAGCCTGCAAGGTGAGGCTCCTCTATTGCACTCTTTCATGTTACACATCGCATCTAAAGCATGAATGGCCATGATCAGAAACTGGAGCTGTTTCAAGAGTCTGCAAGGCAACCTTCCGCTGCTGCTCTCCCCTGACCGCCTTCACATGCATGCGTGCTGTTAGCAGCAGTTTGATGTATCTCACGTGCTTATTTGTTATTTACTCACTTGTCCATGGTCATTGTCGCACTGGCTTGATGTTCCTGCCTATTATGATTCAGGGCTGCTAACCTGCATGTTTGATAAGACACATCATGTAAAACTAATTATTCGTATCTTGTCCTCTGCCCATCTGCAGTTCACTGTTCTTTGTAACGAGTGGCGCAGGATCGCAGGTGAGCCACAAGAGATCAAACGCAGACAACCCCTTCTCGCAGTTTTACTACGCTGAGCAGGGGTTTGTGTCAGCCACTATTGATGGCAACGGCTTGGTTCTGAACTTCCATGACATTGCTGGCACTGTTATCCATACTCTCTGGGTGAACAAATAGACAACTGTGACACAGTAGCATGCTGCTGCCGTGTGGTTCATTTTTTCAACATGTAAATACATCATTTTTCGTCTCTAGCATGAATAATTTGGTTGCAGTTTACACCTGTATATGTTCTGTTGTGCATCTGACCTTACCTCCTAAGTGCTGGTATGGTAGCTGGCTGAGAGAAGCCAAAATGGGTCATACGGTATGTGAGAGGTGCAACGACAAAAAGCTCAAGTATTCGAGAATTGAGGGTAAATCACAGGTGAAAATGCGCTAAAAGATGCTTAGCGGAGGTTGCAATGTTCGAATATGACCTGAAGTGGGTTTCTGAGATTTGTCTGCCTGAGGAAAAAAACCCAGTTCTATGGGGATTTGAACGTCGTCACTCTAATTACTGTAGGTAGGGTTTCCCGCTGGCCACAGAATTCTAAGCGCACGTGACAGGACAGTACGCAAGAGGCTATCATGGACACCCAGTCAAGCAAGAGATCCATCATTCTCAGCATCATATTAATTCCAGAACGTAAAATATCGATATGCGAAAATTCCACAGGTCTCCACAACTAGCCACTGAATTAGCAATGGAGACATTGTCTCTCAGCACGGTACCAACACAACTTCCAGTAGTAAGGTACACAATCCATCCTCACTCCATGGCAGAAATCAGTGACCGATGCTGACATGCGGACCGAGATGCTGCTCTCCGTCAAGAGCGGGAAGAGCGACGACCGTACAGAAAGAGCAACAGCTGTGCTACGCTTGCGGGACAAGCAGAAGCGTAACGACACAGGGGCGCCGGAGAAAGACCTCAGGCGCTAGCAGACCAGGTAAAGCGAAGCCGAACGAGCGAGCCAGCTTCGAAGACACCTCCACAACTTTAAGTCATATACTGCTCCGGATTTTGCATGGCTTAGAGACCCCCAGGTGCGAAAGGACATGTGAAAGACAGACGAGAAAGGTGACGGCGGGTATGTGTATGTGCAGGCGAGACGGCGAACGACACGCACCAATAGTCTGAGTACGAAACGCAACGGTGCTCGACGGACCAGGTTAACAGGCCCGAGATACAGGGCTAGAGGGGAGGAGCGAAAACAGGGAAAGAGCAGAGGCTGAAGAGGAAAGAGAAGCTGAGGGTGAGGACACGGGTCAGCAGGAAAAGACTTCCGCAGATGCTCTTGCCGTTCCTGACTCCAATTTAAATACGGAGGTCAGGAATCCTTCATCCACACATCCTTTCACCACGCTGCCATGCAATCTTCTTAGACAGCTTCTAAGCGACCTGAAGGAGCCTCTTCAGGTTGCCTTCAATCACCAACGTATTCATCGGGTAAACCATCATGTGCTCGGCAGCGCACGGCACGGGAACGCGGCCGTTATCTTGAACGAAATCAGTCGATTCAGATGCAGACTGCTTGAACGGAGAAGAGGGTTCCGAAGAAGAAACGCGGACATTGGTCGGGCTCGGCTTAAGCTGAGCCTTGAGAAAGCTGGGAAGGGGGAGCGAGCTAGGAGGAGGAGAGTTCACGTATGCAGGACCAGCCCACGCTTCCGAAGTTGATGGGGTAATTACATCGCGGGACGGAAGGGGAGCTCCAGGAGCAGGCGCGGAGTAGCTGGTTGCTGAGGAATTAACCGCCACGCCGGGTGCAGAGGCACCGTTATTCGTGTACCGAGCTTGAGTATCAGTGTTAGGAGATCCATGTCGAGACCTGTTCTTCTTGGGAGATCTCCGAGCGTTGCCACGACCTTTCCGCACGCCGCCGACTACAGTGGCTGGTTGAGGAATCTCAAGAACACTTGCTCCATTCCTGTTACCCAAAGAAAAGAAACAAGCTTAGTCACCGCTCTCCAGCCCATAAAATATACTGGATCGATACCCGTGGTTTCCACGAGACAATCCTCACCTCCTAATAGCATCCACGTCCGTATTGATATTAACCGCATCCTCAGTCAAGTTAGTGAAGCCTGGAACGAAGTATGGCACAAGTTCGCGTCCGTAGGACGGAAGAGCTGTTGTCCCCTTCATCTGGCTCGCAGCAATCACCATATCAACCATGATGTCCTCATCAGAGCAGAAAATCGCTGACTTCGTTGATGGGGCCATGTCGACTACCTAAAGAAAAGGAAGAACAAACTACAGATGGAAACGGATAAGGCCTGCGTGATTCTTACAACCGACAGAGGAACTACAGCACTACCTAACCAGTGTTGCGGTAAGACGGATTTCCCGGATAATAAAATAAAAAGCACCAGGCTGCTGCTTTATCCTCGAATGCTCCTCCCTGCTCAGCTCGCAAGAAGCACGGAAAGATGGGGAGAGCTGATGGTGCTGCTGGGTTGCTGCTGAGCTGAGCCGAGCTGCAGGGAGAACTCGATTGGGGTTTCAACGCGGAAAGGTAGGCGGAGACGAAGCTACGCGGAGCACGTGTTGGGGGAAGGATTGCCTGCATGAAGGTTGGGAAGGACCGAGAAAATGCGGAAACGGTGGGCTGTCTTGGGGGAGAGGGTGCGGGGATGGCGGAGATGCATGTGGTGCTGCTGCTGTTGGGGGAGAGGTGGATGGTGGTGGGCGGGGCACAGAACGGAACGGTGTGGCGCTCCGCAGGCTCTGCTCCTGTGACTGCCGTGGAAGCTGTGGTGCAGGCTCACTGTGGCACGGTTCGGACTTGGGATTTCAGTTTCAGGTCTGGCAGGAGTCAGCTTCGGAACTTCGGGCCGCGTAACACGTGACAATTTCGCAGAGTTCTCTGCAGGGGAAGTGAAACTAACGGACGCGGCGAATGCGGAGTGTTGAATTTACACAATTCTTGGCGAGGCAGCTGCCTCCCGCTTACGACGGCAATCTCTAGGAGCGTGAGTTGAAGCGGGAATCACAGCCGTGCTTCATTGACAGCCGAGTCAATGGTGACCATATTCCGTGCCAGCTGCCCATGTGACGACGTGTCAACTGCTGTACAGCCTTGTGTGACATGCGAAAGCCTGCTTTGCGTACAGCCTTGTGCGTACGTACAGAACTTCGCTGGGGAATCTTGAACCCCTTGATACAGGACCATCATTTGTTGCGTGTCATCTGCGGAAATCCCCCAGCATGCTGGTTTGCCGAAGCTGCGACATCTTGGTCACCCACCAACCAGATGTCAGGCTGCTCGTCACAGAATGGTGACATTTTGGTTAGGGGGTGTCCAAAGTGCCCAGCGACGTCCGACGACATGCATCGACATCCCGGATGTCGAGGCACCGATCTAGAAACCTTCTGTAACCTTGTAAACATTTATTAAATCGTACTGAAACTACCTCAGATGTCGGTGGATGTCGACGAGAATTGTCGACATCCCACTTTGGATACCCTCCCTGGCATGGGAATCTGGTCAGGCCTTGAGGAAACAGCTTGCAAGAAAGCTTCCAGGAGAAAATGCGGGGCTCTGCTGGTTTTGTCCTTTTGCCCAGGACTTCTGGGGCATCCTAGCCCATGAACAGTTGTTATTGGCTGGTGGCAAAAATCGTCTCTCCTCATCAGATTCCTGATTGTGTTGAGCATCATGACTGGTAAATTGACGTGGCATGGCAGGATGCGCTAGTTTGGTGACGGAATACTCCAATCAAATTACAGCTGATACGCACCAGAGCAGGTTGTGAAATCCTCGCGAACAAATCAGAGACAAGCAACAGCATCTCTTCACTGGTGTATACAACCCAATTTCGTTTCTCGCCTCCACAACTATGATACAAGCATAGGCTTGTTGATGAATGAGCTATCACTAAGAATCAAGCTACAAAATCTCAACCTTAGTTTCTTGCCTTCATGGGCCTTCAAAGGCCGTATACACGTGTAAGCGATTGGACTAGGTTGTAATACGCGTACTTGACATCGAATTGCATGTCATACCCTGCATGCATGTGATACAAACAAAAAGCATGTCATCAACCATATGTTGCCATATGGAATTAAACACCTTGTGGGGAGAAAGGACATGACAAGGACGATTGGTTAAGACACAAAAGTGCAGAGGAAATGATATGCAGGGCACATACAGTAATTGAGAGCTATCGTTCGGCCAGTTTCGTCAGGGCTCTGCGAGACATGGTGATACCACATGCTCGGCCTGCACAGCACCACATTACAACAGACTTCATTAACAGACAACATGAGATGGCATGGTGCATACTCTCCCCACACCCCTCCCAGGCCCCTAGAATTCAGGTCTCTCCGCACACACCCTCCTCACTCTCAGCACGTACAGGTAGAGCATCTCCCCCGGGCCAATGGTGCACACAAGCGGAGGGGGTGCCTTCAGCCCACACCTTACACATCCTTCTCTCTCCTTACACATCCTCCTCTCTCCTTACACCTCCTCAAATACAGGTCTCCCCTTACACACCCTCCCCACTCTCAGCACGTACAGGTAGAGCATCTCCCCCGGGCCAATGGTGCACACAAGCGGAGGGGGTGCCTTCAGCCCACACCTTACACATCCTTCTCTCTCCTTACACATCCTCCTCTCTCCTTACACCTCCTCAAATACAGGTCTCCCCTTACACACCCTCCCCACTCTCAGCACGTACAGGTAGAGCATCTCCCCCGGGCCAATGGTGCACACAAGCGGAGGGGGTCCCTTCAGCTGCTCCCCCAAGCCTCCCCCTGAACTCTTTGTGTCTGCATTCCTGGCACCATGCATGTCTGCATTGCCAGCACCATGCATGTCTGCATTGCCGGCACCATGCATGTCTGCACTGCCGGCACCATGCATGTCTGTATTGCCGGCACCATGCATGTCTGCGTTGTCTCCACCACCCACGGCGTGGCGGCACAGCATGAGGGGGTTGAGCCTCGCATCCACAGAAACCCATGGCACCGTGGATGGGGGGTCAGAGGGGAGGATGTGGAACGGACCCTGCTCATCCTGGTAGTACGGGAACACGGGAACACGGGGACATGGGGACATGGGTACATGGGTACATGGGTACATGGGGAGAATGGGGAGCATGGGGAGCATGGGGAGCATGGGGAGAATAAGAAGAATGGGGAGCATGGGGAGCATGGGGAGCATGGGGAGCAGGGGAAGGGATGGCATCCACAGAGACCTGTGGCGAAATGCATAGGGGGTCAAATGGGAGGATGTGAAACGGGCGATGCTCGACCAGGTGAAGACACACATGGGCAGAGATGGAGAATGGTGCTGGATAAGCAAAGCAGCAAGAGGAGTCTAGTTTTGAGGCGCCTCAAAGATAAGCAAAGCAGCAAGAAACTCGGATCTACCTCTGCCTGCCAGTATCTTGCAGCAGGGTACTCCCGCACCCTCATCCTGAACACATCTAGCGGGGGCAGCAGCCGGAAAGTTTTTGTGCCTGTGACAACCACGTAGAAATTCTCGTAGTGGTCCTTGTGCCAGCTTGTGACTGCCCGCTCGTCCCCAATCCACAGATTTACGGCTTCGGGCAGGTTGCCGCCCAAAGCGGCTGTGGCGAATCCGATGTGCTCGTCTGCATCTGCAGCCAGGGCGGCAAATTCTGTCCTGAAGCTGCCGTTTTGATGCTGAACATAGGGAATGCCGATGAAGGGAGAGCGTGAGGAGTGTGCGGAAGCGAATGAGGGAGACTGTGAGGGAGAGTGTGTGGGGAAGTGTGAGGAGTGTGAGGGGGAGAGTGAGGGCGAGTGTGAGGGGGTGGAGCGTGAGGAGTAGAGGAGGCGAAAGAAGGCAGGGAGTGTGAGGGAAGCTTCGTGCGGGGTGACGAACCACGCACAGGGCGGGTCACAGAGGCAGGCACGAGGCGAGCAGGCACGCGGCGAGCAGGCACGCGGCGAGCCGTGATTGCTGCATTTGCTGCAGTGATCTCTGTTCTCTTGAGGACAGCTACTACCCTCAGGACAGCTACTGCTATCTCCAATCTGATATCTGTTTGCCTCACATTCCCTCTCCCGCCCCTGCAGCTGTTCTTCCCCTGCCTCCTCCTCCTCTTCCTCCTCCACTTCCTCCTCCTCTTCCTCCTCCTCTTCCTCCTCCCCCACCGCTTCACCTTCCCGTTTCTCTTCCTCCTCCTCTCCCTCAATCCTCACACCTTCATGACCTGACCCCCCTCTACTATCCCAGCCTTCGTCCCCCGGAAACAGCACCCACCTCCGAACACCCGAATCATCCCTAATCTCTTCTCCACGCTCCTCTCTAGCATCACCGCTACAGTCACATCTGATATTGGCACCCCCAGTTGCCGGAAACCCTGAAACCGAACCCCCATCTTTCCACTTTCCCCCGTTTTCCGAACCATGGTCTGATCTTCCAATGCCGTCCCGCCAAACGATCGCGTCGCCATGGCCGTCAGGGGTGAAATCCACCGTGACCTTTTTGTCCCCGAGCGCGCCGATTAAGTACTGGTCGGACCGCCAGAGGGATAGCGCCGGCCAGTGACTGACGGCGCCGGTAATAACGCATGGCCGGTTAGCCGCAATGTAGTCCCGGTAGAATTCGAGAGGAGAGAGCACTATGGGAGGATCGACAGAACTAGTGGTAGGAGCTGTGTCTGCTCTGTACGCGTTAGCACTCGCTTCTGTTTTAGCATACGAGCGCGCAGCTTCTGGCGAAATAGCGATCCTAGGAACGGCAGCCGCGCGGTTCTCCCGGCTGGAGGCGACAATGTCGCCAGCGTCGTCGTCGCTGTCGCTGTCGCTGTCGCCGGTCGCACCGAAGGAGAATTCGCGAGCGTCGCACGAAAGGCGACTGAGAAGCGACGCGATCGCATCTCTGTCGCCTCCACTTCTCCTTTCGCGTAGAGCCATCAACAATCGGTTTCTCTTCTCTGGCTATCTTCTTATCGCATCAGCTTCAAGCTTGTTCAGCAATCGGGTTCTGAGGCTACCTAGCAGCTAAGATGCTCTCGGGAATGTCTCCTGAACCAATGACCTTGGGAATGTCGCCTGATTCCTGAATATGCCAGATCTCGTCTCCCGGAAACGCTGACCTTGGGCTTGTCTACCTTGGAACGATTTTCCCTGAATTCTATCAACGAAGCTTGCACTGGACTGTTTGTTGGGAGTGCCGAGATTCGACAGCCGAATTTGAAATGGATTGCCCAGCGTAGAAGCATGTTCATTAGTGTGGACGGTCTGGTATAGATTGCAACAGAGATCAGTGGGCAGTGTAGTATTTAATTACAAAGAACTACTTTTGCACTTCACCATATATAGGGGCCAAGCCACAAAGCAAGCAACTCATTCAGACGAATTGGGCTCTAGTCTCACTTCGAACCACTGAAAAGCGCCCTTTCCACCACCCAACTCCAATTCACAGGCAGAGTCGAGCAAAAACTCGGCAGCTTCCTCAAGAGACTCAAAAACTGCCAAGTCGTCTGAAAGCCGTCGACCTTCCTTTTTCCAGCTCTTGAGCTCGTTTAGGAGGCATTGTAGCACCTCCGGGCGGGATAGGAACACTTCCTCCTCGCCTGGAGCTATAAAAACGTAAGTGTCTGCTGTTTCGTAGTGTACGGAGCGGCCTGCATTTAGCTGGTGCACAACAAGGGTTACACGAAAGTAAGGATGAAGCGGGGGGGGGAGGGGGGAAGGTGGGGAAGGGCGGACGGGGAAGGGTGGGGGGTGGGGGGAGTAGAGACAATGCAAGATGGTGAGACAGAGGAACTGATGGTTTTGGGTTTGGGAGCGGAAGGGTAGGGGGGCAGAAATCTTGGGAAAAGGGTGGCAAACATCAGGACACGAGAATGCAAGAAGTAGGGGAAAGGGGAGACGGAGGAAGAGGAAGAGCTAGTAGTGAATACCAGAATGCAGCAAAACGAAATGCAGAGAAGGAAGCGGAGAGCTAATACGACGAAGTGCTCACGGGAGAGTTAAATTAAACAACATGCATGGCGACCTTACCCGAGCACTCCTGGCTCTTGAAACCCCAGCGGAAGCCGTTACCACCCGAGCAGCAAGTGAATTTAGAGGTACCGCTGCAGGGAATGACAGGCTTGTGTGCACTGCGGCGGCCCGGTAACGGACGAAGGCGCATAAGCGAGAGGTTGCTGCTCGTGAAGTTGACGTCAGGGACGGCGCTGATTCGGCGGCTGATGCGGCTGATGCTGCGAATGCGGGTGAGAGCAACTTCGCTGCTGCTGCTGGTAAGCGGGTGGGGATCGGGACAAACCGACAAGAACGCACAAACCGAGAACCGCAGGCCGAGCAGATAAAAAGGAAGAAGCAGCAGAAGGATAGGTTAATGGGCGGCCATCACGGCGTGAGCCACAGGCGAAGGAGGGGAAGGGGGGTATGGATTTGGTTGGGCCAGTCGTAAGTGTGCAAACGATCTGAATTATGAAGTTGAATGGCATTTGCGATGTTGCAGAGATTGTGCACGAAAGTCACGGATTACCTGTGCTGAGGCCCATATTGGCGGCAGAAATTCCAGTCGGCTAAGGTCTTGCGCTTTAGTCGTGAACAAGCGCTAGGGAAGATAGCTGGGAAATAAGTTGTTAGAAAGCGGTGCTGGAAAGTGAGACTAGAGGCTGGAATGTGAGACGAGGAAATGGTTAGTACTCGGAAGATGAGGTCAGAAAGTTTCCCCGATATGGCTTCCCCGCTGGGAGCATTAATGCTCAGTAGGAGATCATGATAATTCTGTAAGTTTGTTGCAATAAAAAAGGCCAGTGTCCACATTCGTGAATTCTCGTGCGTACGTGTCGTTCACCCATTCGAACTTCCGACCTGACAACAAGCACCAGGTCCAGAGAACCCAGCTAGGAAGGACCTCTCCTTTCCAACAAGAGCCGTGCACCCAAGCGTCACCGTGGCGACTCGATCCATCAACTCAACAACGCGTATACCTCACTCGCGGTCAGCAATCGTCTCCACGGCCTTCTTGTGCTCAAACTTCCCCATCCCACACGTACTTCAGTTGCAAGGAGCACAGATTTACGGCTTTCACGCGGCCACTCAGTCCTGCTTCCCTTCTCGAAACACGCAGGCAGGCCGGGTAGATTCGGCAGAGGGATTCCAGCGCTAAGCACCCTATAGGTACTGCTGTTTGCGTGCTTGCTGTACTTCACTCCTCGCTTGTCATATAGCCGGCATGGGAGCCCTTTTCACTGGGGCCTCCTCCCTCTCCAAGCTATCCGCCATCGCTCGTGTGTCGCCTGCGCTTTCGCCAAAGCAGTCGCTTAACTCGCTTAACGATCGCCTGATTCGCGCAGGGTTAATCTCCACGCGCGTTACTAGGACCCGTCTTAACCGATCCAGCCGGTTTTGCCGATCCCCCGCAATGGTCGCCGGGATCGGCGGCGGAATTGGCGGCCACTCCGCCGATCAACAACATCCCGTGAGGCCAATCACTGTCGCGGCGGCGGCGGCGGCTGCGGGAGATGGCGGCGCCGCAACTTCATCGAAATTGATGGAGGCTCCTCCGGCTGACGTCGCAATCGCCGGCGCGAAAACCGGGGGAGCAGCCGCGGCGGGAGCGGTGACGAGGGGGGGAGGGAAGGCGCGACTGAGGCGGCTGGAGGAGCTCGAGTGGGAGAACTCGTTCGTCGACAAGCTGCCTGGGGATCCCGTCGAGGAGAACCACGTCCGAATAGTAAGTTTTACGTGAAATTTACTATGTAGTACTACTGGTAGTAACGGAATCCCTTGTAGGATGCCTCGAGTGGGAGAATTCGTTCGTTGACAAGCTGCCCGGGGATCCCGTCGAGGAGAACCACGTCCGAATGGTACGTAGAGAGGGAGGCAGAGATGGCCGGAGGGAGGCTGAGGTGGCTGGCGGGAGGCTGAGGCGTCCAACAACAGTGCCAGCGGGGGGAGGGAAGGCGGGATTGCGGCGGCTGGAGGAGCTCGAGTGGGAGAACTCGTTCGTCGACAAGCTGCCCGGCGATCCCGTCGAGGAGAACCACGTCCGAATCGAAAGTTTTACGTGAAGTGTACTATGTAGTACTACTGGTAGCAACGAAAACCCTTTTAGGATGCCTCGTGTGGGAGAACTCGTTCGCCGACAAGCTACCCAGCGATCCCGTCGAGTAGAACCACGTCCGAATTGTACGCTATATTAGGACGACCCGTTTACTAGAAGGCCCGCCCGCTTGTTGCTGTTCAATGTTCTTACCTCGTGGCTTGTTCTCTCCCTCCGCGCTTCACAGGTCCGCAACGCGTGTTACTCGCGAGTACGACCGTCGCTGAAGCTCGCAGACCCGCAGGTCGTCGCGGCGTCCGAGTCGGTGGCTCACCTGATTGGCTTAGATCCGAACGAGTGAGTCTAGCTGTTGGAATCGTTTGGAATCCTCCACACCTTCATCTCTCCTCAGGCTGTTGTTTAACCCTATAACCCTGTGGGAATGGCTAACGCTATAACCCTGTGGGAATGGCTAACGCTATAACCCTGTGGGAATCTCTAACCCTATAATCGCCCCCGTACTTTGTTTCTTCTCACCTTGCACTCGTCTGCTTACCCCGTTTCAGGTTCACTCGTCCCGAATTCGCGTCGGTCTTCACAGGCGGCATTGTACTGCAGGGCTGGTGAGTGCTGGGTAGGAAGGTAGTCACCTGCGTTGCCCCCTTCGTCCTGCAATGCAAGTACCTACCACCGTTGTGCCCCAGGCCTAGTGGGCGTCTCACATCCGGCACCTCGCCTCTCCAGTGCCCTCTCCAGAGTCCCTCACATCCGCATGATTTTTTAGGCGCCTCAAAAATCTTTCGTGAGTCACTCACATCCCCTTGCCGTGCCGTGTGCATTTCCACCATTGGCCGGGACAACTGCAGCAGCTCAAGATTCCCCACCCCCTTTCCCACTCCCCTCCCCCTCCTCTCCCCCCGCCTCCCCCCGCCCCGCCGCTTCCCCTACAATCCACAGCAAGCCCTACGCACAGTGCTACGGGGGGCACCAGTTCGGGCACTGGGCGGGGCAGCTGGGGGATGGGCGCGCAATCACCCTGGGGGAGGTGGTCCTGGGGGAGGGGGGACCGGGGGAGGGAAAAGCGGAGGGGAAGGGGTGGAGGGAGCGGTGGGAGGTGCAGCTGAAGGGGGTGGGGAAGACGCCATACAGCAGAAGCGCGGATGGGCGGGCTGTGCTGCGCAGTTCCATTAGAGAGTACCTCTGTAGCGAGGCCATGGCCGCCCTGGGTGTGCCTACAACGAGGGCGCTCTGTGTTGTCACCACTGGGGAGAAGGTGCTCCGAGACATGTTCTACAAGTGAGTGTGAGAGTAGAAGTATGTTCTACAAGTGAGTGTGACAGTGACCATCACGAGCACTTATTTTTAATCAAACAAAGAAGCTTAGAAAAGCCTCACTAGTGAAACTTCTGAAGGTCCTTCGACAGATGTTCTACTAGTGAGTGTGAGAATATCTGTAAGGGCCCTGCTTCTGGCACTCCTTTCGGCCCCATCCTATTTGTCTAACCCTCCTAATTCCTGATTATGCGAGCACGACCGATTGGGCCCTTTTATCTAACCCTCCCTTGAGCGCACGCACCCTCCCACACTTCCATACCTCCACGAACCCATTCCCATAACACCGTTTCTATTCCCTCCCGTTTCTGCACCTCATTCTGGTCATCAGTGGGAATGCCAAGTTTGAGCCAGGAGCAGCCGTGTGCCGAGTGGCTCCTTCCTTGATCAGGCAAGTCCGTTCAGTCAACTGTCAACTCTTTTGAGTCGACTCAAAAGTCACTTCAGTCAACTGTCAACTCTTTTCGTCCTCTATTGAAGCCCCTAGTCGCGTGTCCCTTCTTCCCCTCTGCCCACCCCCCTCTCTCTCTCTCTCTTTTTCTCTTTCCTCCTCCCTCCCTCCTTTCCCCCTCAATCTCCTCTTTCACGTGATCCCCCCTCTCAAGCGGTTTTTCTCTTTTCTCGCCCTTCCTCCTTTCTCCGTGGGAATCTCCTCTTTCACGTGATCCTCCTCCTCCTCTTTTTCCTCGCAGGTTCGGCTCGTTCCAGCTCCATGCCTCCCGGGGAGGCTTGGACAAGGAGATGGTTCGGGTGCTTGCAGACTACACCATTCTGCACCACTTCCCACACCTGGCCGACCTCCCCGAGCCTCCGGTGCAGGTTCGGGAGGCAGGGTCAGAGGAGGAGGAAGAGGCTGGGGATCCCGATGCAGTGGATGTGACGACAAACAAGTATGCGGGTGAGCCGCGCCGCTGTTTGGGTGATTATCTTATTCGACCGCTCTCCTTCTGCTTCCCTGCTTCTCTTCTACCTCGGCCCCATCGTTCACCTTCCATTCCGCCCCCTCCCTCGGGCTGACCATCGACTTTGGGCCGTTTGGGTTCCTCAACAACGCCTTTGACCCGGACTTCACTACCAAAAACTCTGACTCCCCCCCTTCCCCTCCTCCCCCTTCCCGAATGCAGCCTGGTTTGCCGAAGTAGCGGAGAGCACTGGGAAGCTGGTGGCAGGTTGGCAGGCGGTGGGCTTCACCCACGGGGTGCTCAACACCGACAACATGAGCATTCTCGGGCTGACCATTGACTACGGGCCATTCGGATTCCTTGACGCCTTTGACCCGGACTTCACTCCCAACACGTCCGACATGCCCGGGCGGCGGTACTGCTTCAGGCAGCAGCCGGACATCGGGCTCTGGAACGTGGTCCAGCTGGCCAACACGCTTGTGACTGGTGGCGTCATCGGAGTGGCCGAAGCGCAGCACGGGGTGTCGAGGTGAGTGGGATTGAAGTGGGGGATGGGTGCCGATGTGGGGAGGAGTCCCGCTGGTGGCCGATTCCCCCTGGCCTCTCTCTCTCTCCAGACCCTTCCACTCCTCACTCTTTCCACTCCCCATACGCTTGACTCGTGCCATCACAGGTATGCGGACTCCTTCCTTCCCAGCAGCGCATGGCAGCCAAGCTGGGCCTGCTCTCATACAACAAGGACCTCACCCACTCGCTGCTCTCACCCCTCTCATTGCTCTATCCCCTGCACCTCTCCACCCACCCCCCACCCCCCCCCCCCGCCCCTTCCCTCCCCCCTGACACGACCTCTCATTGGTAACAGGTATGCGGACTCATTCCTCTCCTCCAACCAGCAGCGCATGGCAGCAAAGATGGGCCTACCTGCATACGACAAGGACCTCACGCACTCACTGCTGCAGCTGATGGCCCAGCACAGCTCCGACTTCACCAGCACCTTCCGTGCTCATTCCCACTTTCCCCAAACACAACCCCCCTCCCTATAACAGGTACGCTGATTCCTTCCTGTCATCCTACCAGCAGCGCATGGCAGCCAAGCTCGGCCTACCTTCATACGACAAGGACCTCACCCACTCACTTTTGCAGCTGATGGCCAAACACAGCTCCGACTTCACCAACACCTTCCGTGCTCTTTCTCGAGTGCCCGCCTCTGGAGCATCGTCAGATGCCGACCTGCTGGGTCCAATGAGAAAGGCACTGGGGCTGCAAGGGGCGGGCGGGGAAGGGGAGAAGGCAAGGGAGTGGGCTGACTGGCTCCGACTCTACACTGCCAAGGTAGGCGATCTGCCCATATTTTCCTTGTTGCCTCCCTTCCATCGTCACAATGGCAATCTTGTCGCTGTTGTCCCTACTCCCTTACCTACACACTCTCACACACGAGTAGTCTTGGTCAATCGTGCTATTTCTTGTTAATTCCGTACAAACAAGCATCTCGCTCTCTCTCTTCCCCACCACTTCCTATATTTTCTGTACTCAGCTTCGGGCTCAGAATGTTTCAGATGCTGACCGCCGGGCGGCTATGGATGCGGTCAACCCGGCCTACATTCTCCGCAACTACCAGTGCCAGCTGGCGATTGAGGCGGCAGAGAGGGGTGATTTCAGTGTAACACGGCGGTTACAGGAGGTTTTGCAGAGGCCTTATGAGGAGCAAGAAGGGGCGGAAGAATTCGCCCAGCCTCCCCCAGAGTGGGCTCTCAAACCTGGGGTTTGCATGCTCTCATGCTCCTCTTGATTGTGTACAGTTGTTACATGCCAGCTCGTGGATGTTAGTGGCATGGGAAAGAGTTTGAGAAGGTGGGGAAATTATTTTCTATACAAGTTTTCTTTTACCATAGTCTTTTTCTATGGGTTGTCATTTATAGTACAAAGGGAAACGGTCACGGAATTTGCTTGGAAACCGTGGGTGTGTTTTGCTTCGGTCAAGGAGAGCAACGAATTAGTTAGTGGACTGCTTTCCGCGGTGTAGTTCCCGACCCTATTGTGAATTATGGTTCTATTTTGAAAGCAAACGCACCGTTTCGCGGACCGCGCAACCCGTTCAAATTCGTCCGAGTCTCGAAAATGCGACGCGAAGGTGGAGAAATTTCTGAAATTCACGTGTGGGAAATTTGAATTTCGCCAGGCCAAAGCGCGAGCACCAAATCAAGCCGACATTGCGCCCCTTTTTCAAACGGGATGCATCCAGCGAGATGCTGGATGGTGCAAGCGGTTGATTGTGGTGCTTCATACAGAGCGAGCTATTATTACCCTCACCTCCCTAGCTCGTTCTCCAGCAGTCACTGACGTTCACCGTTGGCCACTTATCCGTTGCTGGGAAGCTCGAGCCAATTGGCCAGAAGTGCTGCTTCGTCGAAGCAGTCGGAGCCTTCCTTCCTGGCTTTCCCCACCAGATTTGGCGGCGCAGCTTACAGTGTCAAGCCGTCATTGCCCTCCTTCTCAGACACAGCCTCGTCATTCCTTGATTCTCCGCGCAAACCAACCGACCGGCCGTCGTTTAGCAGGTCACAGTTCAACCACCTTAGCGCTTCTGATCCTCGCGTCCTGTGCATGCCTCAGCCTTAGCCTCCATTTTTTGAAGTATAAATGCTGCCGCTCGCTTCAAGTAGCTTGCAAGTAGAATCTCGAACCATTAGCTCTGTATACCGCGACTCTGCTCGAGACGCCGCTACATAAACGTCTACGACCGTCCGCCGACTCTTTTATTAGCATCTCATTTGCTTTTGAATCGACTCGAAAGCATAAACGTCTACGACCTTCCGCCCACTCTTTTTTTAGCACCTCGTTAAATCCCGTTTGTCGACACGAGCCATGGCGTCGCTGCTACGACCAGAGGTCTTAATCTCCTCACTCTCTCGCGCACTCACCTTCCGCCGCTCCTCGTCCTCATCGGGCGCCTTCTCTTGCTCGGGTAACCGCGCCGAGTCAACCTCCTCCTCCTCCTCGTCCGCAGCAAAGCGCGCCGAGCCAGTCTCCTCGAAACGTATCCCGCTCCACGTGCTCATGCTCATCCTCTGCGCTGCTTTCATCCCCGCGATCTCCGCCGCCGATTCCGGCGCCATTCCCGTTGCCTCTCTAATCCACGGTGCACCTAAAAAAGCGCCGAAGCGCGAGGGGAATGAGAGGCAGCTTCTGCGAAGCTTCGAGGAGCTCACTGCGGGAACGATGGCGGTGAGCGGGCGGAACGCGGAGGCGATGCTGGTCGACGCGATCAACACGGCGAACGCGCAAAGAAAAACTATCACCGTGCATCTCACGTCCGACGTGTTCCTCACTGGGTAAGCCTCGAGGGATCCGGCGACGAGTCAAAGGTGAGCGGGCGGAACGCGGAAGCGATGTTGATCGACGCGATCAACACGGTCGAACGCGCAGCGCAAGACGATCACCGTCCACCTCACGTCGGACGTTCTTCTAACCAAGTACGTGCGTCTCCCCGTTAGTGCGTATGACTGGGCTCTCGACAGCAAAACTGCTCTCGATCCGCCAAGACTATCCCCTTCTGAGTGAGTTTTGGGAATTCTGAAAAATCTCTCACCAAGACTAACCCCGGGAGTTCTGAAGGGGCCCTTCCTCATTCCCCTTCACTCCATCCCCACCATCGCTGGGTTTCAGCGCGGGATTGGCGTATTTTGAGTCGACTCAAAATACCCCCACCATTGCTGGGTTTCAGCGCGGGAATGGCGGTGAAGGGCACCCGCTGTGCGGGCTCCGCGAAATGCGTGATCGCCGGGCGCCACAAGTACGCGATATTCACCTTCCCTCCACCGCGCCCTTTCCCCTTCTCTATCCATTCCTCTTTCCCCCAGGCCCCTTCCATCCCTTGGATTCAATGCGGGAGTGGCGGTGAAAGGGAGTTGTGCAGGGTCCGCCAAGTGCGTGATCGACGGGCGGCACAAGTACGCGATATTCGCGGGCGGGTTCAACTGCTTCATATCGCTCGAGCAGGTCACGGTGCGCAACGCCGTTAACGGGGTGCACACTGGCGGGTGCGCGGTCACTGCGCGCCGAGTCACGTTTATCAACAACGTCGCGCGCACTACTGGCGGCGGCGCTGTCATCAAGTGAGTGCATAGCGGAAACCATTTCCAAAAAAATGAATTTCTGAAGGGCCAGGATTTCTAGGAATGGGTGGCATGAAACATACGTGATTTTTTAGGCGCCTAAAAAATGTGACGATTTTTGAGGCGCCTCAAGAATGGGTGGCATGAAACATATGCGAGGCACTGAAAAGTTAGTGGGCATGACGGCACTGGGACAGCACCACCTCAGAGGGAATTGAGTTGGCTCAAAGGCATCACGGCACTGGGACAGCACCACCTCAGAGGGAATTGAGTTGGCTCAAAGGCATGACGGCACTGGGACAGCACCGCCACGAGCGGGAATGACGGCAGTGCGTTGCACCCGATCGTGCTCAGCATCTCCCCGCTCCCCCATGCCCGCTTCCCCATGCCCGCTTCCCCATGCCCGCTTCCCCATGGCCGCTTCCCCATGGCCGCTTCCCCATGGCCGCTTCCCCATGCCCGCTTCCCCCATGCCCGCTTCCCCATGCCCGCTTCCCCATGCCCGCTTCCCCATGCCCGCTTCCCCATGCCCGCTTCCCCATGCCCGCTTCCCCATGCCCGCTTCCCCATGCCCGCTTCCCCATGCCCGCTTCCCCATGCCCGCTTCCCCATGCCCGCTTCCCCATGCCCGCTTCCCCATGCCCGCTTCCCCATGCCCGCTTCCCCATGCCCGCTTCCCCATGCCCGCTCCCCCATGCCCGCTTCCCCATGCCCGCCCCCCCCGCCCCTGTCTGCAGCTCTCGTTCCGCCTCCCCCACGTCGGGCGCCCTCCAATTTACCTTCTGCGAGTTCGTTAACAACAGCGCCACCAGCGGCAACGGTGGCGCGATCAACGTGGGGCAGGAGCCGGTGGGCGGGCCGCGCGTGCAGCTGGCGGGGTGCACCTTCCGGGGAAACCGCGCGGAGAAGGGCAAGGGCGGGGCGATTTATAGCGAGGATAACGTGATGTACATGAACTCGGTTAAGTTTGAGAAGAATTATGCCTGTAAGTATTAAACCGTACACGTATTATGTCCATGTGAGCCGAAACACTTTATTTCCATGTGAGCGTTGAAAAACATCCACCTGAACTGTTTCGTTCTCCTCCCTCCTCCCCCCCCTCTCTCTCTCTCCCCCCCTTCACTGTCACATGCAGTGGTGGGAGGAGGCGCCATTGCCACAACAGCCAAAAGCCTCACTATAGTCAAATCCACTTTCTTTAAGAACGTGGCCGTTCAGGCCCCTGCCGGTCGCAACAACGGCGCTGACAGCGGCGGGGGGGCGATCCTAGTATCCTCTCGAGACTCCTCCCTTTCCTTCTGCTCCACCTCCTTTGCTGGTAACCGTAACAACCTGCGCACCCAAGCCGGTGACATTGCGGTTCGGCAGCTCTCCCCAGGCTCAGGAACAGGCTCGGGGACAGGTTCGGTGAGCTTCTGCAGCATGCCTGCACCTGCGAACGTGGACCGGGCTCCGGGGCTGAAGATCCGAGCAAACTGCAAGGGATGCACGGGGTGCACTAACGACTGTAACGGGCACGGGACGTGTGTCTATGACGCGGATTTCACCCCTCGCTGCGAGTGTGTCAGGCGGTGGGACAACGACACGGCCTGTGCGTCGTGCGTTACTGGTTACACAAGGCTGAGTGGATGCAGGGCGTGTTCGCCTGGGTTTGTTGCGACGGGGACCAAGAACAAGTGCGCGCCGTGCTCGGCTCTTGACAAGGTTAGTCACATGAGTGTCCGTCTTAAAAGCACTTGAAATGCACTACCTGTAACAATCAGGCCCAGCGGCAGCACCTAAGGTTCACATCTCAACTCAGCAATCCCTGTTTCTACAGATCTCTCACTCCCACTCCCTCCCTCCCCCCTTCTCCCACTCCCACCCCTCCCGCCTTCAGGTCCCCGGCCTTCGTGACAACCTGGAGCACATAACAGGCATGGTGCGGCTGCCCTCCTACAAGCAGTGCCAGCAGCAGTGCCTAGCCACCCAAGTCCAGGCGGGCGACTACTGCAACCTGTGGGCCTACATTGCTAACAGCGCCCGCAACGGGGAGTGTGGCGGCAAGTGCATCATGTTTCACGACCCTGACGACTGTGGGGTGGGGAAGATAGTTTCCAACAGCCAGCTTGGGGTGTGGTACCAGTATGCGGAGCCTAGCTTCACTGCCTGCAGCTAAGCTGCTTCCTGCTGCTGCTGCTGCTGCTGCTGCTGCTGCTGCTTGCTGCAACCCCAGTTCCCATCGCTCCACCACCCACCCTTCCTACAGCTCTTTATTGCATGCGGGAGGTGGTAGATATTGCTCCGATCATACTCAAATGATCATGCGAGGTCTCAAGCATACTGTAGTGTTCGTCCTATAGGCTCAACATTCCGAACATGTCTAGGGTTCGGAATCTGATACCGGGTTGAGTTATGCATCATGACTAATCCCCTTTGCTTGTGCATGCCGTCTGTTTTGCTGCACTGCTTCTAGACTCAGTTCAATTCTTGAACTCCTGAATTTGCGCTGGTTTGTTGACTGCAAATGCACTATTTACTATTTACATGCGGCAACGCACAATGTTGCCCAGGTGCGATACCGTGTAGCTAGCACTACAAGGTCTACCGGTACCCTACAACATGGCCAACACTTGGCCTCACATGTTGGGCAGGTTCAGCCTTGCTCTTCGCTCGCCCTCTAATACTCGCTGCTGCAACTCCGACAGGTGAGCCTGTATGGGTGCACACCCACAGACACCGAGAGATGGAGGGACAAAGAGATGCCATATTAGTAGCACTAGAAGATGTACATTTGGCCTCACATGTTGGGCATGTTCAGCCTTGGTCTTAGCTCGCCCTCCAATACCCTCTGCTGCAACTCGGACAGGCGAGCCTGTATCGTGCACAATGACAGAGTCAAAAGGACTCATATATACTAACCAATATGGTTTGATGCGCTGTCACTGCATCGCAGCAAAGCATACCTGCATGACTTGAATGTAGTCCACCGCACCTTCGGTCATGGACCCCATGTCTTGACGTGGCCCCAGGATGTCAAGAGGCACTGCCATCCTCAGCCTTTTAAGCGACTCACTGTAACAGAAGATGATGGAAATGGTAGACAGCGAGACAGAGCAAGGGCAATCAGACACGCTGTATGCCACGAAGCGTCGTCATTCAAGATCTTGGGAAGAGCAGCAGTGCAAAGTTAGTCGCTTGAGCAAAAAGAACAAGAGTAAAAACTCCTCGGCATGAGATTTGCTCGAAAAGCCCTTCACTCAAAACTACCAGGTCGCATGGGGGGTGTTCCGAGAACACAGCGAGACAGAGCAAGGGCAATCAGACACGCTGCATGCCACGAAGCGGACATGTCAAGAGGAACTGCCATCCTCAGCCGGCGTAGCAACTCACTGCAACAGAAGATGATGGATGGAAACAGCAGACAGAGGGACAGAGCAAGGGCAGTCTGACACCCAGGATGTCAAGAGGCACTGCCATCCTCAGCCGGCACAGCGACTCCCTGCTCCAGGTGGGATAGGTAGGAGTAAGAGAGAGGAATAGAGTAGAGAACTATGAGGCATGGAAAGTAGTTCAATCCCTGATTGAGGTCCCTTCAATCATGGACCCCACGTCTTGAGTAAAGCAGGGAAAGGGCGCTGACAAACACGCAGGCTTTAACTGAGCACATGCACACAGGCTGTGGATGGGCAGGCAAGAGTGGAATACGTCACAGATTAATGTCGAAAACGGGGACGACTGGAGGGTGTGGGTGGGGTTGGGAGGGGGAGGGGTTGGGGCAAGAGGGACGCAGGAAGCAGGTAGAAGAAATGAAATGCATTACCTGATTCTCTCTCTCCTGCGTCGTTCCCTCATCGACCTCGGCTTGATGTTTTCCTGCCTTTGCCTGTGCCTCCCACCGCTGCCAGCACCACTGCTGCCAGCACGACCGCTGCCAGCACGACCGCTGCCAACATCACCGCTGCCAGCATGACCGCTGCCAGCACGACCGCTGCCAGCACCACCGCTGCAAGAACCACCGCTGCCAGCACCACTGTTCAGATTACTCTCTTCTTTCTCGTTCGGTTCTACCACAAGGGCTGAGTTGGCGTTGGCAGTGCGGCTGAGACCGGGAAATCTCTCTCTCTCTCTCTCTCTCTCTCTCTCTCTCTCTCTCTCTCTCTCTCTCTCTCTCTCTCTCTCTCTCTCTCTCTCTTTCTCTCTCTCTCTCTCTCTCTCTCTCTCTCTCTCTCTCTCTCTCTCTCTCTCTCTCTCTCTCTCTCTCTCTCTCTCTCTCTCTCTCTCTCTCTCTTTCTCTTCTCTGAGGCTTTAAGCTCTGAGTCAGAGAAGTATTGCATTTGTTCTTGGCCCCGTTGACGGGAGGGTGAACCGGTTCCCGCACTGATGTGTTTGTAGTAAGACCCTTTACTGGGAGAAGCAAAACGCCGCTTGAGTCCGAGTCGTTGGTCACGAAGAGCTGGGGTAATGTGGCGAAACTTTTGAAACACCTGCGGTATTGTGGCTAGACTCTGCGAGATGTGAAAAGGCCCAATGGGAGAGAAGTCCGGCGAGCAGGACGGAGGTGAAAAGGCCCAGCCGCCATAAATGCCTAGGTACCCATAGGTTGGAATGCATCCCAAAAATTAGGGTGGCAAAATGATACCCCCAAGACTGCCGCAGGTAACCTGAGGGTCTCGCGCTGGGGGCTAACCCTGAGGCTTCCGGCTGGGTGACCTCGGGGAAACAGATTGTCAAAATGCCTTTCGATGTGACGCGTGGGAAACCCACGATGTCACCCCTTTCCGAAACCTTCGGGTTACCCTCAAGTGACATCAGGGCTAAGAAAGGGAACGCGAGGGTAACATTTTTCCGAGGCGCGACCGAGATACACGTTCCTCGATACGCGTACTGTAAGGAATTTTCTATTCCTTACCGAACGGTATTGCAATCGCGTACGCTCAAACACACCCGAAGCCTCGGGACGGTTCCGGACCTTTCTAACAGAACCGCCTCGGCTTCTCCAGACCTTCTAGTTCGACCTTCGGGAGTTCTCTGGGCCTCGCTTCGTCACTTCGAGACCCTTCGATCTCTTTCCTGAACCTTCCCATCTCATGGTTAGAGTAGCTCTGGTGTTCCTATATCTTGGCTTGCCATTCCTTGTATTGTCATTCATTGATTGAACTGTCCGTTATTCATTTCCGCGCTACTCTGCTTATTCATTCATAACACCTGGTATTCAGAGCCACTTTCCTTGCTCACCCTTTTTCGTGAGTTGTTTTTTTTTTGGGGGGGGGGGGGTAAGTCCCTCACGTAAGCTGCAAAGCGGTTGCTCGCGAATTAGACTGATTAATTCGCCCAACTATGATAGCGTTTGCGCTTACCTGAGTACATGCACACTACGGATTTCCCCCTGCCCTGTCGGAGCATTCCCCAAATGGATCAAGCTCAGTTCAACGAGCTTCGGGAGCAGTTCAACGCCATGAACATACGCATGGCTACAGTGCTGGAGGACAACGAGCGACTTCGTGCAGAAGCTGCCGAGTTATGCCAGGCGCGAGAGGATTCGCGCTAGAAAACTGCCGCCCAAGAGGAGGTCGCCAGCACCGAACATGTCGAAACCGTTTTGGACGAAATCGCACGTGAGGTGTCGCAGGAGCGCAAGGACAGTGAATCTGCCGCAACAGCTGACGTGGCAGCATGAGCAGCAGCCGAAGTAGCTGCAGCAGCGAGAGCAGCAGCCGCTTAGTCAGAAGCAGCCGCTACTATAGCCGCACCGGCATTCGTGCTGATAGTGACGACAGTGACGATCAAACCGACAATGCCGCCCCCATTCAACCACACAGATAAGAATACTACTGTTACGGGCTGGATATTTTCAATGGAACTTTATTTTAATGCTGCTGGGATCACTGCTGACGATTTAAAAATTCGGCTGGCTGTATCACTACTGCGGGGACCTGCGCTAGATTGGTGGCGATATACACTACAGGAGGGGGAGCTTTTGGCAGGCGACACACTGGGTTTTTTCGGAAACTTTGGGTCTGCTGCCCAAGGGTCAACCGCGATTTTCGGATCGACCAAGATTCGCATGTGGAAAGCGTGGGGTACAGCTCTGCGTGAACGGTTCGAGCCCGTATCCGCCTCGGACAACGCACGCACAAAGCTGGACACCTGGCGCCAGTGGAGTTCTGTCCAAGATTACGCGTCGGTCTTCATGGCGTTATGCGATCAAATCACCAACATGCATGACTCCTAGAAGAAAGCTCGATTCATTTCGGGCCTGAAGCAAGACATTAAATGCGAGGCCCGACTGCGACTACCGTCGACGTTTCACGAAGCAGTCCGGATCGCATACACTTTCGACGCGCATCGGACGTATGCGAGAGCGGGTTCCCGGGAGGGAAATCGTTTTCGTGGCCAGGATCCACGGCCCACGATTCACGGCGTTGTGGCGAAGGAGCACATGGAAGGTTTTCGCAAGGGACAATATTTCAACTGCCACCAGCCGGGTCACCAATCTCACGATTGCCCCCGAAAGAAGCAGATAAAGAAGAGCGACGAAGGCAGGTCAGGAAACGCCAAGCGTCAGTAGCGGTCGCGCCCCCTACTAACCCTGCCTCATCGCCCAAAAAACACCACCCCCACTGGATCGTGGTTCCGATACACGCTATCAACCGCTCCCGGCTGAATAAGGGGGATGACCCAGTGGACCACCCGGTGCTGGCGGAGGGACGACTTAATGGAAGAAAAATAAAATTATTCATCGACGGAGGTGCGAATCACAGCCTGATAAATCGAGAGATAACACAATGACTACACTTATCGTTGGAGCGGTGTCTACTCGAAATCGACGCGCGACTGGTGGATGGCACCCCGCTAGCAATCCGCGACAAAGTACCCGTCGTTCGAATGAAGTGTGGCGAAGATTTCGGCTTAAGCGCGCCGATGCTGGCGACAACACTCGACGGCTACGATGTGCTGTTGGGACGCGATTGGCTGCGAAGATTCAATCCGCAGATCGATTGGACGACAGGCGAGTGCACAGTGAAGTGCGAAAAAGGCTGGCAAAAATTACCCACGTGGCCGGAAGCAGAGACAACCTCGACACGAGTCAACGCTGTGTGCCTCAACCGAGAATGGAGCGGATTTATACGCCGTCCATCTAACCGAATCAATGGAGCAGAACGAGGCGACCGACATCAACAAACTCTGCGCTTCGGTCCCGGATGACTTGGAAAAAATCATTCGGGAATATCCCGAAATTTTCCCCGACGACTTGCCAAGTGGATTGCCACCCGAACGACCCCAGGACCACAAAATCGAGGTGGAGCCCGGTGCGCAGCCTACTGTACGAACTCAATGGCGCATGACTCAGCCGAAGCTACACGAATTACGCAACCAGCTGGACTACCTGATGGCAAAAGGGTTTTTTCGGCCGAGCACGTCCCCGTTCGTAGCGCCGATTCTGTTCACCCCAAAGAAGGACGGCGTACTTCGCATGTGTATGGATTATCGTGCCCTTAATCGGGTAACGATAAAATCGGGCTACCCAATCCCATGCACGGACGAGCTGATTGACAACCTTCACAGAGCTTGCTATTTTTTGAAGATCGATCTTCGTGGCGGTTACCATCAAATTCGGGTGTTCGCTGACGACTGCCACAAGACCGCAATCTATCGACGACAACCAGTACTGCGTTGTTTCCACTGGATCCAGCCGGTAGACCTGTGACGAAATCCATCGTCATGTCTTGCCATGGGCGTTGAAGTGGCTCGAGGGGCTGCAACAGTCCTGTCAGTCGCTGATGTGATGATTTCATTCGCTGGCAGATCGGACACGCGGCCACGTAACGCTGCACGTCCGTCACCATATCTGGCCAGTAATAAAACCGCTGCAACACCTTCGGAATTTTATCAAACCCGAAATGTCCTGTTTTAAATTTACGTAAAACTAGTTCTCCACTTCGCTGTACACACGTGTTTGCAATTGGATGCAAAGCCAGTACAAAACCAGGCCTGGGCTTCGGATCTTGCTATTGGTCAACACGAACTGATGGCTTGGGCCGAACCATCGAGCACAAAATCAGCTTGGTCATCAGCTCCTGATTGGTTGTCATTTTTCATGGCAAGAGGCAACGAAATGTTTTGCCAGGGTAACAGCTTCGCCTTGCGCACAGGTTTCTCCTGGCACTCTTGGGGGGAACAATGGGGCATCTTGGCGTAGGACACCTGTGGGTAACTGTCGCCCCCAAGGCCGTTTTGCCTTGGCCGAATTTTGGGATGTGTTTGGAGAATTGGGAGTAACGATGGCAGCAGCAGAGCATGTGCCAAGGAAGAGAGTACTGTATCTAAATCGGAACTTGCTTGCATAAGCGAATCTTGTCGCCGCCACGCCATCATCGCGACCTGTTTTGTCCGACGGCATTCGCGGACTCGCCAGTTGCTCCACGGCGGACATTAGGAGAATGCTCTGTCATATAATGCGTGTCACAGCTTCATCGCAGAATGCCCGTCGGAGAATGCTCGGTCGCAGATATTCCCAAAAATGCTTTACCAGGCTGGTATCGGAGAGCTAAATAGTCTAGCGATACACTCCAAGTGAATCACGGTACAACGGATATGCCATTAGGTCCATGACATTGTACTCCATATAATACTCTAACGTCCAGAATTCGATACGATCCACCATGATGTACTCCGTCTGTTCGCTAAAAAGTCGCAATAAACACACGGACCAGTCGCGACAGTCTCATAATGCCACCGACCATCGACGCGCGCCACCCGAATTGGGCGCGATTTCAGCATCCGAGCGTCGCCAACCAACCCGCGAGTGCGAGCTCGGAAAATCCCAGTGAAATGTGTTTGGTATTGCCCAGCCAATACGCGCCTGCCAGTGCAATGCTACGTAAAATCACAAAATCACTAACAGCCCGCTAATACCCACGTCCACCTGGCACTCTTGCATGTGCGCTAGCAGAGGCATGCCTACGTACCCCCTCGGCAGGTGAGGCCGACAGAGGTCGTATTTACAGTCCGCCAAATCAGCCTCGAATCACCAACCCAAATTCATCGTCGGGCTCAACCGGCTGGTCACAAGGAGGTTACTCAAGAGGACATTGCTGACGATTGCTATGAAGGTCAGAATCTGCCGAGATGCTGAAGCTCATGGTCACCTTCGACTCGGCGACCTCGCAAGGTGGTGCTTCACCAGATACGGTATCTATCCCGACCCCAGCACCGTGGGGAAAATCCTCAAGTAGGTGGCCAAGTGGAAGGCTCTTGGGCCTGAGAGCTCCGCCAATTGACGTCTGCGTTCCGCCTTCTACCCACTGCTTGAGCAGCGCCTGAAGTCATGGTTGGGCCGGGCGGCAAAGGGTGGGCTGCCCATCACTATCGGCGTCATCCAACAACGTGCCCGGTTTATGGCACCAGACGCCGGCGTTCCTGCTGGATTTAAGGCTAGCGTGGGGTGGGTGCAGAAAGCATTGAAGCAGATGGGATACAAATGGCGGCACAGGCAGGGCGAAGCTAATGACCAATACCTTGGCGCAGTGATGACGACAAAAGCCACTTGGCCGCAGCTGCTCACTCAGCTCAGCGTTGCGCCTCGCGACTGCTTCAACAATGACGAGACTGGATGCGCTTGGAACCAGATTCCGAAAATGACTTTCGCAAACGGCCCTGTGAGTGGCGGCAAAAACAGAAAGGATCGCATAACAGTCGCGCTGATGTGCAACACCGATGGCTCGCAGATGTTCAAGCCCCTCATTGTGAGCAAAACCGCCAATCCTCGCTGCTTTGCCCGAAAGAAAATTGATCATGCGACAAAGTGCGTGTGGCGCAGCAACGGTTCTGGCTGGATGACTAGCCTGGTAAGCGCCCGATAGTTTACCGTCCTCGCCCTTTTGAACCTACTGCTTGCATTCTGTGATTGCATGGTTGTTGCTGTTGCTTTCCTTGCCCACTGTTTTTCCTAAAGCCGACATTCGAATTGCAATATTTCTCTTCTTGTCCGCTGCAGTTATTCACAGAATACATCGAGCATATCAACGCTTGCTGTTTCGCCGAAGGCCGCAGCATCGTCATCCTGCTGGACAACGCTAGCTGCCACAACCTCCTGTCTCCGCTCGCCACATCGGCTGACATCTTAGGCTTCCGAACTCGCGTGCTCAGCAACGTTCGTCTCGTCTTCTCCCGCCCAACACTACCTGCTTCTCGCAACCGCTGGACCAGGGGCTCATCGCGACACTGAAGGCTCGGTACCGCACGTTCCAGACCCTCGACATGTTCCACGAATGGGAAGAGTTTCAGAGCGAGGGAATGCTGTTGCAGTACAAGCCCGACATGGTGCTGGTCATAACCTAGCTGTCGGACTCGTGGTTCCCGATCGAGCCCGAGACCGTCCAGAAGTGCTGGTGGCGGACGCGTATCCTCCCTGCTAGCTGGCTTGCGAGACTCCCCCTGGTTGGCACCACAGCCGCTGAGCAAGAACATAACTTGCCCGCCGAGTTCGTGCCAGTCGCGGAGAATTTGGCACGACTGCCATGGGGCGACGAGGACCGCATGGATGCAGTCCAGTTCATCACATGCGACAGCGACGATGAGATATGCGACCCAAGTGGCGAGGATCCCCTCGCTTTGGAACCTCTAGGATCCCCCGCATGCGGCGCTTGGTATCTCCGTGCCCCGGCCATGGCGCAGCCCATCCATGATTCGTGCAATCGTCGGCATCTCAACTGCATGGCGACCGATATGCTGGTCGGTTATGCGCGGTCCATCGGGCTCCTCCCGAGGGACCTGCGTATTCTGGTCGATATTCGAGACCCGTCTGTCATTGATCGTCGCGAACGCGCATCCCCTCGCTTGGACCTAAATTGTGCTCCAGGTGTTGTTACACAAGAGTACCGGCAGCATGTGCTGTAGGCGACGGCCGTCATGGATGGCTGGGTGGACTCGGCTGAGTGGATGCGCTAAGGGAGCAATGTGTTGCGCTACCTGTTGTGTGTTTTGCACTGCGCTTGCTCTCGGGTGTGTGCAGACATTTGCTGTAGGGAGCGTGTGTAACCTGTGTGATTGTTTTATTTTGCGAATAGGCTTTGTGTTGTTGCTCGGTTGGGTTGAGTGCTGCGTCAGTAGTTGTGTCAGTGCTGATGTGTAATTTCGGGTTTTTGAGGGTTGGTTTGACTGTTTCGGTGTTCACGGACTGCTTGTTGTGTGTGTTGGACACTTTTTAAATCCTACGTGTCGTCTAGTAACACAGAATGTCGCAACATCGGACAAGGCACCCTTCTATGAACAGAACATACCGGACATTTCAATCCGCCCCCCATATTTGCTCGTTAGTCCATTTTACCCCTACCGTACGGGCCATATTCGCGAGTCGCAGATTTGGAGCATAGAGCATACTCGCTGTATGTCCAGTTGTTTGCCAGCCACGCGTTGAAATGTCACTGGCAGTCCTGCCATCCAGAAAGACTGACAGGCCCTGTCCAGGCCCGCCCAAGATTCCCGGAATGGGAAATTCATGCTACAGTACGAACAGTGTAGGGGTTCATTGCACTCGGAAAAGGCTCAGCCTAGGCTAGGCGTGATGGCACAGTATTAAAGGCCTGAGGTTGTACTGTGCTGGTGGTAAGTCGGAAGCGTTGCGCTGCTGGGTGGCAAGCTACCGCACCGAGCGTCCTTGCCGCTCAACTTGCTACTGTAACTTAGGGCATATCCACATCAGGTGTCATCCCGAGAAGGTGTCTTCCATAGAGTTCGGAAGACACCAAGTCGCAGCGCGGTTGAATTGCGCCTCGGGCTTGGTGTCATCGAGGTTCAGCCGGTCAACGACCCTGCGAAAGCAGGCAAGATTGCTTGCGACAAAACAAAATATTGCACAAAACACGAACACCACCACGCATGACTAGCAGACGCCTACGCGCGCCTGACGGCCACGATGCGTCAGACTGCACATCAACACCCACACCCAACCTCGTACACTGCACAACTCCCGCCTAACACCCAAAGCACTGCACAGCCAGTTGTCATCAGGGATGACACCTGTGGTAGCACTACCACCACGTAACCATTTTCGTGCTGCCACGAGTTGGCCGCAAACGGCGGACATGCACGCGTGGCGCTGTGAGCCACGAGCCTGTCATGGTTACCTAAACCACACCGCCGAAACGAAGGCCCCCAAACACGTCTGTCACAGCGCTAGGAGACCAGAGAGGCGAGAATGAACCCATGCCGCGCTACGGCTATACTAGTCACGCGTCGCATAACAGCGGCTCCGAGCAGGTGACGCCCACTGCGCGGCGCAGGCAAAGCGACAACCAGGACGGATTGCGAGTATTTAACGCCCAACGCCGGTTTACCGCCACATTGCATCAATGTTTGTGGCTCCCACGGGGCCATGAACTTTAGCGCGATAGCCCTAGCTCAGGTGCTCCTTCGTCTCTATTTTGCGTACTACTGGCAGTGCTTCAACGTTTTAAGCGCGCACGCAGCAAATCAATGGCTAGGGAAGTCCGGCATGGCCGGCTCTGACATCACCACGGACGACAGGATGACCTGCGGCTCATGGGCGACGAGGAGTTCCGTGATTTGTTTCGCATCACGAAGCCCATCATGCACCACATTGCCGAGCGACTGCAGGGGCCGATTGCGCATTTTGTGGATCGTTACAACATGCCCATCGAACTCTGCATGTTGATCCTGGTGAAGTATTTCGCGAGCGCCATGACCTATATGGACATGGCGATCTACTTCGGCGTGCCCAAGAACGTCCTGCATCTCATTGTTGATGCGTTTCTGCTGCATTTTCCTCGTCGGTTCAAGAAGAATTGGGCTCGTTTCCCCGCTTGCGAGGAAATGCCCTACATGTCTGAGGATGTCCGCGAGATCAAGGGGGTGCCCATCG